CCGGAGATATCAAAAGGTTTTCTCTTGAGTATCTTAAGGACGGAAAATCCGCGTGAAGATTTCCTTCTTTGAGCAAGCTGCTCTTGCTTTTCAGCGCTGGTCGTGAGAAACGCTCCAAAGACGAGGGGGTTGTGCAGATCCATGCGGGGAGGAAAGGAGAAAGGTCTAACTGTAGTGTCTTGAGGGACATGAAATGAAACTACATGCGCTTCTTTGACAGCGAGCCGCTGGCACTTCTCAACACTGTCCGTGAGGAACATCTCAGAAAGGATCGGGATGCGCAGCTACTTATGGAGAAAGAATTTTGAACCGTTGCTCGTACTTTCTTGGCAAAAGAGACGAACGTCGTGATCCGGTTTTTGAGAAGAGCTGTCGGTGAGAGAACGGCTAAGAGACGTTGGGATGCGCAGCTCCTTGCGAGAAGGAGCTTGTCACGCTTTGTTCGAAACGCTTGATGGGTGGTGGTTGGTCGTAAGTCGACAAACGTGCAGCACCGTCCAGTCATATGCCGAGGCACTGTAGGGCCATTCTTGCATTCATAAGATTCGCATTGAAGGGGAAACATCGGAGGCAAGCAGCAAACTTCAGTCAGGAAAAAGTTGGCAGCCTGCAGAGACTCCACACGTATCTGACCGCCTGCGCCCTTGTCTCGGAAACAACCAGGAGCTGACGTTAGCAGCGGAACGACCCACCTGGCTTGAACCACCTTGCCGTTGCCCTTCTCTTTCTCGGCCTCGTCTGGAGTGGTTACTAAGCAGGTCACGTCTGCACAAATCACGAAAAGGGTGGTTTTCCTGATCAGCAATGATAAACAGCGCTCAGAACATAAAAAGCTTCGACTCTATCGTACTCTTCTCTTCAACTATACAGCTTTTTGGTTTTGAAGGACAAACAGGGAGAGCGCGTTCTGTCAGAGTTGCCTGTATGCCTTCCCCGTCACAATGTGCAGTCCTCAAACGAACAACCAGTATCAATTGCACCATGTCATCTGCTGACGATTGTTGCATACAGCTGAGCAGAGACGAAAAGGCTTTTTAAGCGATGACAGAGACTCCGGCGCTGGTTGCCAAAAGGATGGTGAAAGAAAAGACCCACCTCTGCTCATGCGCGAAGCTATCTCGCCCCCTGCTTTTTGAATGAGCTCTTTGAGCTCTTGCTGCAACAGCAAGACAAGGACACTCCTTCAGGGAACTCTCCTCCAATGCAGACCACACACATCTTTTGCAGTGGCAGGAAGCCAAAAGCCCCGTCGTATTTGGGGATAAGCCAGGGAAAAGATCACTCGTATATGTGCATCGTTGGATTGTTGGACATTGAGTCCAGGGATTTCTAGATTTTGAGAACTTTGAAACCCGTTTGAAGCTTTTTCTCCTAACCTGAACTAGGTTATTACAGCCTTTCTTACGGTTGGATCCACAGGAGCAAGACTTTCAGCCGTCTTAAAGGTCCCGTGACTGAAATTACTCGAGGAATCAAGGACCACGATGAGACGACCATCACGATACATCCGCGATTTTGGCAAAGCAAACTTCTACGACGGGCACAAAGGCGTACCTGGTTGTGTTTCAAGTGCCCCGCCACAGCAATCCGCATACCCGTCAGCGGCAAGTTCGCAAAGGCCTTCTGCTCGACAGGATCCGCCGCCACCGTCGATGCCCCGCCCTCAGTCTTCGTCTTCTTCGTCGGAGGAGGCCCCCGGTTTGGCGGCAGGATGCGGTCGGGGCGCTGCTTGCTCTTCTTCTGCTTCTGAAACCACTGCAAAGGGAAAGCGCTCTGGGTTCAGTTTCAGCCGCAGAAACGCTCCGCGATCTTGCTTTTTCTATCTTCATAGAAGGGCGCACTTTCATTAGAAAAGACTGAGCGGCACTTCCGTGGTTCTCGAAGACATGAAGCTAGTCTATGCAGAAAAAGAGGTCTTCCACGCAGCTGATAAAAGAGCGAACGTGAGAAAGGAGGCGAAAGAGCCGTGAAACCCTTCACTCGGCCCCAGGCCTTCAAAGTGGGCTTATGAGAACGGCCAGGTATTGCGAAGCGTGAGAACTGGGTCCACCATGGCGGCAGCTGTGTGCGTGCGCTTGATATGGGAAGGCCCAAATCAAATACCGCCTTACAAGTAAGTCAAAGCCTCAGTGTAACGGCAGCTCGTTCTACGCAGATTGACTATGAGCCAGGGACTGCTCAAATTGCATGTTCGTCAGTGCCGTCGTTACGACACCTATAGAAATCACAAGAACATTCAAGTCGCACGGTTTATCTCGTCCGTGGAGTGCTGTTATCGTTCGCAACTCTAGAGACCGACTGCAATGGGCCAATCCGCTCATGGAGTTGTGCAAAATTTGAGCAACGAGACTGCTCAGCACTTGCTGCAATCGTTGCTGACGTCACAGGGACAGGGATCCCCCGACCATCAAAGATAACCTTTCGAGTATTTTACACTGTCAGGGCACGTTCTCCGGGCTTTGCACAGCAAGAAAGACGTCTCGTGCACAGACTCGTGCAGCGAATGCAAGCAAAGCGATAACGCCCGGGCTTGTTTAAAGATGCAATTGGAGAGGAGAAACCGGAATTTGTCAACACGAAAGAGATTCTGAATCGTACTATACGAGGAACAAAAGTCCGACCAGAGAGGCGTTGGCACAAGAAATTGGTACATCAAGCAGCTCACAGCGGCCATGCACCGAATGACAGTGTTTCTGCCCAGCTGTTTCCAGTCTTTGCTACAGGGGGACGAGAAGGAAGCCACGACCTAGATTGAGAACGGCAGGGGGTCAAGCCTACAACGAGGCCGATCATTCGACCGTGGCCAAACGATTACGGACCTCAAAAGCGCGCCAACGAGCAGCCAAATGGTCAAACACGCGCCGCGTGCGAGGTTATGTTTGCGAGTAGATGGCTTATCCAGCAAGGGCTTGCACTGTAATGGGGAATATAAATACCTTTCCGTGTCCTCAGACCGAATGCAAACAGAGCACATGACCGTATGGCAAGCGCCCCAGAGCTGCTATTCCGAAGGACTGTTGTTCTCATAGACAACTCAACCGGAGGAAAGTCATGATGAGCGTGGAGGCTGCTAATCTGGATACTTGGGGTGACGGTGACGGTAAGCGGACTTGGCAATACATGGCAGCTCAGGCAACTAGCTATTGGTAAGCACGGAAACTGCTCACCCTTCTTCGTATCATTGCTGACAGGAAAAAATGGGGGCGATGGTGACCCTATATCAACCCAGCAAGGGAGTGATCCTACACGATTAGCTGCCCCAAGAACGGAACAAGACAAGCTACGAAGGAAGCGGAAAAGTCGGTTGCATCATGCTTGTCAAAACAAGCTCGTCAGGAAGACTAGAGTGCATGCCTCAAAACTCAATGACACAGACCGGCTACAGTTAGGCAACAAGATAGCGCAGGCCAGAGCGAGGACGGTTTGAAAAAATATGACTGTAAAGAAGAAGCACGAGGGGGACGTTGTCCAGGCTTTTGCCAGTGAAGAAGTTGTCTTCAAAGGTTGATCAAGGAAAGTCACCGGGCAAACTCTCATAACGATGTTGGTCTACCACAATCATTTCTCGCAGCCCCAGACGAGATGTACCTTGTTGCTGCAACGGCTCCGAGGGATCTTTGACCGGACTATTTCTTTCGAGTATCTAAGCAGCCCTCATCATGAGAAAGCGCAACACTGCGGCTTGACTGACATGCCTGCCCCGTCAACAAACCCCATGAAAGCCTTTGCATGAAGAGCTGATCATACTAAAGGCTTAACCACAGCATGAAGTGAGTGGCTCAAGTGAGAGGTTTGCCGATTACAGAATGGGACTGCAATCGCTAAGCTCTCTTCACTGCCATCTTCCCTTGGCAAGGGAGGCACCGCGGAGTATCCTTGAGTAGAGGAAGGATGCGTTCGCGGCACGCACAGGGCTTTTAGGCTGAGCGCTTGAACAGAATGATAGCGAAACAGCAATTGTCTGAAGATGTGATGACTTGTACAATCGCACGATGTCCAGTAAAGTGACTCTCCTGTAACGAGCAGCTTATTCACGAGCGGGTTCCCTGGCAACCAATGACAGGAGAATCTTCTCGCGAGTGAGATGAGCTCGGCCTACCAAGGCAGATGCTGCTGCTTTGGACTCCGTAACACAAAGAATTGCGAGCCTAGAAGTTCGCATGATATGGTGCCCCGAGAGCAGCCGACCAACTTATCAGATCTGATTGAGTAACATCAAGTGAAGATCATCAAATGGCTTCCGAAAGACAAGCATTTAATTTGGCATGAAGCTGCCGATCAGTCACGTTCTCGCCATGGCCATCAAGAAAACGAACATCTTTTTGCAAATTCCGAGTGACTACATAGCACCGAAACCAAAAGCAGGGCACCGAAGTGCAAGTCCGACCATGAAACGATATGAGCACCATTTCAAGGAGTTGGAGGAAAGCTTCGCATAATACGTGGCACCAAGTTGCCTCAAGAAGGGCCCCGCAATTGCAACGGAAGTTGATTGCAAAGAGAATTAGCTCTGCTTGCAGCCGCAGAAACGCTCGCGATATTGGTGACTTGTATCCAGAAAGGGCGCGGAATCGAGAAAGACTAATGCGTGAGGAGCACTTTCACGATCCAAAGAAGCCGCTCTCCTAACGGGTGAAAGCTTTGGAACGCAGCGTGAGAAGAAACTGCATTGGAAGAGAAGGCAAAAGGGCCTTTCGAAACGCTCCAGTTCCTGCCGAGATGAAACGCTGTCACAAGCGAACAAATGGTGAAGTCAACCGGCAGAAACAGTCTGGAAGGAAAGTCGGAGCCTCAATGTCACGGCAGCTCGTACAGTCGTCTTCACGATGAGCCGGGGGCTGCTCAAATCCGATGCTCGTCATTGCTATCGTCACCAGCCGAATTGAAATTTTGCACTTAAGCTCGACACAAACACAAGATGGACACTAACCTCACAGAGTCAACGTCCAACAATCAGGCGACTATCTTTCAAGCACTCTGTAGAATTGAGCGAAACGAGCAACACAACTCATGGATGAGACCTAACTTGAGCACCGAGACTGCTCAGTCCTTGCCGCAGTCATTGCTGACGTCACAAGGCCAGGTTTCGCTTAAACCGTGAAAGAGACGTTTCAAGTAATTTACAACAACGCTTTTCACTCTCATAGATAAACGTGTCCTGCACAAACGAGGCAAGTATCGAGTCCCATCCGTCGAGCAGCTCAGAAACATCAGCACTGTAGGCAATGGTCTCATCGTCTGCGCCACGTTTTTTCATTCTTGGCAGAAATGGGAGCCCAAGAGCAGGAACTCACGACCACGAGTTTATGTCAGCGGGAACCGGAGCGGAGACTACAAGGAGGAGAATTTGGAGGGAGCCATCTTGTACAATACACCGGTCCTTTGAGCTTTTGTTTTCGAAGCGGTTGCTGATCCAGCATTTACTTGCATCCTGGGAAACCCTGGTGTTCACAGACCAGAGAAAGCTCGTGGTTTCCAAGCGTAACACCAGCATACATAAAGAGCTTTGATCCAGATCGGTGTTGCTCTCTAATATGGCAGCTCAGGTGTAGCAGAGATGGTGGGCGCGGAGGCGGCTCACCAGTTTTTTGAATCCTTGCTGACCTAACCATCGGGGCTATCGATAAAAGTAAGCTCCTCAAAACATTTCATGATTTGATGGCTGCTCCAACAATACGAAAATGAGCAGCGGCAAAGGCGGATCCATAGCCTCATCAACTTCTAAAACGAGCTTAACTGAGAGTCAGCGAACCGCTGCTTGGCTAAGAAGGTGGTGCAAATAATCAAATGAACAGACTCGTCCAGTTGGTTTGAGGATACTCTTCACAAACAAACCAGAAAAGCGCCAGACCATGAGGGTGTGTTCGCGACTCTATCTAGCGAGCGACCGTCCTTGTAGAAGAAGCAGAACTCTTGCTGCAGAAACGCAGATGCAAGGTGTGGTTTACCAAAGACCTACTTCTGTGGTGAGACGGAGCAATGAACTGTTTGAAATGTGCCTTCGAGTAATGAAGCGGCCCCGATGAAGGAGAAGTGTACCAGTTCTCCTTGATTACCCTGCCCTATCAACGAAGCCACTGAAAGCCTCAATGTTGAGGTCTGAATATTCCAGCGTCTGCGCAGTGCTCAATCTGATTGGCTCAGGAGAGGTGAACTACCATGGCAACAAATTTGCCGACGTCGACTTCTCGTCAATGCCATCCACTCTTGACCGACGCTCCTCCCAAACCCAACTGCCGACCGGTCACTCTTTGGAACTTCCACACCCTCTTTCTCCTCTAATGAGGGCAATCAAATCAAGGTGTGTCATATGATCCGATCTCATGTCGTTCATTACCCTAAAGAGCTTGCGAAGCAAGCGCTGTGGTGTGACAGCGCATCCAAATAGCTATACGCTTCAAGGTATGCATAGGACTGATCAAGCAAAAGGCTCATAACCACTGAGTGAATAGTTGACCAATTACGGATTTCATTGCTTGTACAGCCGCAAACAAGCGTAATCGACAAGGTTAGCTTCCCGTGTTGAGCAGCTCATGAAGTATGTCACTGCCTGACAACTGGTGCTGCCATCACTGTTAGAATCAAGGCTTGCACTGCGCGTTTTACCGCCTCAAAATCCTGAATGCAACGATTTCAAGAAACCGGCTGGCAGGGTGACTGCCGGCTGCGATTGAAAGAAAGTAAAAAGAAGCACAAGTGCATCAAGAAAAGAAGTTGCATTAGCGACGGAGCCTGAGTCGGAGGTCTTATTGTCGAAGCATGTTCGTCTACGTGTGATTTTGCGTTTGCAAGGAAACAAGACCACTCGGCCGCACACTTCATCCAACAAGCAGCCCGCAGACCTGACAACTTGTTTACTACGGTGAAGAAGCTCAAATTCAGATAGTTTCTATCCGACAACCGCTCCTTCGAAAACGGCCGTCGCTTATGAAGCACTATGCAATCCCGTTAAACGAAGGAGAGCTGTAATCTCATTGGCCAGCGCCTGCCGACATGGCGGGAATGCGACTGACAAGGAGAACGTCGCAACAAACACAACGGGCGGCGTTGGCATGAAGTGAACTTTCCATCGGTCAGATCGAAATACTTGGGGAAAACGCGTGTTCTTGTCAACCGCCCGTGTCCTAGAAAATGGGCTAAAACCTGCTTATTTGGTTTTCCACAACGACGTACTTACAAGAAAAGGTGCCTCGTCGGACGAGACGGCTGCTTTAGGAGATAGTAACAGACGAGAGGGCTCCTTTAGACGGTAGTGAAACAGAAGAGTTTGTTTTCATTTCTCGCCTGATCTGCTGCCCCAAGAGCAGCCGACCAACTTGTCAGATTCATCCCCAGGAAACCAGCAATACACTGAACACACGCAAGTGGCTTCCGAGGGGAATACTATCGGAGGCTCTGTCGGCATGAAGCTGCCGATTGACATGCTCTCGACATGGCCAACAACAACCATAGAATGATGCAGCCACTGAACGGCTTATTGGCACCGCATCCAGAAAGCAGGCCAATTGACTCTCCAGTACAAACCCAAAGGTACTCCAAGCACAGCCAAGTGGCATCCGATGGACCTTCGTGCCGATGGTAAGTGGCACGACTTGCGAGTCAAGCTCTCGTCATGGCCTATGGCAGCTCAAAGAGAAAGATGCGAGCACAACGAGGAAAAGTCCGCTCTGCTTAGACGAAATACTCCGTGCCCCGAGACTCTCTAAAACGTTTCTTAAACGAAGGCGCAACTCGTTTCGAATCTACTTCACGCATAATCTGCTAAATCATCCTGCTCCATGATGTGGACACACAAGCAAGCTAAAAATGACAGGCAACAATAGCTTCACGAGCAAAGAATGGAATACAAACTTGAGGTGTGGCGGTTAAAAGACACGCTTTCTATAAAGCATGGGCTATTAAGTCGTTTACATCATCAGCTATTCAGCACCAGAGTGCTGACCGAGCTTTTTCTCATTGCCTTACTGTCGGTTTGCTTGTCAAAAACGTTATTCGCAAAGCTTGCGTTTGCAAGTAGCAGATAGGAACCAGGACATCTTCTGTGCGCGGCTGGTAACAAGGAACTGAAACCAAGAACTCAAATTTCCGCTGTTCTACAGCATATATAAAAAGCAAATGCACACGCAGCGGGAGCAACTGTTTAGAAGACTAGTTGAAGGATAGATGAAACCAAGAAACGCCCACTAGCGGTTACACAGAGAACTACTGCAGGCCTTTCTGCCAGTCCGTGGACCCTCGCGGTATTAGAGTGATTAGATTTAGCAACATGAATCAACATTTACGGATCGAAGAATCAAGATGACAACGATTCGCATTAGAACTTTCACAACCACCCACACGTAATTCATGTCGTTCTCCTCTGGCAGTGAACCCCCGACCACACTTCGTTAGAACAGTTACTATTCTTTTGCAATCCGTGACTGTCCGCCACATCGCTTACCCAATGCAACAAGCAAAACAAGAAGAACGAACTGGAAGAGCATACAGGCGAACGCAGAGCGTTGTCCCGATGTTCAATGTCCTCCAAAAACTTCCGCTGCGCCTTGAGCTGGCGCGTCGCCAGTGGTCCAGAAATTTAACAACCTAAGCAGAACAGCGAGAGTCAAAAGAAACAAGGCAACACTAATCAGGAACAAAGAAGCTTAACTCACCTCGTCCAGGTATTCGTTGTCATTTTCCTCCGGCAGCTTCCACTGCGCCTTGAGCCGTGGCGCGTCGCCGGTGGTGTGGGTGCATTTGGTCCACTCGGAGAGGAAGCCGCGGCAGCAGTAGTGGCCCTCCTTGTACTCCATGTGGCTGCCGCACAGCGGGCACTTGCCGAGCGGCCCAAACAGCATGCCGTCCGCACTGCAGAATAAGGTGATGACTGGATTGGACCTTAGGTACTCGCTTTTAGCGGATAATGGACTTGCAGATGTGCCCAGAAGAACTCGTGGGGGCCTTCGTTGTTCCCCATGTGGGTGCCGCGCAGCGGGCACTTGCCCAGCGGCCCAAACAGCATGCCGTCCGCACTGCACAGCATATGCGTTATGAAAGTGTAGCGTTTGAAGGGTCAACCACGTGGCAGACGGGTCGGGGGCGTCTCCGTTGTTCTTCGTGTGACTGCCGAAAAGCGGGCACTTGTGCACCGAGGCGGATGGCATGCCGTCCGGACTGCACAGCAAGGTGATGACTTCCACAATCTTTGTTGAAAGCGGACACGTGGGAAAAGCCGGACACATGGCAAGAGGTTCAGCGGCGGCTTCTGTTATGTTCCATCTCGGCTGTGTCGACTGAAGCGGGCTCTTGCCGTGGCCCAATAAGCGTGCCGTCTGCCCTGCGGAGGAAGGTAACAGCTTGAAAGACGCTATAAGAACGAGCGAAACTTGAGAGCCGGACACGTGGCAGAAGCTTCAATGCCAACCTCCGCTGTTGTCCATTAGCTATCGAACAGCGGGCACTTCCCAAGCGGTCCGACCAGCATCCCGTCTGCACTGCAGAGTGATGTTATTGCGTACTGGTTTCTCAGAGATGAACAACGTTTAGGAATCCCCCAGAACCAACGCGTTAGAGCCGTTGATGTCTCGGAACGCGGCACCCCCGAAGCGAAGACCCTAAAGAACCAAGGATGCAACGTCTCAAAACGCAGAAACCATGGACATTCCCACCCAAAAATCCCGAAGGATGCTATGTCTCGAGATGCAGAAAAACTCGGAGCTCAGATCCTTAAACAGTCGAAAAATGCTATGTCTCGAGATGCAGTAACCCTCGAAGCTAGACTCAAAAGAGGCTCAGTATCCTCACCAGCGGTCCCGTAACTCGTGCTCCGACCCCGACGCCGACTGGTCGTTCACCTCGAGCATCTCCCGCAACTCCGACGTCGACACGTGTTTCCGCAGCGCGTCCTTGATTTCCCACAGCGCGCGACTCTGCTTCTCGAGCGCCTTCTCTAGTTGCGGGTCCGCCTTAACCTTCGCGGCCGCCTTACTGGGCTTGGTCTCTTCCTCCGACTCTTTAGCCTTCCCTTTGCCCTTGTTTGCGGCGTCTTCTTCCGCCTTGCCCTTCCCCTTCTTCGTCTCCGTGACGTCATCCTCTTTCTTGCCCTTGCGCCCGCGCTTCTTGGTTTCTTTCGGTTCTTCTGCTTCGTCTTCGTCGTCCTCGCCCTTCTTCTTTCGCTTCCGGCTCTTCTTCTTGGGCTCCTCTTCCGCTTCAACTTCGTCCTCTCCGCCCTTTGATTTGCGCTTCTTGCCCTTTCCTTTCTTCTCCTTCTCTGCAGGATGGGGAGGACTGGCTCTCGTCAGGATTTTCCGAAGGCTGCCTCAATTTTAAGCCGAAAATCTGTAGGAAGTACAAGCACCTTGCGACCAGGTTCTGACCTTGTATCAAAATATACGGGAGCGCTTGAAATCCCCCCCTTTTTTGGAAACTTTTACCATTCTGCGATTGTCAAAGTCCACAGAAACATTTGCAGAACCTCTGACCTCAGCTTGACTTCGGCCACCGCTGTGAGCTTATCATGCTCTTAGCCATCCTGAATCGTAAGGAGGCAGAGAGTGGCACAAGGAACGACAATATCCCCTACAACCACGCAACAAGGACTCGTCCGTTTGCAGGCTTGCAGATGCCTTTCAGATCTGCCACCTGAGAAACCTTTTTCTGACCATAACGTGGCCACGTGCCCCTCACCTTCGTCCTTGGGCGGCATCTCGTCGATCTCTCCCTTCGCAAGCTTCTCCACTGACTCTCGGTCCGCCTTGCTCAAGCTGCGGAATCCGGGAATCTTCTTCACGTCCTTGCTCCACATGCCCGACTCCAGGAGACACTGGTAAACACAAACGAAGGACGACTTTGCTTTATATCATTTTCTCAATAGTCAAAGGCTGCAAACGGAGTGAGCTTTTCCCTTTACCCAGGCGCCCGACAGGTACCTGCTCCACTTGCCCTCCCCACCAAGTATTTCACAGCGCCAGCCAGACAGGGGCACTTTAAGCAGCCTTCCTTGACATTTGCGCGGAGAGATTAGAACGAAGGGGCATCACGCGGAGAAACTCTAAGCCTTCAGGGAAGAATATCACACTAGAGCCACTATTGCACCGCAATTCAATGTGACAGCTGCTCAAGTGTTCGATTGTCTCGGAAGGGCCTCAATAAGCCCCAAAACTTCATTCCTCTGAAAGGCCACGGAGCATATCTATGCCAACGAGCAGCTAACGTTCATCGTTCCTCCCAGCAAAGGCGTCGACGGCCCTTGTATTGATTGCCTCAGAATCACAAGGAAAGGGTATCTCACTGGCTTCACACTCAAGCAGGGGAAAACAAGGAAAAACGACTGCAACCCAAAATCTGAAAGCTGTTGACGACTCTCAGAACCGGCGGAAATCTTACCTTGATGTGGCGCCATGCAGGGACCATGCCTGGGTAAGCGGGATTGTCTGATTCCACGAGCTTGGATACACGGACCTGCAATCCAGAAACATGCATGTCAAGCCCAACGGTTTGAAAACTATCTGCTCGAAGATAACTGTAATCAACAGTCTTCCGAAGATTGTTATTTTGAGTGAGCTGCCTTCCAAGCATTCCTTTTGCGCACAAAATGCTTCTCAGTGGATCTGGCGAGGCTCCCTCTTAAGCCAACTTTGAGTAAGTACAATATCATTAATAGCAGGTTCTCAACTTCTCCGACCTACTGCTTCAAGGCCAGGCCCAAAAAGGCAACAAACAGGTTTGCTTCGTACAGGTCAGCACACAGTCGCCGGAAGCCCAAAACCCCCACCTCCTGGAACTTAACGATCTACACTCCCATCCTAAGCTAGGACAAACTGTCGAACCTTCTCAGTCTGAGACTTCGTAACTTTCAAAAATTCTTTCATTCTGAGCCCCCAACACAAAGCAAGTGTCCCCTCAATTTCAAGCCCCCAAGACTCCAGGTTCACTAGCCAGCCCCTACAATGAGCTGCTTGTAACCAGACCAACGCAACATTGCAAAGAAAAGCGAGGAAAATAGGGCGAAAACCAACATAATTGACCAATTGACCCCCACCTCGTCCTTTTGAATCTTCTCCTCACACTCCTTGCACGTCGACCGGCTGCTCTTGGCATACTCCATAGAGAAGTCCTTGTCCTCCTCATCTATCTCTTCCTCCTCCTCTTCTTCCTCTTCCTCCAGAGAACCGCCAGAGTCGGTGACGTACTTCTCTAATTTCTTCTGGTCCTCCCAACGCAAGTTGTCAAAGCCCTCCACGTCGTGCAGTCTGATCATAGGATAGAGAACGCAGTTTCAGTTCAAGGAAGAGGGAGCATTGATGAAGTTTGACTTGGACCTAATGAGTGAAGCCTGTTTAGTCAGCAGACCTCTGACAGCATTGATGACATTAAGCTGGATAGCAAAAGTATGTGTAATTGTCAGAGTAACTTGCAATGAAGAAGGCACCAAGAGGCCAACGCAGAGTCAGCCACTAGACCTGAATGTTGAATGCTGTGAGAACATGAGCTCCTCTGATAAAAACTGCTCACAGCTCTGGAAAAGGCCCGCTTTTTCCGAGAGCCACATTGTTTGTTGGCCCACAGACACGAAGTTTCACTGGAAAACTGAAGGGCAAAAATGTTATCCTGAGTAGAGGCCAATGCTACCACCACATGCACACTGCCCAATCCGTGAGCATCTTCCGAAATTGGGCCTGCATGCATTCAAAGCATCTTGCTGGGAGCTGGGGCCCACGTCGGTGAATGATGCGACTTTACTCAGAAGAGGCACTACATTCTGTTGGCTGTGTGGATTCCCACGCGTCTCTACCTGAAGTTTCCTCTAGCACAGAGCGACCACAGGCTGTCAAACGTTGTATTCTAGTTGGACACATGCAGCAGTTCTGCGACAAAGTCAGGGCCAAGGAAGCGTGTTGATATAATGCTGTGAATCCTGCGACCATGAAGGCAGCTTGCGCAAAGTGACTGATGCCATTGCACCACCACTAACAACCCCACACTTCTGCATGAAGCAGAAGCGCATAACTTAATAAGGAAAACTAATCTTTAAAAGTCGAATGCTCACGTTTTAAACACCCCCTGCTTCTTCAGCAAGCAACCGTAGTGGTGCCAATTGGTCATGTAGCCATCGAACTGGCGAGACTGCACCACCTTCGCAATGCGCAGTGCGTCCTTGGCGATCGGATCCTTGCATATTTTGCATGCCGCACGCCCGCTCTTCGCATACTCCACCAGAAACGGCTTCGGAGGCGCCATTACTGCCGGGTGAATGCGAGGGACTTTCAAGCTAGATTGTGGTCAGCACAAGCCTAGAAAGTGGGCCACGTTCACTTAAACCTCCTTCACAAACGAAGCTCTCGTGACACAAGAAAGCTCCTTTTTGGCGCCACAACTTCAAGAGGAGCGATTGGGTGACGTTTCTGCAGCCTGCAAAGCAGGTGGTGCTGAATGGTGCTGAAGGCAAAATTCAGGTGACGATGGTTTGCCCGAGCAGTAAACAAGGCCTCTCACCCCTCCGCGGCCATCAATACACTATGGAAAGCCTCCCAGTGTGTCCTAGAATACACTGAATCCATAAGTGGTATATTTGTGTCAATCAACTCGAGGCCTTGCTGCATGAGGTATAAGAAACGAAAGCGACATTTTTGGTACATATGCAGCATGCACTGCTGAATTCCTTGGAGAGGGGACACTTCAAGTTGTGACTTGGCCAAGCTGAAGCCAGGGAATCCAGAGGGGAGGGCGCCAAGTTGAAGAGCTCAATGGCGGCCACTGCAGCTGTTCTGAGGGTACCCACCTCCGCTGTTGCCACATCTCTGCAGAACACTGTGCGATCCTCCGACGTTCTGCAGCAGACCATCACACCACCCTTTGGCAGCATTGTGCTTTCTTCCAGGATCCAGCAACTGAACACCTTAACACAAAGCAGTTCCTTTGTGGGTGATAAACCTTCTGAAAATCGCATGGCGGGTTGTGCTAGAGCGGTTGCCACCACGGAGGGGCTTTCTGCAGCGGCAGAAGGGAGGGGCGATGAGACGGACAGCAATGGGGCGTTGGATGGGACGCAGTTCTTGCGGCCGCACTTGCTGAGCCTGGCGCCATACACTCCGATAGAGCCGTTTGAGGTAAGAAGAAGGAAGAGTTGGTTGGCCGCAAGGAATGTGTTCCATGATGTCGGAGCTTGGAAAGCTGAAGGCGCTCTGGGATCAGCATTCAGATATGTAAAGGCTCCTAAATAAAGGCATATCAGGGGCATAGAATGTCGAAACACTGAGCACAGGCGGTTGGGAAGGCGGACCCGAAAGAGAAAAATTGGGACTACTTTGAGGCGTCGAAGTATCACTCAGCGGCAATTTGTTGAGCATTCGAGCTGGACTGCAGTGACTTTGCGCTGATTAGAGTTGGAATCGACTATCAAAGCCATCTTGTACATCAAATTCTGGTAGATTTCACCTTTGGAGAAGGTCAATGTGGTGCTCGGATCACCACTCAACTGTGCTACTGCCCCAAGCCACTTGGCGCTCATGCTTGAGAGATCATCAAATGGTTGTTCTTTGAGAGTTTGTGGTGCTCAACAAGTTGAAGGCCTGGACTCTTGGTTATCCTCTGGATCCGCTTTGCCCGTGCTTCTTACCCCCTTACATCAGAGGGCTCAAGATGGTGTTTTGATTGTCAAGCTGACGTGTCAGGCAGCTAGACCTGTTTGCTGAACATCCTGTCCATTTTCTTTCGCCAAGTGTCCGAAGACATCGAAACCCACTACAGGTTTCATGGTGTCAAGCAGCTGTCTCGAGGGGACAAGTAGTCATGCTTGACACCAATTGGTTCCTTTCCACTTAACCAATCAGTGTCTCCGCCGATGTTGACAGTTCAAAGCTGTGACGTCAAGCATCCAATCTGCAATGCATGTCACACTGTACCTTCCTTGCAGATCCTGTCTGCTCGCCTCGGTCGGCGGCCGGAAGACATTGTAAAGCTAGACGCAAACGAGAACCCATATGGTCCCCCCCCGGAAGTGTTGGAAGCTTTGGGAAGCATGCAGTTCCCCAACATCTACCCCGATCCCGAGAGTCGGCGGTTGCGGGAAGCCCTGGCGAAAGATACGGGAGTGGGGGCAGAGCACTTGTTGGTTGGGTGTGGAGCTGACGAGCTGATCGATCTCATCATGCGGTGAGTGGCATGGGAAAACAATCCTTTCACCCAGGGTGTCCTCTTGTCGGAACGTGTTTACTCGAGCTCCTCAAGTGGAAGGGAAATGTTTTCAGGTCATTAATCGAGCTGTGAGTACCCGCAATCAATTCATCTAGTTCCGCTTTGGTTTGGGAGGGCGACTCTCAAGGGCGCAACTTAGGTCACGCCGGCTCTTGTGGAGCACTGTGTTGATCTGTTGTTGGGCTATTTCCTGGTTCCCTGTCAACCAGGCATCAGCAGTTCTTTATGTGGAAATCATCATAAATGCAGATCGAGCAGGGCAAGACTTCTCTGACTGACCGTCGACTTGTCTGACAGGTGTACGCTGGATCCAGGGGACAAAATCGTTGATTGTCCCCCCACCTTCACCATGTATGCATTCGACGCTGACGTCAACAATGCTGAGGTGGTCACAGGTGCGCGTTACTTTCCAAGAATGCTCAGAGGCCACTCTATTCCGCATGTATTCGGGAGTTTGACCAAAAAATGGCTTCTCTCGCATTTCACAGGTTCCTGTATAAAGACCAGAGTACCTGTGAGGTTGACGCTGTTTGCTTCTTGTTTTGTCGCTATGGCAGTTTGTCCCTTGGTGTAGTATCTGCTGGCAGTAAACCAACCACCCAAACCAGTACTTTGTATTTTGAAGTTCGCCGGTTTTAACACCTACAGTGAGATTGAAAGAGAGTCAGACGCTTTGTCCCTGCAAAGCCGTTCATTAGCTTGAGCGACTGAAGGAGACGAAAGTCTTGTTCTGCCTTTTGGCATCCGTGCGCTCACTCAATGTTTTCCTTGCAGTCTCAAGAAAGCCAGACTTCAGTCTGGACGTACCAGGAATCGTAGATGCAGTGGAGAAGCACAACCCGAAGATTGTATTTCTCACGTCTCCAAACAACCCGGACGGAAGGTGAGCCTCACCCTGAGTTCTGCATACTTCGGTTCGCTTGCTGAAGGCTCCTTGTGTGACGGCTCCAATCGGCCACAGCTTTACACTGCCCAACAGGATTCGATTTCCGTGCCACACGTACAATGTCCCGAAGGAGGGCACGCGTGTGCCATCAGGCGCAATTCATTCTGGCTGTTGGCAACTTGATCGCGGATTATGCTGCTCTTTCATCTCACAGAACTGGAACGACCATTGACGGACCACCTTCAGGTGAAGTTGTAGCTCGGTGTTCGTGCATGCGCTGCCTGTAGAATCATCGTCTCTACGGACAAACCCCAGCTTGATGATAACAACTTCCAGGCCTGTTGAACTGCGCCAACCTCAAATATGTAAAGTTCAATTCCTGATCACTCTTCTACGCTACTTCAGACCTTCATCCCCTGTACAACCTAACCCGACAAGCAGACGCAAAAAGCGGCTTGACGATATTCTAACTATCTGGAGATGTTCGTTTCCTTGGCAGCGTGATCCGAGAAGAGGACCTCGTGACGATCCTCAAGCTCCCGGTGTTGGTCGTTCTCGACGAGGCGTACATCGAGTTTTCGGACGAGCCGTCGCGCGCGGGCTGGGTTCGGACGCACAGCAACCTCATCGTCTTGCGGACTTTCAGCAAGAGGGCCGGTGAGCGGGGAAAAGTTTCAACTGATGCAGTGCGCAATAAGGACACAGTATAACGACGCTGGACTTTAGGTTGAAATAGAGTGCGTGCGGATGCGACCTGCGTCAACCTTTGATTTAGGTACTTGTCAAACCTCATGTTCATTCCCTTCCTTTGGGAGTGAACCAAAGGAAGGGAATGAACGGATTTAAGATTGGGATTTGGCATAGTAAGCGGACTCACTGCTGCTACGCAAGTGCGTAACCGTCAGGGACTCTTGACGTGTCTGGCTTGACCGCTTGTGCTTTCGGGGCTCCAAGACGGCTGCTTTTGCCGGTAGTGACAGCTCGAGGTACGGGTTTCAAAGGTTGAGTCCAGCATGGAGAAAGCCAAAGACCATTCTCTCAAAGGCGGTTAATCAGGTTTCACAAAACGGGCACTGAGCTCTTTCCTTGATCCTGCTCTGCCTGAGAGCCTCTCACCCGTGCTATGATACACACTGTATGCCGTTCGATCGTCGCGATCTGTCAACCGGGCGGTCCAAGGTCGTCTCCGCGGGGTCATGATTTGTCCAAAGACCGATACATGTTCCTGAGAAGCCGTTTCGGAAGAAGGTTTCTTTACTAGTAATTTCACCTCCATCTACCGCAATCTCCTTTTTCAAACCGGTTCTCTGACCCTGAGTCGTGGCTTGGGGATTCCAAAGGCTGCTCAGATGTTCCTGAGCAGCCGTTTCGAAGAATATTTCTCCACTCAAAAGTTTACCGCTCTGAATTACGTCGGTGCCTGCGTCACGTGCTACAGGACTTGCTGGGCTGCGCGTCGGCTTCGGCGCTTTCCCCCTGAGTCTGGTCAAGTACCTGTGGCGGGCCAAGCAGCCGTACAACGTGTCGGTAGCAGCGGAAGTCGCCGCATGCGCTGCGCTCTCAAACAGTGCCTATCTAGAGGTGCGTTATGTTTTCGAAAAGTCGCTTCATATCCCCAAGACCAAGCGGCAGGGGCAAGATGATCTTCATTCAAAGACTGAGGCCGGTTGACGGCTCAAGACGCTGCAGGTTAACGATAACACGAAGGCAGGGTTGCCAAGCTGACTTCCAACCAGAACGTTTTCTTGGTCCTCGTTACTGATCTGAGGAACAGAACAGGTTCTTGATGGTCCAGACCATGCTGATGGTTGAGGAGTCTGAAAGATGTCTTGAAAAGAGTCCGACGACCCGCTTTTCTGGCCACCTACTTGGATTGTAGCTGGTTTCAAGCCCTTTCCGTTGGAAAATGCTGGTCGAGGTTGAAGCTTGTAGTCAGACTTATGGTGGTGACGTCAGAGAATCTTCAGACCTCTCGCAAATTGGTTTGGTCTGGTTCTCAGTTAAAGAGAGGTTGCTTAGATTCTGACCAATGCAGCTTGACCAATGCGGCTGACGGACCAAGGTTACCGTTACAGGATGTTAAGAACGCCCTCGTCAAGGAGCGGGAACGGCTCTTCGGCCTCCTCCAAGACGTGCCCTTCCTGAAGCCGTACCCCAGTGCGGCAAACTTCATTCTGTGTGACGTCAAGGAGACGCACAGCGCAAAGGAGATCAAGGTAAGCGTCGTCCAGAACGTTTCAAAGCAGTCCGCATCCAACCTCGCCGCCGAGCATCTAGTATTTCGGACCGGAGCCGTTTCAATGAGCAATATGACGATTGGATTCTAGAGCGCCCCAGAACGAGCATGGGTCCACCAGCCAGATTTGATAGGACTGCGGTCGTTAAGCCTTAGTCAAAGAGATAGAGACGCGTAGTCTACACGCCTTTCAACCTAAGCGATGGTGCCTGCTCGATTACTGTGTTTGATTCACGATTTCAGTCTTCGAAGCTAGATTTTGCATTTAACATTGACCAAATCGATCTCGTCTTCCGACGGCTTCCTGACGGGCTTCTCGTTTGATGCACCTTGGGGCTGAAAGAATTTTAGGCACTTTGGCGCAAGGCAGGGGTAACTGATCGTGCTCGGTTTCCATTCTGCAGGATGCCCTTGCGAAGCAAGGGGTGATGGTCCGTCACTATCAGAAGCCGCAGCTGAAGAATTTTGTCCGCATCTCGGTCGGAAAACCTGAGCAAACGGACCTCTTGATGAAAGCTCTCCAAAGCATCCCTTAGATTTCAGAAACAGGAAGTGCTGCTCACGAAGATATATATTCCCGTGTTACTTCGATGCTGCAGTGGTACTGATTCTTTACTTTTGAACTAAACCATGTGGGATGGTGACGTCAAAAAGTTTAAGCTCGAAGTCTCAAAAGGGTTCATCTCTAGACCACCTCCTGGATCGAAGCAGACCATATAGCAGTTGGTGAGCTTCAAGCAGCCTCAGAATGTGAAATCACGAAGAAAGCAAGTGGTATTAGCACCTCCGACTTATTAAAAGCCGCGCATCTCAGTTCGTCGGAAGATGTCAGATCATCATGGATTGCCAACGGGACTCTGTAACATTGCGTATCAGTACGCCGTGTTTTCTCATGGGTCGCCCAGGTGGCCGGGGCGGCCATGGGCCACATGCAGTCCTGCACGTTGACGGTGCACTGGAGCCGCGCATGGCCTCCTACAGGCTTGTTGTATGCCAGAACATGCCAGCACTCTGACGTCAACTCGTATATGACTCACGTCTACTAAGTTCAATGGCGCTCAGTGCCGCCGAGAATTACCATATATGTGATCTGACCGGCCACTGATGCCGCGGCGCTCAATAAACATTAAGATCATGCAGAATGATACTAAGAGTTTGTATGCGCATGCCAGCGAAGTGCACATGAACTATTGCAAATGCACACCGTACGATATTATATTCGGACTCTCGAAGCTATATAGCGGAATCTAGCTGATCATGTACTGGTACTCCGCAATCGCTTCTGTACCCAACCGCGGTCTACACCCCTACCGAGATCACCGGCGCCCGCTAATATTTAATAGTGCCAATCCTAGTTTCAACGAACCACCAGTCAGGCTTCGCCAAGTAGCATTGCAGTATAGCCTCCACAGTGTACATGGATAAGTTTTTGACAGGCTAGGTTGGACTAAATTAGCTAGGCTTAGCACGCTAGCTCAGATTCGGTAAGGTAGCTAGGCGCTCGGAACTTAAACATTGATTCCCATGTATGCCATGGAAGCCTATGGCCCGTGTGGCTGCGGCATTTGAAAAGAGAACGTATATCAATTAAGACAGCTAGTAGGCCCGGGCTATAGCAGCATGGACCATGGGCGCTAGCTGTATAAAACGGGCAGGCGCACCGTACTCAAAAGTTCTGCGCATGCATGCTTCAAAGCTAGAGATTCACGCGTGCATATTCAATCTAGCTAGCTTGTATCTCTTTAACATTCAGAACTTACATGGATCAAACACGCATATGTGATTTATGCTGGCCGTGACTGGTAGCTAGGCACCGGCCATACAAGTAGTATAATTTTAGAGCACATGTGATCGCAAACTGCCTGCCATGCTTTTGTATTGTTGGACGCACCCTGGCAGTCGCGCTCAGCCCATGATGCCCGCGCTGAATTTTTATGAGAAAATCTATTTAGATTTGCATGTGGTAACATTATGATGTGCTTTACGGACATCGATGCAGCCGTGACAGTTGACATCGGCATTGTACAGGGCCATGCCTACTGAGTCTTGCATATGAGAAGTCATCTCTTATATGCATATATATCTTAGGACAGGAATAGCCCTAGAGAATGTCCTCAGGGACAAGTACGAAGGCAGTTTATGATGCTGGAGGAGCTTGCGAAATATGCAGGGGATCCCAGGCTTCCAATCCACTCCACCTTAATAAACATCGTACCACAATGTGACACTGACAGCAAGCACAATCAGGGCCAAGCAACAAGCTGCCTTCAGAAACCTGGAGCCCCAGTTGTGACTGCTCTTCAAATTGTACCTTCTTTACTTCGTTTATCAAGTCGGCAAATTGGTCCTTAAGAAGCAGAAGCTTGGTAGCAGGTACTGTCGGAGCACCCACAGTAAACTGAAGATTACGATGAAGAAGCTGAGATCCCTAACTACCCCCTGCGTTATCCTGCTGACCAAACTCAGCGTCCGAGCGGCCAGATCCATGTGACCTAACCACTTGAGAAGCCCCTCCGCCCCCTTGACCCCCTCAAACGGGTTACCGCTACCAGCTGCTACCTGATTACCAAACCCGCTTAATATACACCACCCCAGAACAATCGTGCCGTTCAGAGAGGCTAGTAGAAGCAACGGCTGCTGAAGGGGGGCTGCTCCTAGAAGAGTGCTATCGGAGCACGCGTGCACGTAATGCAGAAAGATGAGAACAAAAGCGAGAACGATGGAGGAGCAGACGCGAGCAGTCTCGGTTGCCGTCACCGCCGCTTCCAGCGCAGCGCACAACCGACCCGTCACTTCAGAGAGCGTTCGTGTTTCTGTGGACTCAGCGATGCCCGGTCCAGAGCGTCCCGTCGCGGCAGCACCCTCCCCAATCTGGCCGGAAACTGAAGTAACAAATGATGCTAAGCGTGCAAATTCTTGCCCTTGTTGTGCAGCGCCCGGCCCTAATTGTTCATTGCCCAACATGGCGTCCCCAGTATCTGCTCGTTCACCTTGATGGACACTTGTTAAGCCAAAATCTTTCGCAGGCGACGCACCCGCTGCTGCGAATGGTCTGGGTGAGATAGTGTCAGAATGTATCCCTGGGACGTTTGAACCTGTATGCTCGGAGGTGCTTTCCCCCGCATCGATTTTGGCTGCCACTTTCTCGCCCGTGATTGAAGCCAGCCGGTCTGTTCCGCGTGCTAAGATCCTCTGCCGCCGGGCCTCTCGGCGCTCTGCTTCTGTAGCCATTGGGCTTCTCCTGGAAGAATGCCACCACGGGAACTGAGCGAGTAGCAGGACCCGACGCCCTTTTCTGTGCTTGCTCTGCAAGAATCGTCAGCTCGTCCAGCCTCACATGTTCACCATTGAAAGATGGACTGCAGCAGAGCAAGAAGTGAGTGGGTTTGAGTAAGACCAAGTTAGTAAGAGCTGAAATCACGAGGGTCGGCAATTCATCAAACCCAAGGTTAGCGGCCTGCGTTACGAGCCTCCTTTGCTACATGCTGGTGGCGACACAGCTTCAAGTGGGGACGCGCGACAGGCAACACCGAACCCAATTTCTGGAACCGCAATGGCAAACCCTAACGTGCAGATCGTGCCTCTGATGTCTTCTATTATCCAGCGCTAGCTTCGAACACGCATGCATGCTATTAGGTATTAAACTTATAAGCCTGAAGTACTAGGGTAGGTACGCGCTCATGAGAATTGAGTTGATCATGGCTGCCATGCAGGGTGAACACGAGGAAACTCTCCTGGACACAGCTATTTTTCATGAGCACATGTGCTTGCTTCCCATCTGCAAATTTGATGAAGATGCGTGCAAGCTTAGTAGCTAGCTTGCATGGTGGCGCTGTCATGGTCGCAACGCGTGCTTAATTAGCCAACACAGTGGCACCACTGCTCGCACATCATCATGTGCATGCGCCCGACCCTCAATTCAGTGTGTATTTCGAAAATGACGCTGATCCATGCGCTGACTCGGAGTTGCAATCTTTTGTTGTACTACCTGTAGGCTTCATGTCATCGGAAATTTCACTCAGATTGCTAGTGCTGTCAGCAGGCTCATAATCTATCTTTGCGACTCGATAAAAGAGCAAAACCTCATATGTCCTGCATGATCTCATTCCGACACTGGAGCCGCGCCCTGACTTCAGAAAACCATAGATCTAGATGCCCCGCAACCGTGACGTCTCAAACCCTCCGTGCCCAAGGGACATGGTCTCATCGGCAGGCTGTTCATGATATGGCATGCTGCCCCGCTTGTGGATTGAGTCCCTGTAAGCCATGGCTGATCATGACATAATTGACATACCATGCAGCGGCGGTGCATCGCATGGAGTCACTACGAGTCACTTGCGTCTTCGACGTTTAACGCCCTGACGAAGCCACGTACACTGTCCTGAGCAGGGCTTCTAAGCTAGTCGCGCCCTACTTGACTGCAGTGCATCAAAGGGCGCCTTGACAAAGCATGCGGTTGACGAAGATACATTTGACTGCTCCCTGGCTTAGTCATAACCTCCAAAAAGATAACTTGCTGCCTGGTCCTGATTGCCGTTGCAAAGAAGCAGCGCATTCTGGGCAGCCGCTCTATCGAAACCTAGGTCTACAAGTGCTTGAATCTTCCCCTCTAGTTCCGAAGTCGCCTGCGCAATAGACAAGGAACGCTTATCAGCAAACGGGTTGTCTGATCAGCTCCCCGACCTCCTCAAAAGTCCTTGAAAGTGCGAGAAGAAGCCAACAAAGGTCCTGAAGTCGAAGCTAGCAAAGGTCCCCGTTATCAGGGGGAAAAAAGATACTCTGACTGAGGTCTTCAAAAGCATTTCTCCGTGATAACTTTTCAGGAAGCCACCTTGACTCCGTTCTTGCGACAAGTATTCAAAGGATTCTATGAATGTGTGTCCCCCGCAGGTGACAAATATCAGTCGCTCAATTGGCAACAATTGCAGCAGAATTCCCAAAGGTCCTCCAGAATGCCCCCAGATTCCGAAAGACCATTCTAGAGAAATAGAAGCCCACACCTCAACCTTCAAAGGACCAAAGTCACTCACCACTAGCGGCCCAGGAGATGCCGCTACTGGCCCGCCGGCGCCCCCCGCCGACGTCGATGGAGCGTCCGTAATTCCCGGCGGGGGCGTCGGGAGCGGAGCTTTTGGGCTATCCGAGGGGGTCTGCTCGTCCCAGAGGTAGCGCGGAATCTCGTGCTCCGGCAGGAACGGAACGGCGATGTCGGACGAGCCGAAGCGGAGGCTGCTGTCCTTGAGGTCGATGACGCACTGGTGCTTGCGCAGCATGTCCAGCCCGAAGATGAACTCCATGTCCTGGTTCTCGAGGATGGTGAACGTGCACGGCAGAAAGACCTGCCCCACCTATTCGAGAAAGAGGGAAAGATTTCACAACTAGGGCGTGAGATCCGGAAAACAGGTTGTGATTGCAGTTCGTGAGCCGCCTACTCCGAGGGTGAACTCCATGTCTCGGTTCTCTAGGATGGTGAACGTGCACGGCAGAGACACTTGCTAAACCTGTTCAAAAGACGGAAGGGGAGGAAGAATCAGAGCTAGGGCGTTAAAATCCGAACAAAGAGTTGTTGTTGCAATCCGTGAACGGGAAAGCGAGACCTGACAATGAACTCCATGTCCTGGTTCTCGAGAATGGTGAATGTGCACGGCAGGAATACTTGCCCCACCTGGTTGAAAGACGGAGGGGAAGGGAGAATTAGAGCTAGGGCGTGAGATGGGAAACAAAGTCGTGGTTGCCGTTCGTGAGCCGCCTACTCCGAAGAGAGCCGCCTACTCCGATGATGTACTCCATGTCATGGTTCTTGGGGATGGTGAATGCACGGCAGGAACACGTGCCCCACCTCGTTGAAGCAAGGGAATATTAGTGCTAACACACGAATTTTGGAAATGGAGATTGTGGTTGAGAGGACTCGAGCAGAGGCGTGGAGTCCGGAAACGAAGTTGTGATTGCAGTTTGGGAGCGCAAAAGAGTGCAAAAGATGAACTCCATGCCCTGGTTCTCGAGTATGGTGAACGTGCACGGCAGGAACCGCTTGCCCAACCTGTTGGACAGAACGGAAAGGGAAGCCAGAAGTGAGGCGTGAAGTCAGAAAACGGAGTTGTTGATTGCAGTTCGTGCGTGCGAAAGAGAGACCTTAAGATGAGTTGGATCTCCTGGTTCTCAAGAATGGTGAACGTGCACGGCAGAAAAACCTGCCCCACCCGGTTGAAGCGAGAGGGGGAGTCAGTGCTAACGCGCGAGGTTTGGAAACGAAAGTCTGGTTGACAGGAAGGATCAGAGCAGAGGCGTGAAGTCCAAATCGGAGCGCAGAAGTGGGACCTGCCTAAAACGAAATAACTCCATGTCCTGGTTCTCTGAAATGGTGTAATGTGCACGCAATAACACCTGCCCAACCTATTCGAGGAGGAGGGGTGGAGAAGAACAGAACAGAGGCGTCACGTCTAACAGGAAACCCCTGATATTCTGTCTGCGAACCAGCAATCTGCCAAAGTCAAGGACCTAGGAAAAACAAATAACCACACTTCAAAGAGACATATAACCACACTCCAACACTTTCGCTAAAAAATAACGAAGTTGTACATCCCAAGTGCGGAGAAGAGGGGAGAGGCCCAGCCCATTAGGGCAGGGGCAAAAAGCTCACCAGGAGCGCTGAAGGAGCGAATGTCAAAAGAAAAGCCAGAGTACGACGTGCGAAAGCGGGAGAACAGCACGACCGGCCGGAAGACAAAGAATTGCGATACGTTGGGATTGACAAAGACGCAAGGTGAAGAGGACTAGATCTGTCGTTCAAAACCAGACAGTGAACGGAATCGGAGGGGGCATATGGTCAAGGATAATCAGACTTACTTTGATCGTAGCGAGATGGACGCGCCCAATGATTTTGCTGGTGCCGACGCCCTTTGCTATACCGTGGTACCGCTTGTCGACGAGTCGCATGATCCTGTAAAGAAAGATGCACAAATATCGATTTTATATCGTTGACTTAGACCCACCTTAAAGCCTTTCAATCCCCTGGACTCACGAACTGTAGACAAAGTAAAACTGTAGGCCGAAGGGTGACAAGCTCCGCACCCATACCCCCCTTAAACCCCGAAACCAATCTCACCCGTACCCAACTATGACCAAATATCAACACGGCCGTAAATCAACGCGAAAAACGAGAGAGTACTGAAAGCAGCGGCCTCTATAACAAGCCACACACAAAGTCGAGGTAGGACAGGCTCACGCACAGCGTCATGCAGATCTTGCACAAGTTCCGCACCGGGCGTTGTATTCAGCCCTTCTACGAACCTTTCGAGCACTCTCCAAGGGTTACCAAGAGAGACCTGGAAAGTGAATTGAAAGACTCCTGAAACGATGACTCGATTTTTTAGTCGTTCTAAACGATTCATGGACGCCCCTCTCAAAGATTGTACTGAACGTTCTAAAACAGCAGGTCCGCCCGATTCTTTCAGCAAACAACTCTTCTTCGGCACATTCACTGGTGCTGCTTTTCCCACTAAGATAATCGGAAGTGCATATCAGGAGCTCAACGGTGGAGCTCAAAGGGGCAGTGCTTCTTACCCACACCGCTTCGCGCACGCCTCTGACATGATGGTAGACTGGGCGCCGGTGTCCACGAACGCCTTCAGGGGCATCCCGTTCACTTCCATGTCCACGTACAACATGACCTGTGCCCAGGAGTCAAGCTTGGCGACTGACATCAAAGTGCGCTCGCTTTGAGCGAAATGACAACAGGAACACCTGCCACGACAGTATGCGCGTGGTCTTTTCAACCTTATTCTCTCGAATCCCATGGTGTCTCCTCTACCGAGCACGATTTTTTGGAATCGATGCTGTTAGTTCAGTCCGACTTGAAAAAGCTCTCTCGCAATTATGACCTGAACGAAAAATCAAGTGTCCTAACATGACGAGGCTCACCACTCTGCCAAAGGCCTCCGGGTTATGCTCCATCGCATTCCCCATATTCTCGTCGATGTTCTCCTGCATTCAAGAGCAGCTTGAATCATTGAAGTGGCACGAACTATCTTTGGCTTTTCAGAAGATGCATGGGCAGACCCCAGAAGGCGGTCTCACCAGAAACGAATTGTCCAGAAAGACGGACTACGTGTATGAAGAGAGGGTTGAAGAATCAAGAGATTATTTCTCTAGCTCAGAGAGTGATTGACTGAAGCAACTCGCAGTTCGACCTGCTTCCTTTCGCAGTCAGGGATGACGCAAGATGCTCAGCAGGCTTGATACGCACAACTGGTGAGTTCTCAGGAGCGTCTTTGTAATTTCAACGATTCATCAACCCACTAGCCGTTCACTTGCCTGTTGAATCCGCTCCTCAATCCGTCTCTGTGCTTCAACGTCAAACGGGTCAGCGTTCATGTCCGCCTGTACGAGAAAAGCCGTTCGAGATGGTCACTCCAGGTGAGAATCTTTCGAGATGGTCGATGCAGATGGTACACAGCTCAGAGCCACAATCTGCACAAGCAAACCCCACTGACTTCTAAAGATCCCACAGAGACAGCTCCTGTACATTTACGCAGAGACTCAATTGTTTTGATCTGAAGAGAGAACAAAACCAATGCCCCTTAAACCCCTCGGATGCTCAGGAAACTCTTTCAAGCCTTGATCAAGGGTAGGAGAAGTCTACTGACAATCTCTTGCTGCCTTCGTCGTTCAGCTTCCTGTCGTTGGCGATGCCGCTCCTTCAAAAGGTCTTGGAGTCTGTCTATGGGCCCATTCATGATTGCGTGGTGCAGAGCAGAGTCAGCCTGCAATCAGAGAATAGTCTGCATGTCAAAAGGTGAAGATAGACCTGCGGAAGTTGAGCTCTCGACACACGAGGCGAACCTGGAAAGAAGTTGCTAGCAAATGACTCAACTTTTGTGCGGAAGTAGCAGTCGACAAGCATGTTGGATGCAATGATGGCTTGAGCTGCCAGACAGGCTGGCCATGTTCCAGAGGCAACCTCAGGCAGAAGCTGAGAACCTTACCGTTTTCAGCTGCTGCATCAGGTTTTGATCGTTCTGCAAGTGTCTTTGAAGAGCCACCGGGTTTGCAGCCGATCCGTCAGGGTTTACCATCAACGGGTTGTCAGCAGCTTGACGCCTGTCCAAGGAAAGACAGGGTTCTTCGACACAGGGTCCTTTGCAATTCAAAGATGCAAACCAAAGAAGTGAAGACCACACAGGGTACAATACCCCGCAAAGTAAAGGGGCACATGCACTTTACTCATCATGTAAGCCAGCTTGAGAAGAGAGTCTGCCACCCTGATTTGATTGGAGGTATTAGTCAGGGGGCTTACTCCTGGGATGCTTCTACTACCATGAGCAGGTCCCCATCTTTGACTCCGCAACCATTGAGTCTTGCGTCATTGGGGAGGTTGCGGCCGTTGAAGAGAAGGCGCTGATTCCGAAGAGGAATCTGAGTCTGCACACCACAACGAAGTGTTATGAAACTTAAAAGCTGAAACGAGGTCATGTTCCAGACCTCTGACAAAATCAGAGACAGCAGCAAAGTTCAGTGACAGAAGTTGGGTGAGGATAGGGAGACTAGCTCAGCAACCATGACTTGAGATACCTCCCACAACGGACCTGGATAGAGCATGGCCAACCACCTCCGACAGGATCAAAATCAGCAGCAATTTTGAAAGCGAAACTGCTCACCTCAACCTCCAGGATTGCTTTCACGTTCTCCACCTGCAAAGGAAGCAAGTGGGTTTGAGCTGAAAGTTTTGCAATACAGGCGCCACTGCAACAGTAACTGCTCTTGGCCTAAAGAACATTTCATCTCGTCACACTTCTTGTTGCTTCTAGCAACTCAAGACAAAGAAACTGAAATAGAATCCACAAGCAATCTTTGAAAAGATTGAAAGAAAAGAGAGCCACCGGTGCGTTCGACCACCACACACACCTGCTCATCCTGCTCCACATCGAGCGTCACAATCCGCTCGTCAGCGGTGCTGACCATTAATTGCATCTTGCCTTCTGGAACTCCTTGCTGCACAAATTCCTGGTGGACCTGCTCCTACCACCACACTTTGAAGAAGTAGGCGCACCCTTTGCTTTTCAGCTTCTGAGTACAGCTCTTGCGTTACGCGTAGCTGAGCAGCAAGCTGCTCAGAACTAGGTACGGGATAATGTCTAGTAGAACGACCTCGAAGTTCGATAAGACTTCGAGACTGTCATCGAATCGGTTGCAAGGACTTTGGAAGGTGGAGGGGGAGCGCTTTCATCCAAACAGAGTCAAACTTGCAGTTGACTTCTGCCACTGGTTGCCGTCATCATTCAATGGTGGCCCTAGTGCGCAGGTCCAAATTGCTTCCTCTTGATCACAAGGGGTTTCCCCAGGGCCAGGGTTTCCCCAAGGTTTCCTTGAATATTTTACTGAAGTGCTGCAGCCCCGTTCTTCTTTTTTGAAAACTGACTCTGCTTGCCGCAAAGGCCTGACTTGTGAAGCTCCTTGAAATTGTCCAAACTGGTTCTGAGGGCACTTTCCTGGAGGCCAATGCAACTGGCAGCAAGGGTACGCGCGCTACAAAGAGCTCAAATGGTATGCAAATATTGCAGAGGCTGATTTGCTTGAGCTGACAAGCACAGAGCCGCCGAGCTAGTGTCTGGTTGGAACTAAGCACTTCCAATTGGAACCCCACCACTTACAAGAGTTTGCACACACTCACAGGGTGATGTCAGCTGCTCTCCCCTCAACACAACGAGATGGGGCGCACTTTGCCAATCCTCCTGCTTCATCCTGTTTTCTTAATTGCGATCAGCGCTCTGCTGCAGTTGACATCAGCAACGTTGCTCTTGGGTCAAATTGTCACTGGCAGCGGTTACAACAAAGCGATTGAGGTGCGCAATCCTGGGCCCTTCAGTGAAGCAGTGAACCTAACCCAATTTGGCTTGCTCTGGCTCCCCAACGGGCAAGACTTTCGTGTGTCCGGTTGGCAACAGCTCCAAGCCCCTATTGCAGCCGAGACGGCTCTGGTTCCGGGGGGTGGATCATACCTTATTGCGCACACACGCGCGGCCCCCTGGCTGGTGGGAAATGCAAGTGCCCTTAGTGAAGTAAGTTAGCCGTGTCAGAGATTCTTCAACAATACACCATCCTTGCTGCAAGTTCAGCACTGGAAAGTGGTTCCTAGAAAGCTTAGAGCATTTTGAACCCGCCGTGCTGGTGTTCGCCTTTGCAGAGAAACTCAAGACTGTCATGGGTGTATGCACGGGGTCCGTCTGCAGTAATCCAGCGAGAGTTTCTAGTCTCTGTGGTTTACATTGTGACTCTGTAGTACATTTTGGCATCGAGGCAGTGTTGGGATGCTACCTGTGTATGGAGTCCTATTAAGGCTTAGCTCTCGGTGATTGATATGTCAACTTGCTGCAGAATAGAGACTCGCAAAGCTTTGGGAACTCAAGTAGCACTAAATACTTGAAGATTGTATTAGGAGGGGTGCAGCGGTTTGAGGTACAGGTTTTGGTTGCGCAGAAACTCCTTTTCTTGACAATGATTCTTAAAGTACCAGTCTCCTTCTACAATGCTGCTGATCAGACATGAGTGCCGCTGTGATCCCACTTTCCCAGAAAACTTTGGTCCTCAACAAGCAGAGGGGCCGGTCGAATTTCCACGAGCTTTGCCAGCAGTCTGTATCTCATCAAAGAGCTGGTTTGTACAAGAAATAACGGCCGCTTCAACAGTGGAGGTAGCAGGGTTATCTATAGTTCTACCAATCAGCTCGTACTTCTTTTGGTTGGTGGAAATGTGTAAGCACATAGCTTTACTCTCAAGACGCAGGACTCTCACAGCTCCTTCCTGGTGGCTGCCCATGTTATCATCTGCTTAACGTCCATATCCTTTCCCGCTCGCCTGTGCAGGCTTTCCTTTTCGATGGGAATGATGTTCTCGCGCTGGCAATGCGGGCGGACAACAATACCTGGCTGCCAATTGACATTGTGAGCCTTCTTTCCTCCAAACGGGGCCTGGTTTACGGTTCTTCATTCAAATGTCCTGTCTGACGGAAACCACCATGACATTTGGCTGGTTCCATTGTCGAATTCAGCAACAAGGAACCCCGTAAGTAGGCGCGTGGAGCCCTTGTACAGGTTTTTTGAGAGAGGTGACGATCTGTCACGGTCATTATGACTGGTGAGGATAAACCGGTGTCAGATTCGGAGCAGTTGACCACGACATATGGGAGGTTGAAGCAGTCGACTGCGACATATTGGATGACATTGTTGGCACTCAAAGTGACATCAAAGTGGAAGCTTGTCCTGAAGCAAGTTATCTTTGGAATTGAAAGACTGTTCTTTTCTGTCGCCATCCTCACCCTTTCTAATGAAGACCTCAGCACCCAAGGTCTTACCTTTGTCTGATCCCTCTTCAGAAAGGAACTGAATTGCGTGGTCGTTTCTTGATCAGTCTCGACTTTTAGCTGGACCTTGTTTAAGCGTGACTAAACCGCTTGCTAACCCTTGTCCCATGCCTTGCTAACCAGGTCGGAAACCCGAATCGCTACAATGCGAGCGGGTGGGCTGTTGCCGGACTCCCAAGCGCAACCCGAAACCACACCCTCTTTCGCAAAACCAGCATCACTTCTCCCACCGTAAACTGGACCCTTTCCGCCGGCACCGACGCCGCCTCCTCTCAGTGGATCGTTCTTCCGAGCACCGTTCTCAGACCCGGGGGGTCGAACGGCACTGGATCGGTCCCCCTGACGAGCGGGCAGTGTAGCAAGGCCGCTGGTGTAACAAGTGACCGGAGGAAAAATAAGAGCGTGTTGAAAGTTGCCATGTGGACCGTGGACTGGTTGTTTGACGGCGTTAGCGATCCGGCTGGGTCGCCCTGGAATGGCGGAGCAAGTTGTCCAGGTAATAGTACGTTCGCGGGCGTAAGACCTTCATTAGGTCGTTCCTTTACAAAGGTGCAAATAGACATCGCAAGCGCGGCCAAAGTGGATGCGACGAGTCTTACGTACTTGTACGAATATCAATCTGTTTAAAGGCTTGGTACAGTTATCGACTCCTGTCAACTGTCGAGACGAAGCCCCGCTCCTTCTTTGCTGTGTCGCTAATTCGTTCGAACCCCCAATACAGAGAACCCTCCCTACCTCTATGAAAGGGCTTATGACGTACATCTTTCCCGCCCCTGATCATCGGTCCCCTAATGGATTGGGGTTTCCTCGCTCTCAGCCCGCGGCCAGAACAAGATTCAGGAGATGAATGAACCAGGAGACCGTGCACTTGCTTTCCTGTTCTATTGCGAATTTCGTTTCTTTTCGTGCTACTGACCTCAATCTCGGAGATTCGGTCAAAGTCGGTGACAAGTTGTTTTCAAATTTCCTTACTTCGATTCGCCATACGCCCTGTATCATGTGCAGTCGACTGGGGCCGCCTCATAACGACACGTCTTCATCTCTGGATCTCTGAAGTTCAAGTTCAAAGAGACGACTTTTTTGAACTAAACGAGTTTCCCGCTGCGCTCAGGCAATCCTGGCGACCCGGGTTTCACGCCCTTGAACCAGTGCAACGCGGCAGGGGCGGCAGCACGGATCCAACGGGTGGTGCGCCGCATCAAGGATCTTGATGGTACGTTTCCGTCGACCATCTTTCTGCAATCCGTTCCATCCAGAACGCACCCCTTGCCTGTCACATTCTTATCTGAACTGACGTCTCTTGAGGTTTCGCTCGAATCGCGAGTTTTGGCAAAGTTGTTTCATCCAGAAAGTTTTCTAAGTTGCACTGCTTTCTGAGTTGACGTCCCCTGCCCGACTGGCCGTGCGGAGCTCCCGGGAAGTCAGGGATCAGTGCCCGATGTCCGTTGTCCGCTGTCCGCTTTGTTATATTCGTATCTTCAGAAGTAAGCGTGACTAAGTTCTCAACTCCCCGTATGACTTCCTTCTTCTTTTCCTTCACTTGGCTCGCCATTTTTCTGTTTTGCCAGTTATTGCCGGATTCTTTCATTTTGTCTTCGCTCAATTCATGTCTAAGATTTGCTCAATCAGATGACAGCCAGGCTCTCGTGTTCGATGCCTACGCCCACTTTACGTGCCGCACGCAATTGAAGACATTGCAAGCGGCGCCCCAGACAAGATTTATCTCCTTATCTAAAGCTCGCAATTCAGAATGAAAAGGTGCTGACATTACATGCAAATTGCTGACGTCATCCGGACACAATTGCTGACTTCCATAGCAATTCTTGTGCTCCCATGCAGTCGACATCCTAAACCTGGTCCAAGTAGAGAGCTGCGGTGTCCTGCAGCAACTGGTCAACGGTTCCGATGCAGGGTGAGCTCAGAAGTCATTACCTACGCTTCAAGAGCCCTCAAGATTGGTCGTTGTGCTTTTTATTGTGCATCGCTTTGGGAGCTTGTTTTTGTGTGATACTTCAGCATGCTTCCCACTGATTGACTGAAGTCAGAGGACGCGGCACTGAACGAATAGCGTTCTTGAGCTGTCCTGTCGTAAGGCCCGAAGTCGACACTGTACTGTCAATAATCAAACGTGCTCATCCCTTTTCTCTCAAGATTATGATTTGAAGTTCGCGGCATCGAAGCATTTTTAGCTAGCCTTTGGACCTTCAAAAAACTCGTGGTCCGTCGTGCCCAAGACTTCTACGGAGTAAAGCGGTTGTGCTTACGATGCGACGGACATCGACTTCTGTAATTTGCTGTTTCATCGTTACGTTGATCTCCCGAAGACACTGCATACAAGTTGCAGGCTAGCGTTGGCAAGAGACGCTGCACATTGGAGACACCGTTGTCCGGGTTTGCTTTCACTTTCGTGACAGTTTGTCTTATTCGCCTCCTCCAGGTATGCCTCGTATCTGGGCGTCTCGAACGACTCCGTTTCAGGGCTGAATCTAGGACTGCTGTTCAGGCTGGACCCCATTCTGCCCATCGGAGTAAGTGCAAGCGATTTTTGTTGCAACAAGAGACTCGCTACCGAAAACCTACTTGTAATCGTTTTACTTTGTCCATGGCCCAGTAAACCGTCACTTGGGGGGATCGACCGTTCCAAAGCGGTGTGCTTTGCGACAAGAGCGTGCTCTTGTGAGGCTCTTTACAGTCACGTATAGCGAAGAAATTGGACATGTCGCTTAGGCAGCTCTGTGCGTCCCTCCTCGTTCCACGCAAGACATGGAGGGAGCTTCAAAAAGAAAAGGACAACGTGACACTGCTTTCTCGTTTGCTTGAGATTGACGGTTTGTGAGCTGGGAGACTTTGTGTGCCCCTTGCTGAACTTACAAACCATATCCGGTAAGAATTAGATGACCTTTTGGTCAATTATGGTACCTCAAAAAAACCGCCAGCAAACGTGCCTGTATAATGTTCCTTCGCTTTACGAATGCCCAACACTTTGGCAACAGGGTTGCGAGAACACCTCAGCCGCCAGCATAGAAAGCCACAGTCGGCCTCATCCGTTGGTGAGGCTATGACTGCAAGCGGCTGACGTCATGCTCCCCTGCAGAGGATCTTGGGGAACATGAGCTACCCGCTGCCGGGCTCCGCCTGCGGCTTCAGCGGAACCGGAACGACCGACGCAACCGCCAACTTCCGGACGACCTTCCAGGTTCTCAACCGGTCCGTGGCGTTTATCGGTATGGAGCTGCCAGGATTCCCACGAGACCCCGAGAGTTGCGCCGTTAGGGAAGCGCAGGTGAGACGAAAACCTGCGTTCACACGGGCTAAAGTTGTTCCCGTTTTTGTGTGTATATCTTAGCGATCCGGGTCAGGAAAATTGCTCAGTTTGACGTTCAATTAAGCTCAGGGGTTGCCGCAAGATCCCCAGAGCCCAATTCTTGAGGAGCAGAAACCGTACTTCGCTATTTCGACAACCCTTCGCAATTCGTGACGTGGGTTTTAACGTTCCCCCTGGCATAAGCTGCTTGCACACTGTGTCACGACGCCGCCTTGCAATCTTGGAGTGCTCTCTGCCGGTCGACTATCATCGAATCCAGATGATGCTACCGTTTCCGATTTTATCCGCGCCTAAGAGCGTCGAAATAACGACGAAAATAGCCTTTTCTCCTCAGGCTTGCCTGTCCGACGACCTTAAGGCAGCAATTATCAGCGCGGAAGTGCACCTAAGAGTGTCTAAATAAAGCTTCATCAGCTTTTCTCCAATGGCTTGCCTGTCCGTCGTCATTGCAGGCAGCAATCATCAGTGCGGAAGTGCAGCGCCGGATCGCGGCCGGGCAGGAGGTTGTGCTCGCGGGCAATCTCAACGACTGGTCGGCCGTGGACACAGACCCCCTGGTACGTCTGTCAACCTCTGAGTCGTGGACTCAAGAAGATTGTACATTCCACGGAGTACTGAGACTGTACTGTTGTGCATTCTAGTCTCTTTCAGCCGCCTCCTCTCGTCCAACCCCTCCAGTCGTCCTTCTGGATGATGAATCTGCAGTAGTGCAACTTCGCACGGACCCCGCCCTTTGCTTCTTTTTGCTTGATCGGCCTCCTGCTTCTGAAATGCCGACCGATCAATGGTGCTTGCCTTACGTCAAGCTCATTACGGCTGATCCGTTCAGGCGCGGTCGCTTTATCGCTTAATTTTTGCCGGCACTTCCATCTTGACGCGCAATGCACTCTTAGAACGAACCCTCACATCTAACAATCTTCTTTTTCCCTCTCGGCCGCCTCATTGTTCTTTCACCACCAAACGTCTTTCCGCTTCTCTCATCTTTTCTCTGTGTTTGAGCAGCACTTCTTTGTCCAATTATCCGAGGAGCCTCTCTTCAACGGCTCAGATTTGACGCCACGCTTGTTTTCCGTCGCAGGGTCACGTGCCCATCTCCCGGGTTCTGCAGTCGCTGCAATACCCAAACGCGTCCGGTCCCCCGCAGCTCATCAGCGCTGCCACGTGGTTGTCCGACGCGAATCGTTACACGTCCGAAGGTCCGGCGGTGGCGGGGGGATTCCCCGCGCCCCAACAAGTGGACTTTATCCTCGTCACGCAGGGGCTAGCGAGCCTCAACGTGACCGTACAAATTGCCCATGATAACGTGAGTCTACTAGTCTAGTTATTTTGGATCCCTATCGTGTCTGTAGTTTCCAGCTAAAAGTTTTCTGGTCAATGCGTGAGATTACTTGTCCATGGCATTGGACGTTGCTCTGTTTTTGCAGCGAAACGCCCTTCCTAGCATTGCTCTTTCGTCAGAGATCGTAAGCGTTTGACTTGATGGAGGCGCCAGTTTGCCGTGTCAGGAAAGTGTTGGGAACGTATCTTGACAACCCGCTGCCTCGACCCGCTGTCACTGTCGTCTCTTTCTTCTGCACGGACCTGGCACAGACCTCTTTTTGAATTGAACGCACCTTCGTGATTTCGTGGTTTGTACGGAGACAAACTTGGGGTCTTTCGGATACACCTCTGAACATGGTTGCCAATGACAGCATTTCGCTTCTTTCAACGAGGCTTCCCTTCCGCACGTTTCTACAGGCTACTCTTCAAAGTCTGTCAAGCCATTGGCCCCTCGTCCTCACGTTGCAAGTTCCGGATAGCAAGACGGCCACTGTAGCTCCCGTTGCCCAGGTATTGTTGCCCAATGTCACTACAAGTAGTAACTCGAGTTCAAGTGTTGTAGTGCCGTCGCCTGTTGCCACGTCATCGCTTACTAGTACATTAGATAGGAAGAGCAGTAGTAGCCTTCTGCTACCGATCGTACTCGGCAGTGCAGGCGGTGCCCTCTTTGTTGCACTAGCATGCTTACTGGTTTTCGTAGGGATGCGACGGAGAAAGAGGGTGTACAGTCATAGGCGGCTTCAGAAGCAAACACAGTTAGAAGGACATAGGCAAAGCCTGGAAGTTGCGGTGGAGCAAAAACGGGAGTCTACCGAAGAGCGGGAAAGCATGGTAGAGAATGTAGATGAGGATAAAGACGATTGGAGGCCCATAGATCGATCCATGCCGACAATCAAGTCGGGTGAAATCCTAGAGCTAGGTTTGTATGCCAAATCCCCCTTTGATGATGACTAGAACGGAGGACTTTAAATGAGAGGAACCCAAATGTTAATGTTCGGATAAAGTGCGAGTGATTTGCCTGTTTCCCAAAAGCATGACTTGGAAAATCAAAATGCTGCGAGTTTTTGAATGCGTTCAAAGGTTGGCATGGGATTTTAGAGCACCTCAGACTGGACCGCCATTGCGCCATGGAACTTACATTCTATTGAATTGCTTTGCGTCTCATGGACGCATCAAAGGGTGCTAGCCATTCTGAAACCAGTGACAACGCTCTGACCGTTAAAGCTGAGTCGTCATTTTATTGAAATACAACTTGCAATCGCCGGTGTTTTGTCTGACAAGTTGCCAGAGAGGGCCATGGCGGCTGGCAATGATTATGAGACGAATTATGAAACGGGTAGCGGCCATGGTGCGGCACCGGAAAGCCTGGCGCAACTAGTTGTAGTCACTGGCGGCTCAATCCAAACAAGAGGTTCAATTGCAACTAACGACTCTAGCTTTGATTGAAGCGCGGCTCGGTACGTAGGACTCAGCCAATGGCATGCCCAAGAGATAGAGATGATGCATATTAATTTGAAAGCCCCGAGGGCAGTTCACAAGCTTAGTAGCATGTTGTTGCATGCTTGTCGTCCGAATTTGCATGACGTGCTTAGGCCGCAAAGAGGAGTACAGGAGTAGTAAGGAGCCGGCTCATGCATGCATGTCCGATATGAGTGTGGAACTCGGTGCGATCCGCGGCCGCTGAGCGCGCGCTTTGCGGCGCGCCCGCGCGTGGGGGGCCCGCCGGCCGTTCAATGTGGCGTCACGGTGCTGCCCGCCTGCGCGGCAAATCATTCGCCCCAAGTACGTACCGAGGAGTAAGTACTTGTGAATCATTCTTGTACGGACAACGTGCACATGACGCAACTGGTATCTGGTACGTACTGTACTGAGGACTTCTTGAACACTCTAGTGCCCAAAATGCTCCGCTTGTGGATCTGGAAAAGAATTTGGTGTCATCCTGGTACCTACCGTCACTTTGGAAAAAGAAAGGAGGTCCTGAGGGCATCACCCGTCAGTTGACCAAGTTCGAAGTGGAGGGCAGTCCGCCCGTTCTTTCTTCCATTCTCCTTTATCCGACGTCGATACGCCGATAGGGGAACGAGGGCGGGTGTTTTAAGCATGTCGTCGAAAAAGGAAGCCCTCGCCAGGAGTTGGCAATTTCTGCAGATTGCGGGCGACGAAAGGAAGGTTGCATTCCAAGGTACGGCGTTTTGACCAGAAGCCGCTCGCAGTCAACTGTTGACGTCAAGGCGGGGTTGACTTGCGCAACTGCGAGCTTCGTCGTTGGTCCACCCCGTTCAAAGCTTGCATGCGACCTCGCAAAACATGTCTCACAATTCGGACAAGGGGAGAGAAGACCCTCCGGGCTTTGGACTTTCGTTGGCTCCTCCCACAGGGAACCCCATGACTCTCGCGGTGAGCTCCCCTGTGGAGTTCGGCAGAATGGACTTGGGATTAGACGTGAACCCCAGCAGTTACACACGGAGTTTGCACCCCTTTCTGAGGCCTTCGGCAGCGGAGGCGACGGCCGGGGGGGTCCCGACAGAGCACGACGAAGACACCCACACTTTGACGGGGAGGAAACTAGAGGCGTTGCAGGACTTGGCAGCTGATTTCCTGAAAATGGTTAAGGACTCGAGCAGCAAAGAACTGGGCGGCGATGGGGAGCTGAAAACGCAATCTCTCTTTCGAACGGTTCCAACGAACATGGCAAAGCCCCCCCTGGGGCAGAACCCTATCAGGCGGTTTGGGTCACAGAGGCAAAACTCGCTGAGGTTTAGAACAAACCCGCCGGAGAGAATGGACATCCCGCGGGCTGTTGCGATCCCGCCCAACATGTTCAGCCCGAGTATGTTGGAGTCCCCCATTCTGCTGCGGTCATCGCAGGTGCGCACAATTCTCTTTCCTTACGCTTTCCAAAAGGAGATTGTCACTGTTTCCCTCGCGCTTGGGCAGGGGCCTTTCACATCGGAGGCTGCGGCTGCAACTGTTGAGCTGTCGTGTGCAAATACAGTAAAGAGTTGGGGGGGAGTTTTGGAGAGGACTGGGTCTGGAGCTGGTGAATGTTGTCATTGAGCTGTATGGATAATAGAAATTATTAGGGGCAGCTGGATTGCTATGCTCCTACGACAGTAAGTGGCTAGCTGCGCCGTCCGCTGGAATGTCATTCTGCGAATTGACACTCAAACTTCACAAGCCCGATGGCCAAGATTCCAGATTAGCTGTCCCTTTGTTTGCTGTTGCATCACATTATGCTCACCTACAAACCCTAATGGGGCCAGAACCAATGCCCCTTTGCCAAGTGACGCTACCTAATGCCATAAGATTCAACACTTCACCACAGCTCGCCCCCCCTCAATTTTGAAAAAGCAACACAGAACAAGGTGTTATGCCACAGGCGTAGCTTTCCGCATGCAATTGCCCCTTTGTCAACACATACAAAGTTTCATGGTTGCTCGCAACCAGCTTTCAAATCAACCCAGCAACGATAAGCTTGTACAGTCACTTGTTGTACGTATCAGGCACCATGAGCAACTCATCGAACCCAAACTGCGTGTACCAAATTGTGAAAGTGAGGCGCTTTTAAACAAATATCGTAAGTGACGCTGTTTTGTTTCTCGTGTACAGGCAGAGCCATCTCCCACCACCGGCACCTTTCCGCTGCCCCCTTTCTTTCAGGGGGGCGGCCCCGCCCTGTCTTCTTCCCCCCGGTCGCGCGAGCAGCAGGAGGCGGCCAGTCAACAGGGCTTCATGTTCTTCCAAAATCGGCAGGCACGCTCAGAGCAGGTTCCAACCCGGCTGATGTCGCCACTCTCCGGACAGGTGTGTTCTTCTCCCCCGTCCTTGTCTTAGGAACCTTCCCGTCTTCTCCTATCAGCAGAAAGACAGGGGCAAACGTTCCTGGAAGTGAGCTCTGACTTCTGAGGAATGAAGATGGGTTGTCCTTTTGACCTGTCCGGCATTGAAACTTCAATTTGTTGGCAACCGCGACCGGATGTATCCGGCAATCCGTCAGCACTGTTCCCATAGGTTGTGTTCCATGTAAACGACAGAGTTAATTCCTTACTTCAGTCACCTCCTTTACAAAATACTATCAGCCAACTGTGAGCAATCCTCTTGATTACCCGATAAGATACTGTTTCAGCCCAGGACTTCATTTGAAAGTGGTGGTCCGTGCAGCATCTTGGGAATTGGGTCTGCTTATGACCTTTTTTCTCTGCAAGAATCGAGAAAGAGTTGAGGTGCCTACAGGTAAGTGGTCTAGGCTTCTCCTATTGCTTGGAGATGCTAGCCAGGCGCTCAGTTTGAAACTACTTATAAGCGTGTCGCTCACATCCCCCCCGGTTTTCACCAGGTAGCACAATCGCCCCCGCAGCAGCCTATCCCCTTCTTCAACTCCAGCATTTCCCCCCAGTACAAGCCAAGCCCCTCGCGCCCTCCTGTTGCGTCCCGCCCCCCCATCCCAATGCCCCAGCCGCTCCAGATCAGCGACCCCCCCGAAATGTTGGAGGAGTTCGAAAAGCCCTCGGAAGACGGGTACAACTGGCGCAAGTACGGGCAGAAACAGGTAAAGGGGTCGCAATACCCGCGCAGTTATTACAAGTGCACGCATCCGGGGTGCGACGTCAAGAAGAAGGTGGAGCGATCGAAAGACGGGAAAGTCGCGGAGAACGTTTACAAGGGGACGCACACGCACCCGATGCCGATGCCCCCCCGCCGGTTCATCCAGGGGTCTCCGTCGACAATGGTTAGCCCACAGGCCATCAAAGCGACGCAAGAGGTGCCGTCAGATAACGTTCGCTCTCCTGGGGGGGAGGGCGCCGAAGGGTTAGATGACTCAGCAACGGTTGAGATAACCACCGAGATGGAGATTCGCAGCCGGATCGAGATGCTGAAGCGGGAACTCTCCATGGCAGGGGGGGTGCCGAGTTTACATATACCGGACGCCTCAAACGAACCGCCTGATCTGAATAAGGGCGCGTCGCCCCTCACAGCCACGCCGCCACGCAGTGCGGCGTCGTCGTTTGAGAGTGGGGGGGGCACAGCAGAGCGGAAACGGGCGGCGGAGGAGGGGGAGGAGGTAACGCAAGCGGCAAAGAAAGCGTGAGAAGGGCAACACCGCTCTACCAATCTGTGACTTGTGCTTTTCTTGCTGTGGTTGTGAGGCAGTAGTCAGAACTGGACAGGGTCGTTGTTTGCTTCTGCACAGATGGTAAAGCAGCTTTCTTGTAGTGGAGTTGGCTGAGATGGGGAGCTCGTGACAACAGTCGGAAGGCCCAGCGCTGTAACGAGTAGAAAGGCGGCATCGACTCGGTGTCTATTGGTTGTATGGACAGAACGATGGCCGTATTGACTCGGTGTCTGTTGCTTGTCTGGATAGATTGACTGTGGCGTAAGCTCTCCCTTTTGTTCAGTGCATGTTCTTGTGTCAGAATATCTAAAGAGCAAGCAGGCCATCTGCATCCACTTAAATATCAGTTTGAGTTTGGGTTTTCAATGGTCGAACCTCCCGAATGTGGCCTGTTGTTGTGTCGACCCAGCTGCGTTTCAATCGTTGGGAAGCATCCCCATAATGCGGCCCGTTTTTCTCCCGTGTAACGGAAAGGACGCGCTTGTGGTTCATCTGCTGCAACTTTCTGGTCCCTTCTCGATCCGGTTGAAGAGGCAACTTTTATCATTAGCAGCTTAGCTCAAAGCACTATCGTTCTCGTGGACCCTCGCACCTCTATGAGCCTCGGAACTGCTTGTTTTCTGCTCCCGAGTGCATAAGGTAGCTTGCTTTTGAGGTATTAAAACATTACTCTGTTGATTTAGGACACAATTTGGAAAGATACCTGACATCTAAACTCGGTCTCTATCACGATGCAGTCGACTGATACCGCCGCCGTCGGGGCGCAATGCGCGAGAGCCGAAGGTGGTGGTGCAGACGACGAGTGACGTGGACATCCTGGATGACGGGTTTCGGTGGCGCAAATACGGGCAGAAGCAGGTCAAGGACAACTCACATCCCAGGTGAGACCCGGCTTTGCTTCGTGCTCTCTTTTCGGCCCTCTCCAGTTTCTGCTGTCGTGGCTGCTCCCTTTTTTGTTGTCGAGGCGTGTCGTAGGGAGGGGTGGGTCGCCTTTATGCAGACGGGTACCATTGAGCGTCGAGGGGTTGCGAATCAATGGGTTCTCTGATGCGAGCGCTGGTAGTTTCGGAGGTGGCAGCACAGGAGTCGATACGTCGAGCTGCTTTTCAGAAGCGGAAAGTTCGCGTCGTTCTGGATAGACACGCTTTTACTTGCTTGGGAAGTTTCTCAGGAACCGGCTATCGGAGGCCCTTCCACTTGTTGGTGTGTTGCCAGCACTCTCGAGAGGGGGTCTGTCTTGACAAATCTGCTTGGATTTAAAACTTCGGTTTCGCAGGGGCTGAACTCTAATCCGCTTGAATACGATCAGCAAAAGTGGATACGTCTTCCGCATCAGAAAACCAAAATGATGGCAGGTGCAAGGACGATTCTTCCCGGATTTACTACGCCGATTTTCTGATGGAAGTCAGGGCTGCTGGGCTTTTATCTTATCTACAACCGGGAGCTCTTGGGCATTGCATGCGCTGCGTGCCTTTCCCCTGCAAAGTCCACAAACGCTGGCTCCCAACCTCACATACCCGCTGCTGATTTGGTTGACGGGATCTTATGCCGTTGAATTCGCACAGATATTAAATTACGACTTGTTTGTATGCGTGCAGGAGTTACTACAAGTGTACGAGTGCCAACTGCCCTGTGCGCAAGCACGTGGAACGGTCGGCGACGGACATTCGAGCAGTCATTACTACGTACGAGGGGAAGCACAACCACGACCCGCCTGTAATAGGGTCACATCACCATGACAGCCGGCCTAGCACGCCTCCGTTGCCAGCCGGGACCACGAAGTCTTTAGGGATACAATCCGTTGACACGCACTCGCTAGAGGGCCAAGGGTAACAATCTAGTCATGTAGCGCAGACATCAATGCTTTAGCTATTACCTCTTAAAAGGCATATTGTAGTTCTCATATTGTTTTGAAAGAGTTTTGGAAGGATAATACAAATACGCTTTATAAGTATGGTGGTAACCTCTTAGCATAAAATTCGAGCAGCCTATATTGATTCCAATCGGTCGCCGTTCTCCAATCTCTCTCTCTTGCGAGTTGTGGTATTGAGTTTCGAATCTGGTACGTAAGTTGGCATGTTCTGCTTTTAGCATATGATGGGCGCGGCCTCAATGATAGTGGCCCCAAATTGAGTGTAGATCAGGCTGGATTGAACGGCCCATGACGTCATGGTTCATGGAGTCATGCCGCCAATGAGTACGTTGGCCACGCGCCACCAGGTGTGTATATATCGATCATTGCATCAATCCAGCTTATGATCGTAGACTTTCTCGATCATGGTAGACGTTGATGGACGTTCTGAGCGGACAGCCGGACTGCATGCATGCCTCTGAGTGCAGATAATCATATACTGTATGCATGCATCATTGGCAACGGTTATCGTCTTCAGTGCGACTGATTTTAAGCTCTCAGTTCTTGTTGTCGGACTTGTCACTACCGTCCTCTTGATTTATATACAGAGCTTGGCTCAATATGATCTGAAGTCCGCGATCCGATCGTTTCGAATTGTTTAGGTGTAATTCCCGGTGTAATTAGTGCATGGGCAAGCTGTTGTCAGACTAGCTGGGTTTGGTTACTAATCAGCGTACGCAATTTGATCTGTCAAAGTACCTAGCTAGACGTTGGAACTCAAATTACCTCGATTCCCAAGGATCGAAGCCATGCCATGGAAGCAGCTTAGTCCTGCCTTAGTATGGTCCAGACTCCATGTGGCTACGACGTTTGAAAAGAGAACATCAATGCCGCGGCCGCCGCCTGTCTCGGTAACCACGCGGCCGCCCGGCTGCGGCGCCTTGTATATTCAAATTCAAAAACTTGAAAGCCGATCGGACGGTTTCAATTGTATCGCGAATCAATTGAGTCATCAACGGTTTTGAAAAGCTTGCGCACTCCAGCGAGGAGAAATCAGACCAACGCAGAAATATCCATGCGGCTAGATTGTCACATGATTTTAGCCGAGCGTAACGATGGCTGCAGATTGATATTGAAAGAATCTGACAATAGGCGCCTGCGCACCGTTTAAAAGGCCATCGACTGCATCTCTGCCGTCGAAAATGCACAATTCCCGTTGACAATCCGATTCGATTGAGGGGAGCGTTACATGCTGGAATTTGTGTGGAAATGAAGTGCGCTGGCACGGCACGCCATTTTCTGACCAAATTTGTGGTCGATCTGCGCAACTTTGAAAGGAAGGGTCGCCTCGTTTCGTAAACTGGTTTCCAGGCTTCAGCTCTAGCCTAGGGAGGAAGCACTGGCAGAGGGCGGACAAGGAGAATGGTTCTTTTCGGGACCCTGAGTTGGAAGGTGCCTTTCCTGACGTGTGAAGCTTGACCAGAGCTCCACGTGCAGATGGCAAGATTGTAACCATCAGATGAATAGGTGCCAAGCATCGAACGGTGTGCATCTCCTCGTCGGCCCTCATGGTTCTGGGTCAGACTTCGGGTTTGGCTACTGCAACTTCATTTTGAACTCGGAGAGGATCCAGTGGGGCAAAGCATCTTGCAAAGTGTTATTGAAAACATAGCGTTTTTAAGCCGGATGGTTTGACACACGAGATCTACAGATCCCGGTAACTGTGACCCCAAATCACTAAAGGCACCTTCAAACAGCCCCCGGGCTCAGGGCCACCAAAAGAATCATTCTCCTTGTCCCCCCTGGCAGAGCTAGAGGGGTCAGAGGACGCTAGGTACAGCCAGCTCATAGCGTAGGTCCATAGCTCGTTGAGCCCTTGAAAGGTTGCTGTGCAAGGGGTTGTTTGCTGGTTCTCGAGTCGGGAGCGCAGAGAAAGTGGTGCATTGCTGCCGACATTGTGGAAGGAGACTTGCCACATTCTGCGCTGCTTGACAACTTCGGTCGCTTGAGGACGCTATAGCTTGTTTGTGCTCAAGACTTACCGAAGGAGGCAGCATTTTGCCCCAATGCAGTCGGTGGGGGATCATGGGCACGGAATGGGCCATGCATCACAACCTCTTAGGCCCAATTTTACTCAGGCCATTGCGAGCGGTCTGATGCCGGTGCCGCAGCCAGAACAAGAGGTGCAAAAGAAGAAGAGGGGGCGGCCACGAAAGGATGCTACAGTTGATGGCTCTGTGCCGCTGTCGCCGGAAGTGCAGGGGCAGAAGCGCGGGAGAGGAAGGCCTCCGGGGTCAGGAAAGAAGCAGAAGGAGGCAATGGCAGCAGCTGGGGAGGGGGGATTGGGTAAGTTTCTCTACAGCCTTGCAAAGTGGCTCTCAAAGTCAGTGGAAGTTCCCTCTATTCTTGAAGTTAAGTCTTGAAACATCAGTTTGGTCACTGGACCTTGAGAAGGGCGAACTGGATCATCTGCATTGGTCAGTTGGTGGGAAGCCCACTGCGAGTGCAGTACGTACCTGCTTCCATCCATGTATAAACTATGCTGGACATTGTCGTTTCAGAATAACAAGCAGCATGCAAGGTCAAGTAGAACGCTCTTGTGGCATTGGTGGCACGTCTAGCAGTGTTGTATTAGGAAACAAAGTGACGTAGACAGTGCCTCACCTTTGAATGACCATACATTGCTGCACCAGTTGACAAAGCCACTCCTTGCCTTTGTTGCTGGAAGCGTCAGTAAAATACTCTCCATGCCTATGTCTGTGTTCCTGAGTTCTATGCCACTGGAATATTGCCCTTCCTGCAAGGCCAAAGAACCTTGGAAGTGATGCAGTGGATGCTCTGTGGATCGCTTTCGAAGCCGATTGAGTACTGTAGTAGAGCAGCTTGAACAAGCATGGTGTTGAATGATTTTTTGAAGGAAGGAGGGATATGTTGTTATGAAGGCACACACCAGAGGCTGAGCTCCATTTACCTTACTGATCAGGATAATAATTGTGTCAGTTCGTCCATCACTTCATGTCTTCTTTTGTGGGAACCTGGTCAATGAAACAATGAAAGAACAGCGGGTCGCCGTTCCTTCTTGTTACGCTGGGGCAGCGAATCTGAGATGAGACTTGCAGTTGCATTTTTGATGGCTGATCTAGAGGTAGGTAGTCTCACGCCGTAGTGTGCAGTCCTCACAGAATCATAAGAAGCTTTCGTAGAAAGACAAGCGGAGGCATCGTGCGGAATGCTTCAAGCTTACGAAGGACGACAGCAGTTACTTTATCTTCGATGCAAGCAGCAAATTAATTTGGGTACCCAAACCGTCATTCTCGCGGTTGACCCTGTAGCAAGTGCCGAAGGTGAGAGCTTTAAAAAAGTGCACCTGCAAGTGATGGCAGAATACCAGCAGGTCAGCAAGAAAGACAGCGCAGCTTGAAAGAACCTCAAATGCGTGTCCTTTCATTCTCCAGCGCCCCCTATTGGAATCCAAGAGAAGAAGGGCAGAGGCAGGCCTCCTACTACTGGAGCCGGTGCCGCAGGTGCGCACTCATGTGAATCATGCCCTTTCAATCAGTATTAGTCCGCTGCTAAACTGCTTCTTCACATCTGCTGTTCCGGAGCAGCCCTGGCGGTACTATGCATGCATCTTCGATGTTGTGAGGAGAATTGAGCTTGGAAGTGAAGAATTGCCTGAAACTGAGCGTCATCCGCTTCCTGTGTTGCAGGGAATGTGCCAGGGATCACGCCACAGGTCATTAGCGTGGTAGCCGGAGAGGTGAGTTTTACTCCTTTGTCATGTACCGGTCGTTGAGGCCAAAATTGCTTTCTTCTGTTGTTACTGTATATTAGTAATTCCACGGATGTTGGCAATCCCTTTCCTTGTTCTATGTTGTGAGCTTTAGTGTTGTGCTTCTTCGCTTGAAAGCACTGGGCGCAAATGTTCAACCCCACTGTCCTTCTCATGGTTTTTTTGCTGCTCCAGGATGTAAACGCAAAGGTTTTGAGCTTCCCGATGCCAACCACGCGAGCGATGGTCATTTTGTCTGCTAGTGGGACCCTATCAGCTATGCATATGAAGCAGTCCAATGCAGCGGGTGGCGTTCTGGCACTGGAGGTGAGTCCTGAAGGGCGCAGACGGCCTGCAATTTTGGAGATTGCTTGCAATTCATCACTAGGACATCGCAATGAGGTTTGAGGTACTCTTGACCTGGGACTGGAAGTCAGCATTCTTATTTGCGGCATTGAGCCTGCATCTGTCAATTCTCCTCCCACCCCTTGAGAAAGTCCCTCCAACAATCTATCAAGGTGACGTGCTCATCTTCCTTTCCAAATTTCCCAATCCTGCACCATGGCATCTCTTCCTCCACCATAGCCTCAGCAGGTCGTACTCATCAATCGAAGATAGTGTTGACAAATTCCTTCGGCTCCCTCACTCCAGATTCTCCTATGTGCAGGGAAGCTTCGACATCCTTTCCCTGTCAGGGAGCTTCCTCTCTACCGACGGAGGCCGGCAAAGATTGGGCAGCCTGAGCATCTGCGTGTCTGCACCGGACGGCCGCGTGATCGGTGGCGTAGTCGCGGGAACTCTGAAAGCGGTGACCCCGGTCCAGGTATGCAAAGCTTCTGATCAGGCGGTACGCGCATTCACAGCCAGGGTGTCTATCTTTTTTCGCGAGATTACAATCTGGTTAACCGAATGTGGACCATGAAAACCAGGGATCCCTGACTTAGGGAGCATGCCAGGCTACTTGATTGGTGTGCAAGCAGCGATCTTTGTGCGCCAAGCTTTTCAACGTTTCTTGGTGATCTGGCGCTTTGCAAGCACCAACTTCTGCCCTCTCAAATCCTGGAGACTGCAATCTTTGAAAAGGCTGGCTTTGCTGACCTTTGAAAGGTGTCCTCCCCGCGTAAGGGCACTGTAGTCTTGTTAGGATCTGGTCGAATTTGGTACGCTGAGTTATAGACGGGTCAGCCACATGGGTTCCAATTGGGTTCCAAACGAAACACGTGAGCATGGAGTTCGAGTAGTCTGGTAATCTGTTAGTTGTCCCCACAATGGAAACCTGATGTCGTTTGTAGGTTCTGGTCGGCACCTTCCCCGCAACTGGAGCCAAAGTTAGGAAGCCTCGGGCTCCAAAGCAACCGAAGCCGGCAGCGGCGGGAGCTCCCACCGGACTAATGGCCGCTGCAATGTCTCCAGTCCACGCTCAAATCCCCAACCATGGAACAGGCGGGACTGGTATCGAGCTCAACTCATGATTTGTTCATTTCTGTGGCAACTTACAGTTCTTTGACAAGCTTTAGCCTTGACAGATGCTCATTGAAGATATGCACAATAGGAACCAATGATAGTGTGACTACTGAGCTGGTTCATGTAGGGCTGTGAACATGCAAACAGACTGAGGTCCATGGTTTTTGAGTTCCAACAACCTAGACCTGCTTCAAAGCCGATTGTACATGGAAAGGGTGGCGTGCAAAGCCTCTTTGCTTGATTTGGTAGGTATTAGGTAGTCGAGTCAATACTTTGTGGAGCTCGGTGCTTTCGGAGTTCAGGTTCATATATTGGTATTAATGACCAGCCTCAGGTGTAGCTGTCATATTATGATGCAAGCTTGTCGGTGTCCCTTCTTCAATGCTGCATGATTTGTTCCACCTCTGCAGATTCCAGTGTTCTATCCGCAGCCAGCGGGGTACTAATGATAATACTATTCAGAAGGAATGCTCTTCGGATGATGCAAGAAGCAGCATTACCCAGTGCATGTCTGTGCACATGATGAACCGTTTGTTTGTGATGGTAAAAGGATGCAAAGTCCCTTGGATCTCGCTACAGCATATATCCAGACACGTCATGATGGGAGGAACTATTGACCAATTCTACAACCAGACCCTTGCAGACTTGGCAAGGTTGGTGTTTGAAGGGATTCAAATAATGACCGATACACGCTTCAGGCGGGCAGTTATCACATCTAAGGCCGCGCCGTAGTACATCAATTCAAAGAGTCCCCTGATATGTTCGTACATCGAAAGCAGACATTGCGATCGGCCTGACAAGTTGGTCTCAACATAGACTTTTCTGATATGAAGGATTAGTGCAGATTAGACTCCTGTCACACTTTCAGTCAAATGGAGGGGATTTTATCATGGATGGCAACTGAAAAAAATCCACCAGAGTAATTCTTTAGCCCCTGATTCGCAATCAAGCTCCGATGAGCTCAGTCAAACCCTGAGTACACCCCACTGTTGCGTAGCGCCCTTTTCTCTTCCTCAACATAGTTTTTACCTCTACTTGCCTGCCCAAGGTCTCGTTTCCGCTTCTCCTTTTGGGCAACTGAAAGCTCTCGCCGCTCAGCCGCTGCGTCTTGCCGTTGCTTCTTGGCCATGGCGTTAAAAGCAAGAGCTTGTGCGGCAGCCTACAGAGACACTTCTGCTGCTGATAGACTGTCCGTCGACAGGTGGTGCATTTTCAGCTTTTCAGAGCACAGTCGAAGATGTAGTACTTAGCCAAGATGTAGTTGTCATGGATCCAGATGTGAAAGAAAAGTCAGAGGGGCAATAGGGGCACGTTGCCATTTGGCAATCAGAGGGGCATCGGGGCAGGTGGCCATCTGACCGGATCGGAGTCGCCACAGAGTTCGCTGATGCTGCTTTTGGCATTGGGAAACATGTTCTGACCCAGTCATAACAGGTCGTTTTTCAACAAAACTACAGGGATTTTCGCGCACGCATCTATTAGGGCAAGGCAATTCTGGAACAGCTAAATGATGTGAATATTGAACTTCAAAAGCTGACGAAAGATATGAAGCACCTGCAGAGATCTCACGCACCTCGTTCGTGCTTTGATTGGCCGCCGCACCAGTTTGCGCGCGAGCTTCCCTGTCCTCGGCGTCGCTCTCTGCTTTCCTTTTCTCCCCTTTCGACCAAGAGTAATCAGCAGGGCCAGCCCCAGACTTCGTGTGGGGTACGAATAGAATGCTTGGGCCACCTTTGAAACCGTTCCGCTCGAGGTCTTCGTAATTAATGCTCTCCTTGGAGCCAGTTGCCGGAGCCGCATCAACAGCAGCTGTTGCAGCAGACGCTGCGTCTCTGCCGGTGGTTGTGGTTTCCAACGGCTCATCGTCAGAATCGTCTTCAGAGAAAACAGCGGCCAGTGGATCCATGTATCCACCAGGTTTCGCCATCGCACTGAACACACACAAAACTCTAGCTTCTAGGACATGCCAACCAGAGTGGCCTGCACAAACCGCTCAAAGCTTCTCTCTCGAGACCGTTCACCGTAGCCTAGGCTGCTGCTTGCAAAATAAGTGGCACGAACTGAGGATGAAGAGGGATGAACGTTCAAGTTCAAAGACCTGTTCAATTTAATTTTCAAAAGCTTTCTTCTAGAAGACCGCGAAGACGAGCTTTCAAACAAGATCTGCGCGGAAAGTCAAACCCCCTGCCCGGTAGGTCGTGCCAGCCACTTGCGGTACATACTGTTCGCTCCGGTCCCTCTTTTGGAAGTTTGTTGCAGAAGTAGGTTTTGTAATCTGCGGGGCAACGGATCGGTACGTACCCGTTATTGGACGTGCGAGGCAGCTCCCTCGGACATGCCAGTGGGAGCTGTTTCGAAACTTCTCTCGCGCCAAAGTGACTGCTCTGAGTCTCAGATTTGCTTCGCAAGAAAGCCGTTCCTGCATCATGGCGGCTCTGGACGAAGGTTAGCTGTGGGGCGCCTTGCTGGTTTCACGATTAGGTAGATCTGGACTACCGTATTTGGTTGGTCTCCTTGCGGCACTCTTCGAATTCTGTAGGAGGCCGCATGTATCTGCAGGGATTGTACCCCCCCTAGGATGTTGGGGGTGCGGGCGGGCCCCAGCTATGGGGCGCCGCAGAAGGGGTCTGTGCGACTGACAATCTTCGTGTCGGCGCTGGCGGCTGCAGCATGGATCTGGTTGCTTCTGTTCAGCCAGCCCCGATGCTGGGAGACTTCCAAGGATCGGTTGCTGGGGCCGCCATCCGTCAGCATACCGAGCTCCGATCCTTCGTTTGTGTTAGAATCCCAACTTGCGGTGCTCTCCCCCAGTAACCATGCCTTAGTCGGTCGGTCGCGGTCCACGAGCAGCACGGGAAGGGTAATGGAGTCGGAGGGGAGCACACTGAGGAACATCGTGTTTGGGATTGGGGCCTCTGCGGAGTTGTGGCAACAGAGGAAGGAGTATGTGAAGCTCTGGTGGAGGCCGGGGGAGCTGAGGGGCTATGTCTGGTTAGACGAGCCAGTAGAGATGTCAGCAGAGGATGTGGGGCAGCTCCCCGAGTTGAGGGTCTCGGAGGACATCTCGAGGTTTCGGTACACGAATCCCAAGGGCCATCCCTCGGCGATCCGCCTCTCGAGGATAGTGTCGGAGACAGTGCGGATGCAGCCGCAGGGTGTAGACTGGTTTGTCATGGGAGACGATGACACCATCTTCTCCCCGGATAATCTAGTGAAGGTGCTGTCCAAGTACGATCACACCAAGATGGTGTATGTCGGCTCCAGCTCAGAGTCGCACAAGCAGAATGTTGACTTTTCGTATCAGATGGCTTTTGGTGGGGGAGGGTTTGCGCTGAGCTATCCATTGGCTCGAGCGCTGGAACGCATGCAGGACAAGTGTCTGGAGAGGCATCCGGAGCTCTTTGGGAGCGATGATCGGATGCAGGCGTGTGTGGCCGAGCTGGGAGTGCCCCTCTTCAAGGAGGCTGGCTTCCATCAGGTGAGCAGTTCTTTTTCCTCTTTCTCTGCTCTCACTCTTTCTATGTGCCTTTGCGTAAACTGCACCTGCGCTCGTGTCGATGACATCTGTATATTTCTTTATTGGTTTTCATGTGCTATTCTTGCTGGATTGATGTCGTCTTCTCAGATTGCTCTTTTGAGGCACCCCATATGCCTTACAGCTGCACAAATGCGTCCAGCTGCACGAGTTTATCCAGAGTGCTTCTGTCCAAGACAAGTCTGCTGCTCAATACAGTCACGCGCAAGTTTTCTGCCACGATAACATGCTCTGCTCAATTGGGAGATCACCCAAGCAATCCAGATAGCTGTTCGGCAGGGTAGACCAAGTCCTGTGCGAATTGCTCTTTATTGTTTGCCAGCTGTTATGTACCAGTTTTACAATTGCTGGCAAGCCTAGATCTGCATTGCCAAGTTGTCTCCTGGCATGAGTGTCTACAATTTTAGCAAGCTTCGGAAGGGCAACCCTGATTCCCTTCAACACAAGCACTCTGGAAGTTCCTCTTTTCTCTGGTGATGTCAGTTGCAACCGCAGGTTGTGCTAGAGCAGAAAAGGGAACAGTTCGTCTGCTTGCAGAGCGTCCATGAGCCAGTGTTGGTAATGGTGCCTTTCAATGCAATCAGCAATCTGTGGGAATCTGTGGCCAAGATCTCTGTTCATGGTTTACATCCTGCCCTTGGTTGCTAATCCTATATTTAGCTGTTACAAACTGCTCAGGTGAAGGGGGAATGCGTCTTTATGTACCATAGGGACCGTCAGAGATTTTGACCATTGTTGTTGTGGCGCATGCTGTCATCCTTCTGAGTTTGTCAGATTCCCACATTGCACAACTTGCATCACAAATTGTGCAAATCTGCATCGCACTGCTTGCATCACAGATTGTGCAAACCTGCATCAGAGATTGACCTTGGAAAGAGTTGGCCTGCATGACCTGCAATTTGTACTTTTGCCTGAGGAATTGACCTACCAAACATTGCGATGATTTGTGTGCATGTGGACTCCTCTCTCTTGTCGATGGTTTTAGCTTTGCATTGTCATGCTGCTTCAGGACTTTAGATTTTCTGTTGCATTCTGGATACGACTGGGGTGCAGTCGTTCCTTTCCAAGATTGTTGTGCCATTCAATGTTTGTGGTACGAACAGCATTAGGCTGATAGGATTCTTGATTGTTTGCATTCATGATGACTGCTCGGATGCAGATGAGCTTGTGCCCTTCATGTTCAGAAGATACCTCTTATGGTGATTTGAATCTGTGTTGGCTGCATCGAGAGCCCGCTTGTCCTTCCAAATCATGAGGTTTCGTTTCATGTGGATTCAGCATCTGTCCATAAGTGGTACAGCCCTCTTGAATCCCCAAGAGGGTATTACAAACTCTGCAGCCTATCTCCGCACTGGGTATCAGTCTTCATGTCCTTGTTATCCTTCACGCATGGAACTGCTTATCTCTTTGTTAACAGAATCAAGCATGACTGCCTCTACCTTTGGCACAGTGTTTTCTGCTCTATGCATTCGACAAGCTTTTCATTAACATTGTACAGTAAGGAGGGGTTCTATGGCGGGCTTATTGAACTGTGAACAATGTGGCGACCTTAACTTTGCTGGAGGCAGGTTTTTTGTGGCATTCTGCATTTGTACGCTGGCCTCAAAATCGCTTGGTTTTCTGTTACGACTAACAGATTCGTGTCAGTCTTCCGTCATTCCTTCGCCGCGTTCGGTCTTCTATCTATATCCAATCACAATATCTCCTGCTATTGCTCCCTTCAACCTCTGCTTGTTTGGCTGGGACTATTTGTCAAAAATCCAAGATAATGTATCTTCCCCTGGGGGGCCAAGCAATATTCAAAGATTGGTTCTATTCCTCCTGCCCCGTCAATCAGACACACAACATCCTTGCACGTTCGGTCGCCTGTAGGTTTCCAACCTTTTACCCCCACTCATGGTTTCTGAAAATGGTACAACCACTTGTTTGCTCCCTAAGAAATGCGTCTTGGCATTTGCTGACTGTAAGCCTGCGTACTGCTCTCCTGATCCCTTTTTTCCTCGCCACCGATTTCCCTGCAATGAAGCCATCTACATTCTGGCATTATGTTTGCACAAACTGAACCTTGCGGCCTCCCCCCCTACTCCAGTTCGACATATACGGGAACGCGTTTGGGCTGCTCTCTGCGCATCCTCTGGTGCCATTCATCTCGCTGCACCACGTGGATCTCATTGAGCCGGTGTTCCCTGGGAGGAACACGCGCGACGCTCTCGCGCACCTTAACAAGGCGATGCGCGCCGAACCCGCTGCGTTTTTGCAGCAGTCGTTCTGCGTGGATGCCAAGCGCCGGTGAGTCGGACGGAGTCTCTCTCGGCGAGCAAAACAGTGGTCCGCGGTTTCAGAACAGTCCTTCCGACCAGTCTAAGAGCGGTTGTTGCCTCGTCACAAGTGTTTGAGACCCATAACCTGGCAAAAATGTGACTGGTCAAGAAGACCATGCGCTTCCTCACATGTGTCCACAGTGTTGCTTCCACCAACGACAAAGGCAGCTTCTCTTGCAGCCTTGCGTACTATCTTGTGTGCCCCGCCGTTTGGCAAGAGGCTTGGCAATGTTCTGCAGCCGCGTCGGAAAGTTTCTTCTGATGACGTTTTCATTGCACCCGCATGGTTTCTCTTGGATATATATGAGTACAGCCCGAGCATCATCTGTTAGCGACTGATTAAAGCCCGGGGCTTTCTTTATAGGTGGACCGTTTCGGTGGCATGGGGCTACTCAGTGCAGTGGTTCCCGGGCGTGATGCGCGCGAGGGATTTGGAGAGGCCAGAGGTAAGCAGTCTGCTTTGTCGACCATATTTGTCATCTCGAATCACCCTTGATCACCTTATAACGCAAGGGCTTGGTGGAATCAGAACGGTGTAGCAATTCAAGAATCACTCTGTTGCGAAACCCCCAAGTTCGGACTGATGCACTGGTCAGGAATGCGGTGGACTGCTACTTTGTTGTTCGGTTTCAGTGCAAGGTCAGGTTCAAAGGCACTTAAGATTGAACACACGCCCACCTGTTGCCAATTTCACTGTCTCCTCACCACCTCACTCTGCAGCGGTTTTGCCTCTTGACGGTTGTATCTCGGTCAGGCTTGGCTTGCGAGAGAGCATTCAGCATTCTGACGCAGTACTTCTTCATTTGAGTCGTTGACTTCTAATTTACCGAGAATCATCGTGACAAGCTTGCTAGTTCAGCTTCGCAACATGCGAGCGGTTTCGGAACAGTTGGATAAACTGCAATTCCTCAATCAGTATTTATAAGTCACATACTACAACACCGAAGATAACCCGTTCTCAGGTTGCCTACCACTCCTTGCTCTGCGGACTCTCTGCACTACTCGTTTGATCGTCTCTGAAACCATCTGGGTTCGGGCCTTAACCCAGAAAGGTTATTTCCCCTAGGGTCACGTACGAGTCCCGGCACCTCAAGGCGGACCCTCTGCACTACTCGTTTGATTGACTCCGAAACCAGTCGGATTGGACATTAACTGAAAAAGGTTTACTTTCCCTCAGGTCACGTACCAGTCCTGGCACCGCAAGGCGGACCCTCTGCACTACTCGTTCAACACGCGGCCCGCGATCCGCTCGCCCTGCCAGCGGCCCACCGTCTTCTACATGGACGACATCGGGTATGCGCAGAACAGCGACGCGCCGGTCAGCGTCTACGCGCGGGATACGGCGAACGACAAGCGCAAGAAGGAGGCCTACTGCAAGAGCTCGATCGTGCCGCCGGAAGGGGTGACGAGCGTGCGCGTCGTGCGGGACCCGACGGAGGATGACTGGTTCCAGGTGAGGGGGAGCTGCTTGTTTTTTTTTTACCGGAAGGGTTATTTTGGATTTGAAGGCGTTTGTTGTGGTGTCTCGAGGGGAGTGTCGTGGTTTTCTGCCGCTCACTTGTGCTCAGTTGTATGGTTTTGGTAGGGACCTACGGACTGAGGTTGGGTCTGCGTGTCCCGTCTCTTTTGCTTGGATCTTTCTTGAAGCGACGACCGTCCACTTTGTCTTAAGTTCTTGGGGGTGAAGGGAGTTTGCTGACTGATTTTCTCTGGCACCGAAGAGCGGCATCGCGCCTTTTCCCTGCTTTTGCTGGTTGGTGAACATTGGGTGGTATACTTGGTGGGGAATTATACGCGGACGTCATCTGGTTTCAGTTTGGGAAGTTCCTTTCTAGAAAGGGTCAGGCGGGTTGCGGCGCCTTTCTTTTCCTTTCTTTGCGGGCTGTGGTCCAGGTGCTTGTTACGTTTGAATAGGTCGGTGTTTTTCTTTGCCTTTTCCCATCTCAAGGTCACAGCAACTGGTATCCTGCTGGGGGTGGGGTGCTTATACAATCTTGTGGGCAGGGAAGAACAGGGCCTCTGGCGGCTGCTATCTTCCGATGCCAAGCTGCACACATTGACTCTTTGGAAGTAGTCCGGCATAAAGCAGTGCTCCCCTTTTCCTTCGCAAGGACCTTGATGTGTAGCATTTCAAACACAGGGTGATGGCGTCGAGCAAGGTTAGGTGGATGCTTCACTACTTGGCCTTTGAAAAATGTTCGGTTATTTTTTTTACCCTCAATTCTGGTGGTGAAGGTTTTTGGCTACAGCACGATCGTCGTCCAGAATATCGAGAAGAAGTTTCGTGGTACAAGGTGAGAAGAATCTATTTGAAAGCTTGGTCAAGAAAAGGGGAACTCTGTGAAAACTTAGTAGAGGGAGAATTTTCCTTTCTTAAATCGCCGGAGCTGACTTGTTTCGTCTGTCCGTCCTGCAGACACCGCGGCGGCAGTGCTGCAAGTCGGTGACCATTCAGGAGGGGACACAGGCGTTGATCCGCCTGGGGGCTTGTGATGACGGGGAAGTGATTGCCTAAGGACCAGAGAGCTGTGGCTATCATTGTTGGTCAGAAATGACCAATATATAACGTGTGCACTTATCAAGGGTTTGGAGATGTAAGTTGGTCGTAGCCAGGACTCCAAAGACAGAAGTCCGTGCAAATAAGAGTAATTGAAAGGATTGCACCAATATAGTATGTATACAAGCAACCTGTACTGTTGATATCCATGTCAACTGAAACTCGAGTTCACTATCTGTACTGCCAAGCTGGCTTTTACTGAGGAGGACGCGAAAATGGCCCTGGCGACCTACCAGCCAGAAGTCGTTCTTTTCCTGTGCCTTCTCATTCCGGGCTCTCTTCTTGTGTCATGAGGCGTGACAAGGGCTCTTCGTATTATCGATGTGTGTAAACCTAAATTCCTCAATATATGTCACAGAACTTAAGTGAGAGCGTGCTCATGGCTGGCAACTGCTACGATCTCGAAGGTTACCATACCATCCTTTGCATGATGCACGGCGCCGCGCAGCTGCGGCAGATCTCTGATCGACCCCGGATATCACACATGCATATGCACTCGTGTATGTTAACCGTCAGTATATTGTTCATGCAGATTGTCGGACCGCGTGACATAATGCTTCACTTATGCTAATTCTTGAACGTACCTCGATATCATGTCACCAGCATATAGTCAATTTCATGTTGTTGTCGAGTTTGCATAATGTTTCACTGCCGGTCCAAGTCAGCATTGCATGCGGGCGGCGGCCCCATAGAGCCGGACACAAGACGCTGGGCATTAGTATGGCCTGGATGCGGTCGGAGCCTTGCTACAGCATGAGCGCAACACGAGACATTTTGGGTTTTACTTCGATTCACTATAGCGTTATTTTTATATATTAACTTCAAAGTACTGCTCCCTCTTACTTCCGCCGTCCTAATCGAGCTGTCACTGCAGACACGCTGTGAGTATGTTGATCTCTTGCGATCAGTGGGCGCTTGATCTGTGCGCGACTATTTACCAGCGGCGGACGTCCGGATATGCACAAGTCGGTCCGCACTGTGCGCTGTGTTCCTCAACCGTTGCTTCTTGTCAAATCGGACAGTGTCTCACAGGCCCGGCACCAAACACCTCGGGCACGTGCCGTCCGTCGTTGCGTAACCAAACACTCTCTCCAAGCACTCGCTGTGGTAAAAATGCCCGCAAACTAGGATGGAGTGCATGGACACCTCATCGGGGTACGTATCGCTCTCCCCGTGGCTCGTCGCCCGGCAATACGGCGACCGCTCGAGCAACGACAGCCGGCAGGCGCCGCACGCGCCCACATCCTTAGCTGGCCACGTGTCCCCCTCCCATTCGTCGGGGTACACAAACGTAGCCCCCGCTTCTGACGCGCGCTCCGAGAAGCTTCGGGCCAAACTCCGGAGGACTCTGCTGACCGGCGCCGTGATGATCTCTGGCTCGAGCACCGGCGAATAGCTGCGCTCCACGTGGCTGCTCCTCAGCGGGCCGTTCTCCGCCCGCACTCTGCGCGCCGCCGCAACCACCCCACCATTCCGCACGTTCGACGCTCCGGCGGCCTTCTCCGACGTTCTGATGATGCTGGGAGCCGACGGGCTCTTCCGGAGCTGCCCTTTCGGCAGCCCGCTCTCGTTCTTGACACCAGCGCTCTTCGGCCCCGCAGTCGCACGTCGCCTGCCCTCCGGTGGTGTCAACGCCCTCCTTCCGCTTCCCACGGACGCTGCCAAACTGCCCGCCGTGCCGGCCCGCTTTTGGCCATCCCACAGGGCTTTCGTCCGGCTAGCCACCTCCGTACCAGGAACGGCTCGTTTTACCGGAGTCTTATTTGTCACCTTTTCACCAGCTGTAGGAATCGCTCTTCTTTCTGGAATCTTGTCCGTCACATTATCCCCAGACGTAGCCAAAGCCTTGCTTAGACTTCGACCCGCAGGACTCACCGCCGCTCTTCCAAACCCTACGCCGACCCTTTCGGCCGTCCACGTCCGCCCAACGACCGGATTCCCGTTCGACTTCGGCAGGGCCTTTTCGGCCGACACTGCACGTTTCTCGGCAACACCAGACCCTCTCTGCAAACCGACTCTCCCATTTTGTTTCTGTTGCTCATCTCCTTTCCCTCCCACAGCGGGCGCCGTTTGCCTACCATTCGGCTTCACTTTGCCCCCCGAGACGGCCGCTCTGGCAAGGCTGCCCTCCTTCTCCGTGCAAGACGGCTTTTGCTGCTCACCGCACGGCGCATCCGGGATCGACGCATCCCCAACCGATGCATCCCAGGGCTTCGGTCCGACGCACCGCTTCCGACCACCGACCGTTGGCGCTGTCCCTTTCGCTCCTGGCGACGCTTGCGAAACGGGCCGCTTCAACACCGTTGAACCTCTGGCATTTTGCTTAGTATGTAAATCTCCCTTAACCCCGCTTCCAAACCTTGCAGGTGACTGACACTTCGGGCTGGCACCTCGCGCGTCAACCCCTGTGCATTCTTTCCTCCGGTTCTCAGAGTTGGTCGTCCGGGCAGGGGGATCCCCCTGTGGTGCAATTGCCCCTGAGGCTTCCTCCTTCTTCTTGTTCACTGGACGGTTATTGTGCACTGCGGAAGCCCCCCCAGGAGCATCTACCCTCTTAGGAAGCGCTCCGGTTCGTTGCGACTGGCTGTAGAAACTTCGCCGCTGTCCAGTCAGAGCGCGCCCCGAGACCCCACCGCTCCACCCCATCGCTTTCTCTACGGCCGCTTCCTTCCTTTTCTCCTCTGGCCGTGACGTCTGCGGCCTCAACTCATGCCCCTCGGCTTCCGCTACACTGACCGCTCTTTCCACATCACTCCCGTTCGTCCTTTCCGAAACTCCCTTCTCCTTGTCGCCGTCACCAACCGCCAACTTGCTTTCGGGACCCTCCGCCAGAGTGCCGCTCTCCGCTTCATAGGCGATAGGAGCCTTGGACTCAGGTTCTACAGCCACCGTCCCGGTAGATTGTTCACTGGCCGAAGGTTGAAGGGATCCCCCTGGGGATGTGATTGCAACGGGTGGGTCTTGAAGAAGGTCCGCCGCATGGGAAAGTGCCAAGGCCAAGGAGGGGTCTACTGGGCACTTGGCTGAGAAGTGGGCGTCTTTTGGACTGGCTTCGGCGGGGAATGCTCTGTAAAAGGAGGAAGAGCGAGAGACCAGATTAGGCCTTTCCAAAACAAGTAAAAGGCGTCTTCTCTACAAGAGAGATGGACTGGCTTCCGCAGTGACTGCTCTGCCAAAGGAGGAAGAGCAGAGCATCTGAAATGGCCGTTCCGGGAATGTCAAAGACGTCTTCTGAACAAAGCTCTGAAATTTCCAAGTTATTCTGGAAAAATGTAGCGGGCACAGGACTTTGAAGACTCGATTTCTTAGGTCCAAGCAAAGCACGAGTGCATTCAACATGGCCCTTCGACGATCGGCTCACGACAATCAGATGGAGTAGATGTCAGTACTTGTCAGAGCGGAAAAGAAAAAGGGTTACAAGACCATTGAAAAATCTACCAATGTAAAACCTGGCAAGGCTGCGACTCGGGCGCCATGTGCCGAAGGAAGGGGCTCAAGTGCAGCCCTTCAAGGTGGCAACTACTTGTGCGCCAAACCAGACTCTGGTCACCAAAACCAAAATAACTCGGAGAAAGAGAGTACAAACAGTTGGTGGCTACTGATGGATTGTGGTTCAGTCTGCATATTGTCCCAACAGTGAAGAGAGATTTCAGGTGCCTGAAAATCTCGTCAAATTGTGCAGAGGAGGCCACTTCTGCATGCAGATAAGTCAGACACGCTGTGTCTCCTCACAATTCCTAAGCAGCAACGGGCTGACTTACATGCATTCGAGAGACTGAACTTCCGAATGAGTTGTTGTTCATCAATGATAGTCAAGGTTTGGGTTTGACAGCACTTGGCACTCGGATTAACTTCCAAGTTCCAAGTCCGTCGAAAGGATACAAGAATCTGCCTGTCTGGCAGAAATTCTTATCCGAGGTCCTTAACCAAGAAACGACATATAGAGTGTGGCGGCTCTAATTATCTAAATGAAATCTCATTAAAAGTGAGGGCGTAATCACAACTGCTTATGATCTGCACGTCGACCACTCGCAGCACTTGAACAAAACATTGTCGCCTAAAATCCTGGTGATTCCTGTCCTCTCAAAGAGTGAGTTTCTGCACCAAAATCCTCTTTTGAAAGCACCCCAGCAGTTAAATGGACAGGCATAATGACCAGGAGGAGGCTGGTAGTTGAACTGCGGACAAATGCCGCCACGACAACCGGGAAGCAAGTAACCAGATTCTATACCGGACGAATTTCAAAAGGAAAACCCCTAGCATGTAGCCACAAGGAAGTTGCCGTCAATTTGCGCATCCTGCATTCTTGAGCATCCGGCCACATTAGACCAGAACCCGCCTCTTACCAAGAAGTGCATCGCTGCCTAAACGAGCCCAGTGAATGAACTTACTCATGGGAGGCTTCAGGATCTTGCTTAGAGCTCGACCTGCCACAGACCAGGCCCATGGTTTGTTCTGAGGGTTTTGTTCCCACCTGCCCAGGGTTGAAGTCAGGAAACTAGGACCGTTTTGCGGTCCTGTACTACATTTTCTTTATATCTCAATTCCAAGAAACACTTTAACATACTTAACCAAACAAACTTCCAGTTGTGCGCAATGCTGAAATGTGGGCGGCCTGGCTAGAAGCTACAAGAGATGAACAAGCCTCGACCATCATCCGACCCCATTGCGCTGCCCGCGGTTTTGGACGCGGCGCGCCAGTGCATGGCGGATTCATTCTCCCGAGTGCGCGCGTGCTAGCGTTCATATGTCAGCATTTATGGAGCCTTATTGAGGTAGGTACGTACCAGGGTGACCCCTCCCCAGACCCTGGGTACCGTAGTACGTACCAGTTGGTACGTGAAGCTACGTGCCAGCCTGTCATTGCATACCTGGCCAATCCTCTGATGTCACCGTTCCGGTCGCGCGACCAGTTTGCTCAAGCAAGAGCGGGTGTCGAACCACGGAAGCCCCGGGAAGCCTAGACATTCTCGGGTCTTCCGTATGTTGAACTGGCCCCTAAATCTAGTTTCAGTCTGTGACTGAACTGAATCACACTGGTTTCGTATCCAGCTCTAGAAGGTTCGGACCCTCTCCTGGGGCTTCCAGGTTCGACACCGCAGCTTCTATAAAGCGGTGGCGTTACCTTTTCTTCGGGCCTTGTTTCGGAGTCTTCCCTCAGCTTTATGGTCTTGCTCCAGTATGAAAGTCTGCCTCACAGGGCCCCAGCCTGTCGCGTCACTTTTCTTATAAAGTGACTTGGAAACTGGCGTGGAGTGTCCCAACGGGCACACGCCCTCCCGCCACGTCGCGTCACTTTGCAGTCATGATTGGCTGCAGGCGAAAAGGGAAGGTGCTCTGCAGCTCAGGTACGAACCCCACAAAAAGGACAGGGGGGCAGCGTCCTTCCTGCATTTCGATCAGAAGCAAGTCCACATTTGAGCAACCCCGCATTGGCGCTCTCACATTTCCAGCAAGAAAGAAGAAGAAGCGAAGGTTTCACAAGTCAATTTAGGTCCACAGAAAAGCAGTCTGAGGACAAAGAAAGTAGATCAAAGCGCTGAGCAATCAGGTTGCGAAGAAAAAGGGCGCAGAGCAATCTGATTGAACAGGAAGTTCTGGCTGACAATCTGGTCAAAGGAGCGGTTTCAGCTGACAGACAAGCAGGGATTGCGCAGAAGGCGGCCAGCATGATTGCGCCTATGCCAGCTGAGATGAGAGAGATGGGGGATTGTGAGATGGATTGCAGGACGGGGCCTCTGTGGCTGTCGGCCCTCCTTCAGGCGCGGTTCTTCACGACGTGCAAGTTGCATGCTAGCAGTGGGAAGAGCGACAAGAACATGTTCTGCATAGATTGCGCAGAGGAATGCTGCCCTAGCTGTGTCCCCGAGGAGCACGAGGGGCATCATGTGGTTCAGATCAGGAGGTCTTCTTATCACGAGGCGGTGCGTGTGTCGGACATCCAGAAGCTGATTGACTACACGCAAGTGCAGCTCTATGTCATCAATTCTGCAAGGTGAGAAGTCTTTTCTCGGTTTAAGGTTTGTTCTTCCTAAGTTTGACTGGTCAGATTACACAATGCCAGTGCAGAGTTTCATTGGGGGAAAGTTGGAGTTGTTTGCTGGTTTGTGCCTAAGCGCCTCTCATTGTGTTGGTGTTTCTGTGACACTTGGCCATTTGAAGATTTTGTTCAGCAGCAATCTTGACCAATCTTTCTTGACCAATCTTGACTGACATTCTTGGAGCGGGTATGCTGCTGTGTTTCCCAAAAAACCATCGTTGTCCTCATTTGGCATTCATCGTGTCTTCCTTGTTCTCTGAGCCCCTGTGCTTTTTCAAAGAGATTGTTCTGATCATATTCCATATCTAATTGGTACTAGCTATTCTGATGTTGGCCCCATTTCTTGTAAGACCCCATTATACGTTCCATAGCATTGCTCCGGTTGCTGTTACTCTAGTGGATATTGGTTGTTTTCATGATGGTCTCAAACATTGGTTTTCAACAAGTCTTCCTTTTGACAGCCCTTCCTGTCTCTCTCTCAATGTGCGTCAGTCTGGTGCGTCAGTCTGATTCAGTCACGCTTCCGATGATTGTCATCTTACATGTTGCCTGACATTGTATCCCTTTTTCTTTCTCCAGGATCATCTTCCTCAATGGTCGCCCCCCACCGCGCCCCATGAAGGGCGCAGAGTTCCTGTGCGAGATTTGCGGTCGCATGCTGATTGAGGACTTCAGGTTCTGCTCCCTGGGGTGCAAGCTCTCTGCCATCCATGCAAACCCTCGGGAGATGGGGCTGAGCATGTCCCCTAGGCCAGGGGCGATGAAGGTTCTTGACGAGAACGAACTCAACCACGTGCAGAAGAAGTTCATCATAGTCAGAGGGCAGAAAGTGTCCCCTGGGAAGCAGCAACTGCTCAAGAAGAAGGCCTCGCCGAAGAAGTCCCCCAAACCAGCGTCTCCCAGAGCAGGAATCAAGGAGGGTGAAAGGGAAGGGGTCAGCAGGAGTGAACGGTTACAAGCGCTGCTCAGTAGATTGCAAGACAAGCAGGGGGCGAGGACGGTGCAATTGGGGCAGGGGGTTGGGTCTGAGTCGGAGCAAGGGCTGCGGGAAGAGCTGAGAAACTTCTTGCTGGAGCTGTCGACGGCAGACAGTCTCAGCAGGGACAGTTTGGAGGAGCGGGAACGGGCGCTGCCCCTGAAGAAGCGGCATAGAGGGGAGGACTCCTGGGGCACTCCCCCTAGACGGGGGGCCCGTGTAGACTCCTCAGAAGAGAGCACGAGCGTGGACTCAGGGCGGCCGTATCGGGCGGTGGTCAAGATCAACGGGGCTAGTCAACGCATCGCAATGCCGCCCATGGAGGAGGAGGAAATGGGCAGCGAGGGGTCGTGGGAGACTCCTCCGCGCTTGAACAAGAGGAAGGGTGTCCCACATAGGGCGCCCGTCTGGTAGATGCGTCAGGGCTTAAGGTGTAGATACTAGGGTTTATTGGGGCAACCTTTGTAACGCTGTAAAGGTTCAAGAGAGAGCACATTTCTGTTGGTGGCAGGGCCATCTGTTACAGCTAGGGTTGCAAGTGACATCCAATTGCTTGCTGCAATGTGGTTGGCTGGCGATGAGTCACTAAGTCTTGGGTGGCCGCGAATTTGTACCATAGGGATAAGCAAAGGTAAAAACAGCCAACTATTTAAGAAGTGGAGTATTCTGTGAAAGCAACTCAGCTGAAAACGATTCGAGACACGCAAATGCACAGCTAGCTTCCTTGTATAGGACAACTGCTTGATAGTCAATATCATAGAAGCCTAATTGCTCACTCCATATTGTGAAAACTGTACGTGCCTGTTAGCACCAGATGTTTAGATTGTATTGTACATACTCGATTGTCAAAAGCTTGAAGATTCAATGCGAGCTCTGCGTGACTCAATTTAGAATTCACCAATATTCACTTGGTTGCATTCTGCTTAATATTCGGCTCTCTTGGATGTGACATGTTCACTACCGCGCATATTTCAGCGCAGTATTCAGCATTGAATGCCCGCTGCCTTTGCGCTCCTCATCAAATATGCTCAATGCGCTTTTGATTATGCTTGCAGCTTGATGCAAATATCGGACCAGGCTCATGCATGATGCATCTAGTCTTAGACACATGATGGGTCATATATTTGTCATGACATGAGGCCATGCCATCGAAGGAGTACGTGTATAGATATATGAAGTGCATTTGCACGATGAAAATTCGAACTTTACAGATTTGAGTGACGTCTTATGTCTATGCAATTGCATGATCAAATTAGTAAACTCGTGTCCAATCCACCCGGGCCATGTGTGAAACGACTATAAGTCTAGCTAGGTGCAATGAATGATCAGTTCTGAGCGCTGGGGGCTGAAGAAAGTTTAGAAATGATGCGTTGATTCTCATTTTGCAAAACGGCGGCAGCGGCGGTAGCGCCATGACATATTAAGCATGGGCGATATTAGCTTCCATGGCATACATTGAATGTAGATTAATCGATCTGACATGCCAGTCGGATCGATGCTTTGCTCATGCTATAATCAGCTTCATGCGTGATCGTCACGCCATGGATCCGACACTGTCAGTGAAGTGAATGATATTTCAAAACTGCATGTACATCCGGATACATCATGTTGGGACGATACGATCAGCCATAATGATGGCCGACACTTTGCAATGACAGGAAACCTCAATATCAGGCACACATGCATATGCATGTGGTAAGTAGTGAGTGACAGGGCCGCTGCCAGCTTGTCAACGGAGGTTTTACTGAAGCTTAATTGTGCATACCCATCATCGTTGCCGGGCTCAATGTGAACCGAAGTATTGGGTATGATGGAAACTCCACTTTCACGCAATCTTGGTTGCTTTGACTTGGCAAAGTGGCACAGACGCATGCCACGGTGCCAATACTATGATAGCTCAGCGCTTAATTCAAGCTTGTGATACCTCAGATCCCAGTCTTTTACAACGCCGCCTGACCAAGCTTTTCAGGAAAAACCGGACGCATTCACCAGAGATGTCTCACTTTAGCACGTCCGACTCCAATGCATTTCAATCACTAGAAGCGGTTGCACGCAATTGCCCCTGCACTTTTACTAGGTATCGTTTTCGAAACTGCTATACCGCAGATCCTGAGACAACTGATCCCCCAACGACTGTAACCCCAAATGACCCTAGCTCGCAATCTTTGCTGGCCGACTTGATCATTGACTACGGTTATCATCGGAGTTCTTACGGGTGGCTGCATATCGTACTCCCGGAGCACGAGTTTTTAACCCATTCCTACCAAAGGCACCCGCGTATAGCATTCGTGACTATCAATGCGCTAACCCCAGCGCTAACCCCCAATCGCCCCTGTTCCTTCCGGACCCCTTATGACAGCTGTATGGTCCAGCCCAGCGTGTCTGGACTGCGCCCCGTTTGCAGATCCGTCAGCGTTTTGTACAAATCCTGGGCGACCGGGCCTGGCTGGCCCGTGTGGTATTCCCTCCTGCACAGCAAGTTGAGAGTCGCCATCAATGCGAGTTCCGTGACACCTGTCCCCAAACTTTGGCGCTGCTTATTGATACAAAACGCTTGGAACAAGCCCTAGGCGGCCGGTTCTTGATCTTTGACCGGTTGATGTTTACTGGCCCGCTCCGTTCGCCGGTTGTGCCAAACTCTTCGGACAGATGTGGCCAGATTCGCCGTGCATTCCAGTTGCCGAACACGATTACGTCCAGCCTTACCTTAAAGCAACAAAGCAACAGAGAAAACACACTCGAGAAATCGAAACAAGCAGCTTCTACTCACTCGACAATCAGCGACCCCAGCAGCCTTTGGGTTCCAGATCAGAAAGTCAACAATCTCCATATCCATATCAAGTTAACCTTCTGGTGCTCTTCCGTTGGTTTCACAAACCAGCGACACAGCTGACATCATCAAATACCTAGCTCGTGACGCTGCCTGCTTACCAGACACTGTGCAGGCAGTTGGCAACGTCCATTGCATCGAGCTTTGATTCTCGAACTTGCTTAGTCAGCAGATACTCGACCCTCTTGTTTATCTCAAGCCAGCTTATGTTCATAAGCTGATCCCGAGCTGTCATGCCGGTGCAAAGAAGAAGAGAACTAGTTTGAGCTTACTAAACTTTCACCTGGCTGTACATGGGGCAACGAGCACACCAATTCCGTGCATGATAAACACTTCGCAGCCGTATGCAGAAGGTTCAGACCCTCACTTTTTCCCTTGGTACGTCACGCTCCCGACCGCCGAGATGACGACGGCCGTCCCCGTGCAAAACACCTCGTCGCCCGCCAACAGGTCCTCGATGCTGACGCGCTCCTCGCTGACGTCGAACCCTTTGCTGCGCGCCAGCTCCATCACGCTCTTCCGAGTGATGCCCGGGAGGATCGTGCCTTTCAGCTCGGGGGTCACGATGGTCTTACCCTGGGGTCGATTTGAAAACTGGGTTAGGGACCGGTGGTCACACCCGACAAGTCCTCTTCTTGGGAAAACAAGTGCGTAAATCAGAGAAAATTCTCAGAAGTACTGCCGGAAAGAAACCGTGCCTTTCAGCTCGGGGGTCACGATGGTCTTACCCTGGAATGGGGCTAAGGAGTCGGTTAAGGACCGCGCTTGGAGTGACAAAGACCATGTCCTTCTAATCAAATCCGTCGTTATGTAACGAGGAATTTAGGGGTGATACGGGTGCAACTGTGACCTCGGGGGTCACAATGTTTTATTTGAATCGAGTTTGAGGCGGGACTAGGGACCGGGGTTAGCGGTGACGCCTGGAAGAAACATTTCCTTTCTGACAGCCCAGGTCCCAGGAGTTGATTCGAAGCGGGTACAGACTGGCCGTGGTGCAGTATGCTGTCAAAACCTGCAGATCCCGCATGTGATACATTGCAGACTGGCAGAGCGACAGCTGGTCCCTGCAATGCATCCGAAGTAGAACTGTGCGCACTTTCAATGATGGCAACGTTGAGTGGGTCACTGCCCAGGAGACGGGTAGAGTTGCTTTGGCACTTCGGTGGCGGAGTATGTTAACCTTAGGGTTACCGTCTCGTTTTGTTTGAGGCCTGGGGCATCGACGGAACTCAACATAAGCACTGATCGGCGCAGAATCGAGAACTAGGAGCGGAGCGCACCTTGACGACGAAGATGTTGCAGGACGACACCTCCTCCACGTACTTGTTCTCCACGGCGTCCAGGTAGATGACGTCAGCAAAGCCCTGCTTCTTGGCGTTGAGCTGCGTCATGAGCACCTGTGGGTGGAACATTTAGCTGATGTCAGCGCCAGACTGACCCTGTGCTTCGTTGCGAAGCTTGGGTGTACATTGTATGAGGTGGACACCAATCCTTTGAAAGTGGCGGTATTCAGCACAGGTATGGACACAAAATCCCCAAAGAATTGGCGTATGAGAGAGGCAGGCGACAAGAACGCTGTGGACCGTTTAAAGACCATCCAGCGCTCCAAGGAAAATCGTTAGTCTGTATCAAGATTTCAACAAAGCGAGCCTACCACTCGGAACCACTAGCAATTAGTAGCCCCTGACCTTCTTACACCTGACGTAACCGCCTGCATGCCCGGAACAATTTTCAATAACCCAGATACGGAAAGGGCCTAGATCAATATAGTCGATGCATATGGACAACATTTGACCAGGTGGGTCGGAAGTCAGCTAGGCCTCTTACGGCCTTTTCACAAGGGAGAAACCGGAGTTTGACCGGAGTTCAACCGGGGTTCGACCGGAGTTTCAAGGTGCCAGGTAGGCAGACTTTTACCCAATCAGTGTCAGGTACTTGTCCAGGTCACTCCCACATGGTGAATGAAAGTTGCAATCAAACTCCGGTGCTGTGAAACCGGCTGGGCCGAGTTTTTCCAGCCCGGCGGAAAAATGTACTCAATCTGTACAGGTTCTGTACAGTAGCTTGTACCTGACCTCCAATTTCCGCCACGGTGGCAGGCACCACAATCCGCGAGCCAATCAGCGTGCGAGTTTGACCTCCGGAAAACTCCGGTCGAACTCAGAGGCCTCCGGAGGCCTCTGAGTTTTTTGCCCCTAGCCGGAGTTTGACCGGAGTTCGACCGGAGTTTGGAAATCCGACGTGGCACAAACTCCGGTCGCAAAAATGTTAATGAACGACCTGAGTTTGAACTCCGGTCAAACTCCGGTCTCTTGTGAAAAGGCCGTTACTCGAAACCTCTACATGCTACTGTTCTTCTCCATCTGGAAGTTTGGACCGTTCACTCCACTTCCACATTAATTCTCTTGTGGCAACAACACCAAAGGCTTCTTGGACGTGACCTTTCAACGGACAGTCGAGTGTATGCCCTCAGAATACTCATTCACAGGGGAAGGAGAAGAATGGGTAACCTACCGGAGCATAGTTGCTGATGGTCTTCACGCCCCCCGAGCCCCCCGGGCTCGCCCTCTTGAAGACCTCTTCTACGTACAAGTCCAAGGGAGACATTTGCCCAGTCTGTGACGGGGTGTGACGTTTGTTAAAAGCGTTGTCGAGACAGCAGAAAAGGCTCAAGACGGCTGTCCTATCGAGCATGTCTACAAACTTCAAGGGGGACAGCTGACCAGTCTCTACCGGAATATACAGCTTGTCAGTAGCGCGTTTGTTACAGCAGGGGACGCGGTCCTGTCTGGGAAACACGCGCAGTCGAAGCGACAACAAAAGCCACTACGGCCGGGTAGAGGGGGCCACTCCGTCTATGACCAAGTTATCAGCAGCGCGCTTCCTATCCGAAAGGCCACCTTGAGGATACGTTTCACAGGCAGCACAAGCTCAGTCTCGGCTTTCAGGATCGACGGATTGGATGTGAACAAGCTCATCCTATAGTGGACCTTTCCTATGGATGAGAAACAGCAACAGCCCAAAACCAGCTTTTCGCAAATCCTCTTCTCTGGACAATCTTTCCTGTATTTGATAAGATGAGGGCGACCTGCTTGACCAGATCAAAGCTCGCAAACGAGACTTTTAGCGACAAAAAGCACTATCCTCACCTTGAAATACGACCCCACTGGCGACACAAACACGAGGAACGTGAACTCGGGCGCCGGCGCGAGCCCCAGCACCGCGCCCGTCCCAATCAGCAGCGGCCGAATGTAAAGGGATCCCTTTCCGTACGGCGGAATCCACGCTTCGTTCGCCAGGACGGTCTGCTTGACGGCGTCTAGAAAGAGGTCCTTCGGCGGAGCCGGCATGCTCATGCGCCCGGCGCCGTAGGTCATGCGTGCCGCATTCTCCTCGGGACGGAAGAGGAGAATACGCCCGTCGGCGGTGCGGCTGGCTTTGAGGCCCTCAAACACGCCCTGAGAACACGGGGTCACGCTGAGTGTTGAATGACGAAGGACTGGCTTCTTTTTGCTGTCGCACTTTGCATTGTATCCGTCCCATGTTAGAAGAAAGATCAACGGGTTTTGAAGGGCTCAGAAATGCGGGCAATCTGGAGGAAACAGTGCGCACAGGAGCGCCAACTGTGACTCGTTGCTTATCGGAAACAACTTAGACAGGAAAATGCTCGTCGTGAATGAAGTTTCTCGAAGAGAAACCTGTATGATGGTGGCAGGGTTGCAGGGGGCCGGGTCTGGCGGCCAAACGAGGTCGCAAGCAAAGTGGTTTTCATGAGTCTTAAAAGGAACCAGCAGTGCCGTCAATAGAGGCCGCCCAACCAAGGCCATCTGAAGATCGTCCCATCACTCCCAGAAGTACCTTGGCGAGACCCGAAAACCTTGCGTTCACTCCCGCCTTCAGCTCACTCCTTTATTCGGTTTTCACAACAGCCATCAACATGCTCGTGATCATCCGTGCTTTCCCTGTGTTGTCTTTCTCTGGCCTCTCTGCAGCGCACTGATCATCTGCAAGTTCCTTCTTTCACCATCAGCTACGGCGCTCACCTGGCCGTAATTCAGCACCGCAGCTGAGGGGCTCATCGTCATATTTCCGAATGGTCGCAAGGAGCCCCGCCACTCTTCCGTCCCTAGTTGGCATGTCGCCACATACATGTAGTCCGTATCCCGGATTCCGAAGCCGATGTTATCCCAGTCAATGTCTACTGTCGATTTACTGCAGCAGATTTGGACCTCCATGAGTCAAAAGTAGGAGGAGGGCCCACGCTAGCCACCGGAATGGAGGGGCAATAAGTTTCCTACCGCATGAGGATGCATTCAATCCTGGAACCAGTGTTGATAGTGAAGTGGAGCTGGACTTCCTTCATCCTACAAAAAGTAAGCTTTTCACATCCAAAACATGCCAAGTCTAATTGAGGACATCACGAGCATGCCCACCGTTCCGAAGCTGTGTGGCAGAGCCTCACAATCATCACCGCTATTTACGGCCCACCGACTAATCATCTATGCGAACGGCCCGCAGACATGTCTTTGCACTGACAGGGATGAAGACAAAGAGCCTCCTCCAAAGCACCCAGCCAAATAACTGGCAACACAGACAAAACCTTTCTTGGATCTACACTTAACCGCCAGCCCCTACTCACGAACGAATTGCTGAACGCTGAGCAAGCACTTGATCATGTCACCAATCACTACATTATATATCCACCGTAATGCAATAATGGCAGGACTCCAGTAACTGGCAATCTTTCCAACACAAGCTGCACATCCACATCGAAGTTCGAAGTCCAACTTCAGCGAACGAGACTCGCGGCATACCTAGTAGGAGCAGCGACAGCGGATGCTGCAGCCGCAGGCGTGCGAATATCTGCCCTGGCGCCTTGCAATCTCGTACCTTCTTGGTTCCATGGCAAAGCCTAGACAAGGGAAAGAACCGCCATAGTCTCAGCTTTGAAAACTCAACAGCATGCATGCACTGAAGCGTATGTGCACCAACCATTTGAGCCCCAACAATATCATGGTCCTTCAGAAACTGGCATTGAGACCCATCAGCATCATTTACTTGATGAGTGAAAGTCAAAAGCTCAGACGAAGCTGATAAGGAGATATGCGCGCCAACAACAACCATGATCAAGCGGGACTTTGAGATCAGGATCACGATGAAGCACGCCGCGGAAGGTGAATACCAGAGCGGGGGACACCAGAGTGCTTGATCCGCTTTTTGCTCCACAAAAGTCACCAACTTTCTAAAACCCTAATTTACCAGCTGAGGCCAAGGTGATTGGTTTCAAGCTCTGCGGCGACTGATCCAGTGCAATGCACCAAATTCATTCTCTTGTAATCCGTGTCTCGTTTGACTTCTCGTCACCTAGACCATTACCAACTTTGTGCTCCGAACCTTATTAGTTGAGGGTGTCGAATAAAAGTTATGCAGAAAGCCAGTGTTTCCACAAATCAAAAGAGAGATTGTGTCACATTCACATCCGATGAAGATTAATATCATAAAAAGCAAGATCTGGAAGCACTCATATCAGGACCTGTACAGGTAATCTTACCTGCAAACACGACCGAAGCTCCGAAGCCCCCTGGCCTGAGATCAGCAACCTCGAACTTTTCAATCGCAACCTTTCTGACGGCATTTGAGATTGGTGCGCCCGTGTTTCCATGATGAGGGGGCTTGCAAAGCAACTAGATGTGCCTGCATTTGATGTATCTATGCGCCCCTGCGCCGGAATGTGCAATGAGGCGCTGGCCCCATGACATAAAGAAGACGCCATACGTGGCTTCTGCCGCTGCTTTCCTATTTAACTACTCAACAAATTGACTCTGATTTGGAAGTGCCAGATTCCTGCTTACAGTCAAAGCCTCCTTCGAACCTGCTTGTGGAGCCTCCCTCGCGCAGTCCTGAGGCTGAGAACAAAGCAAACTTGAAAGGGAGCAAATTTGTGGGAGAATCGATCACATGCGGTGACTCGTGAGCGTTGGCCTGAGCAAGCAAATGAATGAGCAAGTGTCGAGCAAACAAATTGAAGGGGCCGCTGAGGACGTTCCAAGACGTTACCGGTGAAAGTGTAGGGTTACCGTTGCGTGACCAGATGTTTGGCTTTGCCACTTGCTTCAAGCTGTTGAATCCTGCTGAGCAGTCGATGTGCCTGTAAGTTTGATAGCTTGTGGACACCTAGGATCCTACCTACTAGCCTGTTCCGCAAGGGTGAAGGCCCGTCAACGCCAAAGGTTGCGAGAGTCGATACCCAACTCGATGATAGGTATATTTCTCGATGTAGTGAACAGCAAGCCCAGTGAACAGTAAGCATTTTGGGGTTACTAAAAACCCTAACCTAAGGAAACACCCGCTCCGCACCCGTACCCACCCTAACCCCCTAATCAGCCCTACCCGTCTCCGTTACTGTTCACTGGCTGTTACTGTTCACTACGTCGATCGGAATCTCGATGATCTGTTCCTGCACTGTGCAGCATCCAGATTGCATGCCTGCGCAGTGCGCACTGCGCAGTAAATGCGTGCATTATTGGCGAGCAAGCAAGTCAAGCCCGGCAGGTATGCCCCGGCCACCGCATCACAGGCCGGTCGCGAGAGTCGAAAGTTGAAACCATATGCAGAAGTTGAACCTGAAAATAACCCAGCTATTAAACCAGATTCGGCCAGCCAGCCCGCCCGCCCGCCCCATTGAACAACCTAACAGTGACCCGTCCTTTTAATCGGCCCCTAAATATTGTAATCTAGGTAGGCGCCGTACCAATTGCCAGGTCACGCCCCGGTTGAAAATCCTTCAAGGGGGTGTGCACTGTGCATGATGTGCATGCAAGGCCCACTCGGGACATGCCAGCTGTCAAAGTGACAACTCGTTGGAAAAGCAGGCTTGCTGCCAGTGCCGCAAGTACGACAAAGCATTCTCCTTTTATTAGTGTCTCAGACTTCTAAAAGTGTGAAAACTCTTCACACGCTCCTTTATTGGCTCTCAAGGTGTCCGCGTGGATCAAATTGTCAGATCAGGTCCTTTGATCAAATTTCCGTCAGAGTTGTCAGATTTACCGTACAGTTTGCGGTACGGCTCCGGTACAGATGGGGACCGGGTCAGAGGAAGTGGCTACATACACTAAACCAAAAGTACTCTGCCCGGTTGTCACTGTCAGTGAGTAACCCTAATGTCACTAGGAAATGACGTAACCCTAACAAAACGCTAGTCGATTGCCACGAACCGTTACAGGTTTGCAACATAACCCTAATATCCTAGTGAGAGCCCCGGTCACTGTCAATGTCAATGTCAATGTCATTGTCACTTGTCAGCGTCACTGTCACTGTCCTAACCACAGCCCGTAACCACTGCCAGACTCGTGACTCCGATGACTTCAGGTGTTTGAGTGTGCTTTACACCTATTTGGCGGGGCGGAGACACTAATAAAAGGAGAATGCTTTGATGCTTTTGCGCTAGTGCCAGCTCCAGGCTGAGCTCTTTCGAGTCTTTGCTGTGGTTGTCAAGTTTGAACAGGTGCCGTACCTAGATGCGCAGCAAAGGCGCACAGACAGCCTGCCTCACGGCTTCGATGTTGCCGCCAAGTATTCCCATCTTCACCACTCGGCATCTGCATCTGAGCTCTACACGCCTCCTCCCACTTTTCTTTCCTTGAGCTTAAATTCCACAAAGACTGAGCTTAAACACCACTTAGAGTAACAGCCAATTTATTTGAGCAGGACCTTTACACGGAACGTTCGCAGAAATGAAGTTTGGCAGCCAATTCCAGTGGTTCCTCCAATCGCAGATTAGCGGGGAGTACCGTGCACACTGTCTTCAGTACAAATCATTGAAGAAGCAGCTCTCTCCGTGCCGAAGGCGCGACCCTTCCGCTCCCCCTCCCCATGGTTCTCCATCTGTGTGGGACTCCTACAGGCCCGTGCGCGCTCATTGCGATAGCTGTGACGTTCATTTCTGGTCCAATGTTGGTAAAGAAGTCAAGGATATCAGTGCATTCTTCACAAAACGAGCGGCGTTTCTACTCCAAGAGCATGGCGTTTCGCCGGTGTATGACGCGCAGCACCGGTGGTTTGCTTGCTTTTTGGGGGATGGGTGCAGGGGTCATGCGCATGAGCAGGTTGTGGATGCTGAGCTGGCGGGGGAGGCACGTCAGCTCATTCAGTTCGCTAAGGCCAACACAATGGCGCTCAGGAAAATATTGAAGAAGTACGATAAGCTTCACCGAACAGGTGCGTATTTATGGGACTTCTGGGATATGTGCCTGGCTTCCAATGAACAAGTGTTGCAGGTTAGTGCACCATATGATGCAACCCTTACTTTTCTCTCCTGCATTCGGCAGGTCTCTGAAGTCAAGTGTTTGCATTCACCTTGCGTTGGCCTCCTCGTTGATGAAGCAATCATCTGAACTCAAAAAGGACTGCTCTTCCGAAAACACCAGCGCATCTGGCCCTCTCTGCCCTTTTAAGCCGTTGAATTAGGTGGTGCACGTGCTCATCTGCTTATTCTGCACTGCCCCGGCCCTCCAAAGTCAGCTTCCTTGTCAGAGTTCCACTCTGTTGATTCTACAAACAGATGAGGAGCATATTGCTCATGGTCCTGGCCACACTGTCAACTGGTGTACAAAAAGGGAACGACGCTCCCAGTGAAATTTGCCAGGAAGCAGTCTTCATGCGCCGTAACCTTCTAGGCTTCAAGGGAATGGTCCGCAGATACTGCAGCGTTTCCCATGATCAACACGGAGATCATACGTTGGTATCTTGTATTCTCCTTCATCTTCTTCACACCTCGGCAAGGCATTGATCTGCTTGATCTGCATCAGCATCTGAAGCACTCTGTCCCCTTTACCCTGGCAGGAGCCGGCAAGGAGTTTATGCAGCGGTTGTTGCGCAAGGAGCACGGCAACAGCTTCTTCACGCAGCGCTTCCTTTTACATGAGCTCACGGCGCTACACTCCAGTCTCGGCGAGGAGAAGACAAGTGATGCCGCTATTGGCCGGGAGCAGAGGCACAAGTGCGCTGAGCTCTTACAGGCGGTACGTCTCTCGTTGACAGATGCGGGTACGGAGGCGAGGTTGCCAGGGCCATATGCGCTGGACTTGCATTGCAGCGTGTGCCTGGTGAGGCTTCACGCTGCATAGTTCCCCTTTCTGCGCTGATTGCGTGTGTGCACCAGTAGTACCATCTGGAAATCGAATGGTCAGGGGCCTCTGTAGCTTGGTGTCGCATGGTTTTCCCCTAGTCAGGAGGTTATGTGTTCCAATCTCCCCATTTGGATGGAGTCGGTTATCTTAGTCAAGTAGGAGTGCCTCATGGGAAACCCTTGTGCTGATTATGAAGAACCCAGTCTGACATGGAAACGTTCTGGCTTTTTGGAAGCCCTGTTCTCGTTTTGCCCCTCCGCATCTGGCAAGGCCTGTCGTAGGATGCCATTGTTGTGAAGGGTGATCTCTGAACCGGAATAAACACTGCGATAAGACTTTTCAGCGCTTGGAGTTCCGACTCTGGATTCTGCTTGGGAATTGCGTTTATACTGAGGTCAGTTCGCCGCAATCAACTCATCGTACACGTGGATCAGTTTCAGAAGGCGAGGCAATCGTTTTGTTTACCTCCTGCAGTACTCTCGAGACCTCTGCAATTACATTATCGAAGACAGGATTGGCCCCTCCTTAATACGTCGAAAAGCTTCAATCCAACCACATGCGATGTCCATTGCTGACTCCGCATTCCTGCTCTTGGTGCAGGAGGTCTTCGTGGATCCAATGGGGCTCAAGTGCGGGCACGTGTTCTGCAAGTCATGCGCATGTCGAGTAGCCAGAATCCACCCCCTGAACCCCAAGGGTCTGAAGGTGGCTCTGAAAACCGCACGCTGCGCGATATGCCGCCAGGTGAAAAGACCAGGGCTTCAGAACTTTAGTTCCATGCAACAGAACCTTAGTGCAGATGCTCCTTCGAGTTTTCGCAGAAGCACGAGAAAACCTGGGGTGCACAAGATTTGAGGTTTCCGGCGATCTCAAGTCGCTCAGCAGAATCATGATTTATATTTCGGTTTGCATAGCGAGCACTCTTGGGAGTGCTGTGTTGAGGATGGTTATCATTAAAAGAGACAAGGCCTGCCAAGCATCACAAAGGCTGCAATTGATGCATCTCTTACTCTTTGTCCGTCAACGGAAGGCTTTTGATTTCGCAGCTCAACCCCCCGCAAGACTCACATACTAACATTCTGATTTGTCCGACCGATTCACAACTTGGTACAGCTGTACGGCAAACGTTGACATAGCCCCAAATGCTTATCAGGCTCTTGTGTTGCAGGCTGACGTGTACCAGAAGGCCGTTCCGCTCCCTGAGGTTGGAGAGCTCGTGAAGAAGAGGTCAGTCACATTATTCGCGTCTGCGGGTCTCTGGCTGTTTGATGTGCTCTCTTACACTAATGCAACGAGGCTACATCCGTCTGCAAATTCGCAATAAGTAAAGGGCTAAACAGTGAAGGTTGTCAGTTTGCAGTGTCTATGGTCGTAAATGAGTCCAAAAATGAAGTCCTTATCCACGTTCATTCCCTGTCGACTAGGGTCTGCCTAGGTCCGCGACTGCAGAAAAGCTGGTAAAGATGCACAATGTCTTCGCACAGCTTCTGGTGGTAATGTATTTTTGTGCATTTCAGGTTTCCAAAGGAGTGGAAGGAACGCGAGCTTCAGGACAGGCAGATCTTACCATACAAGGCCGATTCACGCCTTGACGGTTACATCCAAGCGCCCCAGCGCGCCCTGTAACTAGTTTCAGCAGAGAAGCCTTGCTGTAGTGTCGTGTTTCCAGCTGAAACTTCGCATGGGGGCAGCATGGCGGCTGTCCTCTTTGACTAGCGAAGTTGGCACTGCAACATTGGGTCACTTAGTCTAGGATAGCAGATCGGAACACTGTACTAATGTAGCAAAAGTGTAAAGTAGCTTATAGTCTTGGCTTCAAGCATCGGAGCTCCAAGCTAGACCTGCTTTCAGTCCGAGCTTAGGAGAACTTTGGGAATAAGATAGCTGGCTAATCTGTATAGACAAGCTGCCAGTTGTTAGCGGGTAGCTAGGGCATCGATCTCAGGTCTGCATGTAGGGAGTGGGATTGTGGATTGTAGACAAGTTGAAGCAAGATTGGGATAAGGCTCGCAAAGGGCAGAACGAGTCTGAAGTTACGAAGCGTTCAACCATTAGGGATACTACACGATCTTATGGTGGCAAACGCCCCCAGCTGCTTTGCCAGCCCGGTTCGACACCAAGAGGAAGAGAGGACTGATATCCCATTCCGATGCAGGCTCAAGAGCGCCGGTCCATTTTCAAGCTGCGAGGCCTGGCAAGTGAACCTTGCCAGTTAAATCAACTGAACGATCCCGCCATGCCACACCGCTGCGCTACAAACAAGGCGAGGCTGAGGCCTGAAACTTAGTAGTGCCCCGGTCATGAAGCGAAAGGCCGTAGCTTCTCGTTGGCCGAAGGGCCGGCTAGCTGTTGATCTACATCGGCTTGTTATGAGTCATGATCTGTACGTGCAGGCGTGCCATGATATGCATGGAGGCTTGCGGTTCGAGACAATGATTGGCGTGCACCATATATGGTGCAACCCATGGCGCACAATTAAAAGGATCGGATACACGTCAGTTGAATATGAAGTTTTTTTATAGTTGACCGAGTTTTAAACATGACGGCTAGCCTCCCATGTAAGTTCGTATATCATTGCAGACGGTTGTTCCTACGTGACCGTGAAGAAACGTTGAACGTTCCTGACAATGATCCGGATCCTTTGCCACAACAGTAAGCTAGATATGTTTCATTGCACGCACCGAGTTCATATAGTACCTGGGAAGTTGAAGTATACGCACGCGACGAAATGTTGTTGAAAAAATGCGCATGCCCAGGGTACGCCTTTGATTCGATATCAGCGAGGGCCCTTTGGAGCAGAGGTTTAACGGGCGGAGGCGAGTCACATCATCGATCAGGCTTGCCAACATGACCTGCGACTACAGAGAAAGACACGAGCTAGTCACGTACACACTGAGTGACACATATATGCAGTCAATAAAACTAAAGACCGTCTTGTTTCAGGGATGTATAAAGTCCGTCTATGCTAAGTTCTCTCTTTAGCCCTTATTTAATGACGGCTTCCGACACTCAACACCTCTGTATAAAAGGTAGATTAGATGACAGACACTATCTAAGTCTGATTACTTCAGACCTTTCTACGTAGTATCACACTTGTGCGGACACATATTAGCAGATTGCCATGACTTCTTCAAGATAAACTCTCTGCTTATCTAAATAGCAACACTACTTTCACATCATGGGGCCCGTACAGTCAAGCTAGTTTCGCTGGATGCCGGTCAAGTCTCCTGGAACTCGAAGACCTGCACCACGGTCACCCCTTCCGTTCCGTTGCACTCCGCCAGGAACGGAAGGAGCCGCCAGATCCGGACGGCCAGAATGACGTGCTCCTCCGCATCTTCCTTCTTTGGGGAGTGTACGTCCGGATAAGTGAACGAAAAGACGAGCTCGCAGCCGTCTTGGCGCGCGGCCCACGCGCGCGCAGCGGGCGACGCGACGCGCAGCTCGACTTGACACGTGGCGTCGTACAGGCAGCTGATGGCCAGGAGGTGGATGCGAGGGCTGCCAAGAGACGATTCAATAGGGGTTTGGCAGCTGTTTTGTGGATCAGCGCTGTTTAAAGGATGCGCGGCGAAGGCCTGCCGAAAAGAAGTAATTTGGAGAAGCTCCGAAGAACTGATCTTGCTGACTTGAGTATTTCTAGTTTCGAATTCGTTTTGCGAGGACTGAGCGGAGTTTGGAGGCATTCAAGCGGCAAAAAGTCGGACATCAATCTGCTTGAACAAGAATGGTCGAAAAAGCACTATAAGCACTTCGCGGAAACCCGGAGTGAAGTATTCAGCCCACGTGCACTCAATCAAACTGGCAAGTCGTACACGGAAGCACAAGAAGACCCCTCCAAAAATGCAATGAGCAAACAATCCTGTGGCCAAAGTAATCGTTCTTCTGGCGAAACATGCGGTAGAGTTTCGACGCGGAACGAGAGCCAGTTCCTTGGCAAAATTCAAGCTTTTTTCCGCACCAATCAAAGCGTTCTTTGTTGAACATCACGAGCTACCTGCGAGTCAAAAATGGAGTGACGACACCCCCCACCCCCAAACTCACTCTGTCATGGATGAGAGCTCCTTGAGAATCTCGGTGAAGGGCACGTGCTTCGGGACGCGCATCACGAGCAGCGGCACCTTCGCGGCCGCCGAAACTCCCAAACCCTCCAGCCTTTGCGCGAGCGCGCCCGGGATGCTCTCCCAGGGGACGTCCAGAACGTGACACGTGGCGGACGGGTGGAGGCCCGCGAGCGTCTCGTCCAAAGGCGCGCGGGCGGCGCTCGCGCGTGCTAGCGCACCGCTTCGGAACTGCCCGCTTGGTTCCAACCGGTCACTCTCGGCTTGCGAATGGGCGTCACTGAAACGCCGCCCGTCTATCCTCAGCTGGTTATCCTCCAATTGAAGTTGGGCGGATCCCGCCGGAGGTGGAATAGTCCGGTCGAGCACGATTTCCCAGTGGCTTCCGTTGTCGAGCTGCGCGGTTGAAGCCGACCGGTCGATAGCGGCGTCGCTTTCGCTTTCTAGTGACGTGACGCTGACGTCACTCTGTTCGCTAAACTGGGCGAACAGCAGGAGGTCCTCGTAATCCTCCGGGGTCGCCTCGCCGAGGCCGAGACGCAAGGGGAGCGCAAGCAACCACATCCGCACGGATCAGAGTGACGTCAGCGTCACGTCAGCCGCAGGAGAGCAGATTGTCATGCGTTTGCAGCGGATATCTGTCTGGCCTGGTGGCCCGAACGGGTTTGTGGATGTCATGGTTACCGGTGAAAAGAAGACAGGTTTGTAATATTGCCTCAGACAAGTAAAACCTACGAATCTCAACCAAATCCAGGGCTCATGTCCGTAGCCTGTAAACGAACTGTCCTCGAAGCAAGCGACTGAGCAGAGGAGGCGAGTCACATCCAAGATAACCCAATTGAACGTTTGGACGCACAATCTGGAAAACATTGTGGCCCTAAGCCCAGTTGAGACCAGGAAAAGTTGCAAGACAGGATACTCTCTTTAACCGTCCCCATTCAAGCCCAATCTGTGAACGAGAGCAAAAGGAAGAAACGGTCTCATGTTGACAAGCAGGCACCAGTGGAACTGAGGACATAAAAACGAAGGTTGTCCCGTTTACCTGTCCGAACACGAACGTCAGGACCGCCCCGATGACGACCGCCATGTGGAAGCCCCGGTTCACGAGCACTCCGTGCGCGACGCCGTGCGCGCGCGCGGCGGCCGCGGCCTCGGCCGCGCACACGCGCCAGTAGAGCGCCACGTGGCGCATGAAGGGGAAGCGGAACCAGGCGGTGTGGTCCAGCGAAGCGGCGAACGATTTGGGCACGTGGACGAGCATCCACTCCGGGAGGCGGAAGAAGTTGAACGCGTGCGAGCCGCGGATTAGTCTCCGTTCGTACGCCAGAAGCCGTTCGTTTATCGCCGCGTCTAGTTGTCCGTATTCACCCAGGGCGCCCCCGGCCCACAGGTCCCGGTGTGAAAAGGCGCCTCTGGGTCGGACGTCCGCGGCCGCGGAGGCGACAAGCGAGAAGCGCTTATGCGGTGCCACGTGGCCGAGAAGCGCTTCTCCGCGCCCCGCCCCGAGCGGCTTCATGAAGCAGAACATGACGTCATCCGTGGGGTCCTTGGGGTCGTGTGCGCGCACCATGAGGTCGACGAAGCCGGCCGCGCGCGCGAGCGCACGCCAGGCGGCGAGCGGCCGGAACGCGCGCACTTCGGACGCTTCCTCGGACGCGGGGACGCCGGTGGCCGCGTTGAAGATGCTGTGGGCCAAATCGAGGAGAGGAACTAGATCGGGGGTCGCGTCGTGCTCCCTGCACAGACAAAAGAAAGCCCAATTCACGATCAGTGCTTGTCAAATCTTGACAGAGTTTGTTAGTTATAGTGGGGCCTGTCATGGGCGCGATTTGATGGTCCTTGTCTTAGGAGATACTAATTTGGCAGGCTTTTTTGTTCGTTTATAAGTACTGGAAGCAGATTCAAAAGAAAGAACTCGTCCAAATGTTGTAGATTTCGGAACGGCGCATTGGTAATCAGCGTAATCAACCTGATAAGGCGCTGTCTTCGACTTTCACAAGATAGAGAGCTGGCTTCGAGATCCATACTTTTGATGCACAAGCATCTCATCCGGATAAGATTTGTTCGACCAAGCGTCACTTTGGTGCCACATGATATAACTAATGAGAGAAACTGCGAAGAAATTAAGAAAGGAACGGACAATACACGAAGTTTCGTTACTTGATTTCATCATTCGTTTCAGTCAAGAGAAAAGTCCTACTAGAACATGATGGCTGCAGTACGAAGGGTCACAAAACACCGGTCCGAAAGAACCGGATCTCGACGACCTTGAGGCGGCAACCCCGTTTCGTGTCGTTTGCTAGCTAGGAGAATTTGCAGTAATATAAACAACGAGGCTAAAGAAAGCCGGCAGGAATGAATAGACGGACCCTTTTAAGCCTGATAAACAAGACGAAGATTGAATCGGCTGAAAGTTGCGGAGATGATTGGTAAGCTTCTATCCATCCAGCGTCCGAACCCCGTTTCTCACCTGATGATGAACAAACCGCCCGGCGCGAGAACCCTCCGGACGTCCGCCAGAAAGTCTCCAAGTCGTTCCTGGGGCAAATGGTGCAGCCCCATCATGACCGTTACCAGGTCCACGCTGCCCGGCGGTAACGGTAGCTCCGGACACGTTTGATAGTCATACGCCATGCGCTCGCCCACCGGCCACGGGCGTCCGCGCTCCAGGGCGTCCGCGGGGAAGCGCGCGCGGTCGTGCGCGACGCACGCGCGGCCGCGCATGCCGAGCGCGCGCCGGAGGCCGACGACGTGGCGGCCGGCGTCGCCCAGGGTTAGCAGGGTTTGGAGGCGGCCGCCGAAGCCGAGGAGGGAGACGCACGTGGCCATCTGAAAGAGAAGAAAGCGAAGTCGATGAGGAATCCGCAATTCTTGCTAATTCTTCAACGTACTACTTTCCGGAGAAGTATCGTTTGTCCGTCCTTTTCGTTGATCCCTTCGCCCTCCCCTTTGTCATTGGTCTCAACGCTTCAAGCACTGAGAAGACGTCTTTCGGGCAACCGGGAAGAGTCCATTCTACGTAGCGCTGGCCAAAATTAGTTTGGGCGATTCGAATTAGTTTGGGCGAATCGAACTGTCGCTAACGACAAACAGATTTGCTTCCTCCGGTTGCCTCTCTCCGTCGAAGGTGCAAAGCTAAGATACTCCCTCGACGCACTCTCAACAACGTAGTCTACGCCCTTGCGTAACAACTCTGGCATGTCAATGCCAAGAGGGCTCCTTTCCCACATGAGACCCTTCTGTCATGATTCTGAAGAGCTTTGAAGTGACAATCGTACTCAATTGAAGTCTGGAAGGTTAAAGAAAAAAGCGACCGCACCGAGGATGGAGTATCGATTGATAAGGCACCTCCGGCACGCGTCAGCGAGATTGGTGCGCATAGCCGATGCTTCGTTTTGGTGATTGTCACCGCGGATAAAACCGGACGCCCAAAATTGGCGCCAAAGCCGTCCGAGAAGAATTACTCCTGCTTCACACTATCAACACAATTGACGCATTCGGGCAGCTTTGTGAAGTGTGAGGCGAAATACTCAAAAACACTGTCATACAAGCGCATGTCTAGCAAAAGAGAACGGATACTACAAAGCCCAGTTAAAGCGAAGGAACAAAGAAGCAAGTACCTGCTCCACGAGGTCGGCCTTTTGCAGGATCAGTTGCTTCAGCGTCAGCAGCTGCGACCCAAACTTGTGCATCGGATGCCGCTCGTCTAGGATCCGCTGCAAGTCCGCGAAGACCTAGACGGAACCGGAATCAGACACGTGTCAGAGTAGCCGCCCGACAAGCTTACAAGTGCGTCTCTAGAAGAGTGAGGTCGTCAACTATAGCTTCTGACTTCATGAAGAGAATCGATGTGATCGGGAAATCAAGACATTTTTCTAGCATGACTATGAGTAGAAACCGGTCGTTTCAGTACATGGGTACGTTCAAGCAAAAGAATCTTGGACGGAGCAGATATAGAACATATCAGAACGCGGCTTTCCATCATGAAAGCTCTGTAGAACAGCGGGTCTTGCTTACTGTGGAAAGCTATGTCCTTCTTACCTGGCTGTCGTCCTTGTCGTGCGGACCCATAGCCGCTTGGCACACGTACGAATACATCGCGTCCGGGCTCTCCACGTGGAACACGTGGCGCAGGAACAGCTGCAGGCGCGCGCGCAGCGCGTCGCTCGCGAGCACCGCCCGGTACGAGTTCGTCCGGTGCTCGGACACCGTTTCGATCGGGACCGAGGGATCCCCCCGGGCGCAACTAGGGGCGGCAGAAAAGTCGCCGGAAGAAGGCGCGGATAAAGATGGGCAGCTCCGAGTCTGCGTCGAGCTATCGGTGTTACCTAAGTGATTGGTGACACCGACTATGTTGCTGACGTCAATACAATTGGGCAGGACGGAAGTTGGTGACGTGGCCTGGCGGGCGACGCTGACGTACTCCTTGCCGTATGTGGTGAACCTGTAAAGACCGGAAGAGTCAATTTTGGCTCTCTTGTGTTCAGGTTGATTTTTGCTGACCAAGGAACAATCTCAGAGCACTCGAAGAACAGCAAACGTATGCCAGTAACAAGGAAACAATACACGTGTCTTAGGGCAAATCTTAGAAATTCAGTTGGGCTTGAGTCCGATGGAGCCGACGGAGTCCGAGGGGATGATATCAGTCTAAAAGCTCGTTCATCTTGTCCACGGACTGCCGCAAGAAACGCAGGGATACCATACTGAGTACGTTGCAAGGAAAGAACTTCTCACTTTAAGGCTTCAGGCACAGAAAGAATCCCGCAGAGCATGAGTACTTAAAGTTGTTGCAACAGCCCATGTGCTCAAAGACTTGTGCACAATACGAAAGAGCCCATAAAGATTTGTATTAAAAGGATCTCAACAGCCGACTCAAACGAGGGGCAAAGGTATCCACTCAACGACCGGGTCACCCCCAGCTCCCTTGATAGGTGACGGGACGAAGTACTGGTTTTGATACAACTTAACTTCTTCCATAGAAAGGAAAACGAAGGCAGTCGAGGGAAGCCTTACCAGACGTTGGAGAAGATGTTGTCCGGATCGTACTTGGCCTTGAGCCGGAAGAACTCGCCGATGTTGGGGTACGCTGTCCGCAGCTCCTCGGGCGAGTAGTGCGGACGGTACGGCAGGTAGAAGGTGCCTGAACCCGAAATTGGGCTTAGGGTTCCGTCTTTTTTGACAAAGCGATGAACGTTTCCAAACTTTTTCTCTCGGTTCCAACAAAATCAGGTGCCACACCTTACGAACTCCAGAGGTCGTCCGTCGTGAGAGACTTTCCAGCTCCCAAAGGGAAGACGAGAGAACCCTTTTCGAGCACCCCCAACTCGCACTTACGCAACTCAGTAGGTGCGAGATTGACGGAATTCGACGTTATATGACACTCTCCGCCTTTTGTGGTGGCTATCGAGCACTCCGTTGAAAACAACATCTTGGGTGGAGGTGAAGGGGCCCGAGCTTTTGACAAGCATCGTAACCCACGGATGGCTAGAATAACTAGGCACAAAGAAAAAGAAAGCGAAGAATAGACAAGTGTGTCGTGACCGGATACCCACCTCCGAGGCGCAGCGCAGTCTATCAATGTGAACAAAAGCCTTTTTGCTTGGATCTTGCGTCATCCCTCCGACGCTCGAGTGAGATCTCAGCACCACACTCTTCTAGGTCCTCAAACGAGGAAGCTTCAAAGAAGACAGTAGCCTTTTGGGAAGGAATGGCTAGAAGCGAGACGAGCCCTGTCCGGGAACCCACCCTCGAGGCGCAGCGTGGCGTCCACGAGTGCCCGGTGGACTGCCCCGAGCGCCGCGTCTCCCTCCGGCGTGCACGGGAGGCGGAAGTAGAGCACGAACGCGAAGCTGGGGCAGCGGGCGTAGCGCAGGAATGTGGTGGTATCGGGTTGGAGATACCTGGGGAGATAGAAGGAGTCAGATTAGGAGCCCACAAAGAGCACTCATGCATCAAAGAATAGAGCACGAAGGCGAAGCTGGGGAACCGGGTGTAGAAGGAACGTCGTGATATCGGGTTGGAGATACCTGCCGGAGATATAAGATTGCCGCAGGAGCCAAGAAAGAGCACTCATTGGAAAGTTTAGAGCACGAAAGCGAAGCTGGGGAACCGGGCGTGGCGCACAAACGTCGTGGTATTGGCTTGAGGATACCTGCCGGAGATATAAGATTAACGCAGGAGCCAAGAAAGAGCACTCATTGGAAAGTGTAGAGCACAAAAGCGAAGCTGGGGCACCGAGCGTAACGCAGGAATGTGGTGGTCTTTGATTGGACTTGCCTAAAGGGCCAAGATGGGGGATGCGATGTGTCTTTCTTCGTTGTTTTTGTTGTTTGTCTTGTATCTGAGCCGCTGCGCACATTGTGGGCCGCGATCATGCGGTAGAAGAGATGAGCTTTAGAGATTGAGGACTACAAACGCCAAGGAAGAAGTTGGTGCATAGAATGAGCAAATTTGGAGGGATGCTAAGGGGGCGGCGGGACTTTGACTGGAGACATCATGGGAGCAGAGCCCCGGAACTGAGAAAGAGACTTTCAGGGCGCGAACTTCGAACCGTGAAAGATTCCATCATCTTCGAATGAAGCGCTGGGAAAGTTCTCAAAGGTACGACTAAGGCATCTCGCAAAAGGAGGACCTATTTTGAACGTTGAGTGTCTCCTCTTCTCCTACTCAGATAATTTTTGACAAGCTTTGATGCAAATAACCTCTGGTCAACAAGCCTTCCGACCTACCTGTTGCACAACGAGAGAGTTTGTAATACTCACAAATCAGAAAATGTCGAAAACGAACGTCTTCTGTGTACTTTCGCATGAAGCGAGATGCTTGCCTGATGGTGATGTTGAGCAGCTTGATATCGCAGTGTGCGTCGCTCAGAATGCCCGTCGCGGCCTCCATCCAGTCGGCGAATCGATGGTGCGGGACGAAGTATTCCTGGAAGGCAGGTTTGCAACTCTCAGATGCTGAACGGCTGACCCGATTTGCTACAGATACCGTTAAATTGACTTGAGAAGAGGCGAATAAGAGGCGCGCAGAATTGGAGCAGTACTAAGGTGAGTCAAAGGGCTGAAACCATCTCCGTCATGTTGCTCGTTGCTTGCAGCGTCAATTTCATTGAGAGCCCCAGGACGCCGAGTAATTCCCAATGACGAGACTCCTGCCAAGCCAAAGCTGTTCAGTTTATCAAACGAAGTTACGACAACCCCTCTTATGTAAGTACCCGCAGCAATAATGGTAAAAGCTGTCCACGAAAGCAAAGGAAATTTTTCCTTCCTGGACGATTGCGGTTACCAGCATGGTTACGAGTACGGTTCCGAGCATGGTTACGAGCATGACTACGAGCACGGATACGAGCATATTTACGAGCACGGTTACGAGAACGAATACGACCATGGTTACGAGCATTGTTAGAACTTAACCTTTCCACTTTACCTGAAGAACGTGCGTCTGGTTGAGCCGCACGAGGGGCGCCACGAGGTGCGCGAGCGGGTACGCGCTCTCGTACAGGATGCAGTTCCGGTCGACCTCCCGCTGCCAGTCGAGCGGAACGCGGAGCAGCCGCTCCAAGGAGAAGCGGAGCTGCGGGGGAAGCAGGCACGTGGGTCGTTGACGTCAGCTGACGTCGTTTCATGGACGCGGGTCTCCGCTGCGACCGCAGCACAGGAACGACAGTACATCTATCGAGGATAACACCCCACGACCTTAACCTCTCCTTACCAAGATCGAAAACCCACATTCATCACGTAACAGACGGTGACAAACCCACTTTACCGTGACTAGACACCGAGAGCACCAGACTCTTAGTTTTGAGAAACAAAGGAGAGTCCGAACCTTTCATCCCAGGAGCCAAAAACCCGAAAGCTCACGACTCCTGCGTGATGCCCACCTTTTGGACGATCCTGAGCGGCAAGAGCCACTTGTAGATAAGAGCGCCGGCAGGGCTCATCTGGCGGGGCCCCTCCGGAAGGTCACTAACCGTCGGCTGGCCCTGCGAAACCAAAACCTTAACCTTAAGTACAGCTTTTCCGTCGAGCTCGCCACCCTATGATCTTTCAGAAATCAGGTTATGGTGCGCAGTCCGATGCCTTGCCGTCGTCCAATTGAATGATTCGAGATGATGACTCATGCTCCGACAATCTGGGAAATGATGGCAAGTCTACGCAAACAGCTGTATCCAACTTCTGAAACACTGAAACCCGGAAAGTCTACAGGTTCTTTGAATGCAACTCGTGAACTTTGCATTTCGTTTGGCTGCTAGAGGCCCGGCAGCAGCGGCGAGACATTGGAATCGGCAACCGAGGAAGCACTCAAAGAAATTTGACTAACTCAAGTTTAGGACATCTAAGCACAGCGTAGTTCCACGTGCTGACGTCAAGAGCGATCGATCGATCAAGCAGCCTGCTCGAGCAGGCTGCTTGCACAGATGCTCTTGGATCCAGAGAAAGTTCGACACTCGTGAGGCAGGACCAGAAAGAGAAACACCCCGCTGGAGACTCATGATAGCTTACGTGGGAATTTTGCACGGTCAAGTAAGCCGTTCTGCCCCAAGAACTCTACAAAACTGTGCCAGATGAAGTGCAGACACCTCAGCGTTTACGCCTCATCATTCTTGGAGCCTGAACAAAGCGCGGGAACGCTGGACGAGAATGCTTTACCTTGTTGGAGCGCCTCGAGGTGTAGAGCGAGATCCGGTCGAACTTGTGCCACGTCAGCTCGACGCGCGCCAGTTTCATCTCCACCGCCGGGTCCGTCAGCAGAGGCCTGCAAAATGCAGCAAATTTTCAGCAGAAAATCTACGGAAACCTACTTGACATAAAGTTTAGGAGTTCGAACTCCTCTCGTCGCCGCTCAACAAAATCTTCGCAGTCCGCTGGGCGACCACCTGGCGGAATCACTCAATCTATGTCGCCGTTTCGTGCCCCAATCCGTGCTTCCTTAAAAACTGCTGCCAAAGTGAGGGAATTTTGCCTCACAGACATTGAAGAAGGTTCAAGGGGTCAATCGTGCAAGGTACACAACACGAGGGATGCTGACTTCACAGGTTATACTGAAATACTGGCAAGCAAAATGCCCCTGACGTCATGCTCACGTGTACGCGTCGACGAACCGGTGCCGATCCAACGTGAGAGACTCCAGCGCGGTCTTCACGTTCGGCACTACGCGCAGCGTCACCTCCGTCAGCACGCCAAACAGACCGTAGCCGCCGATCACCTGCGGAAATGGACGGTCCCGATGCTTCTGGATTGACATTGACGGTCGTTGTGTGAGTATAAGGGAGAAAGGATTGAACGACGGCATGGAGTTGAGAGGAAAAGGATGGAGAAAGCTGGACGTTTCGGACGCTTTTAAGGACTGCTCTTTGGCCTGAAAGGGTGTATTCTGCTCGGAAGGCCAGATGAAAATGTGCGGGGATGTGAGAATGTTGGCAAAAGGCCAGCGTCTTCAAGGTGAGGAAAGTGGAGGGGAAACCAGTACGTAGGCGGAATTCGCGCAAACAAGTGTGCCGATGCTTCGCAATGAGTCAGATAAGCGGGCACCTGTTTGCACTTAGAGCAACTGGATTTCCGTGAACGCCTGCGCACTTTGTCGAACGAGACGTTGCTTGTAGAGTCAGCTTCTGCCAGAAAGAACTGATTAGCGCTTGGTGAAGCGCTCTCCTTCATCATGGCCACGAAAACCCTGACCAATCCAGCGACGCTGGCAAAGACTCCCCTAAATCCTTCCTGAGAGGGGAGGACCCTCCTGACAAAAAGCTCACCGGAGACAAAGGTCGCTCAGTCGCTTCTTAAGTGTCCCTTTTTCAAGTGTCCCTCACCAGCGACCCGAGTCAACTAGGTTATCGGATAACCAGTGTCGTTAAAAGGTCAAACCCGGTGCAAAAAAGTGCGACTTACCAGGAGAGCTTGGCCCAGTTGTGAGGAAAAGGGGTCGGCGTTTTGGTCATAACACACGCTTTTCAAGGAAAAAGGCTTGGCGATTACGTCCCCGTTGCGACGTGCTAGAGAAAGAGGTCGGCGTCTAGGTGCCGGTCACTGCTGATCAGCAAGGGAAAAGAGTCGGCAAATGCTTCCCGGTTGCGGCTTACTAGGAGAATGTGGCTAGGATTTTTCGTCCGGGTTGCATTTTGGTAGGAAGAAGAACCCCGGTTTATTGTCCCGGTTGCGACTTACCAGGGAGAACAGCTCGGCGTTCTCGTCCCGACAACAATTGACCACGTGTCCGTTTGCGTCGACGAGCCGCAGCCGCAGAACGGCCTCGTGCATGGCGCAGTCCGCCGTGATGCCGTGCGCATTCACACTGATGCTCCCACCCACGGAGAAGGAGCAGTAGGACTGCGAGGTGAACGGGCTCGTCAGGCACAAGCCGCCGAGAAGATGATCAATGAAACTCGTGTGTTAATGGAAATCAAAATGTAGTGAGACGAGCGATCCGATGACATTTGGCAATAAAGTTTTGATATATACAAGAGGCCGATGCTCCATATGTGTACACATCAAGTTTTCGGACTCCAAATTATCCTCACCACGCAGCAAACCAAACCCTCCATTGTAAGGTATGCTGACTTACATCACAGGAGTGAGGGACTTGGGGTGTTCTCAATCTAACCAGATCAACCAACGAAGCAACACCCACAAGTTACCTGCATGATCATTGGCGACACTCCAAAGTCGTTGAGGTACTTGATAAGGTCGCCCCAAGTCGCGCCCGGGCCAACTGACACCGTCTGCGAGGCCGGGTCGTAGCGCATGCTGTTGAGGTACTTGGTGTCAATCAGGAAGCCGCCCGGCGCCAAGATGTGACCGCCCATCGTGTGGGACTGGCCCCGCATGGAAACCTGGGGACGTTGCGTTTCTGTGTTAGGTGCTAAACTGGAAAGGGATGTATCTTACTGATCGGCGAAAAAAGAATTGCCAGAGAATGGTGGTCGACACAAGCGCGTGAACGTGCAAAGTTGGTGGAAAGAAGAAGCAGATCTGTCCATCTTCTCAAGATCAAATTGAACCTGCACTTTGGTAAGAAACTGCGGTGGAAAACGGCTGAATCAATGGAACACTGAGCAGAATAAAAGAAAGGTGCTTTCGGTCCAAACAACGTCCTTGGGACTAAAGCAAACTTCTTTCAGAGCAGCTCTTTAGATGCCTCCCGACTCTGAAATCACTCAAACGAACAACATTTGGTTCTCTACCTATGAATTGGCGAAGCTGAGCCAGCCATAGAACCGAATGGCAATAGGGACAGATCTGAAACCTAAGTAGAGCCGAACAAGTACAGATGAAAGAGTGTCATGAAACTTAAGTCTCTAGTTGAACAGTCATCCGCCACAAAACCGCACAGGTTGGATATCACATTCAGCTCATAAGCTCCACAGCAGGGCTCAAATCAACACCACTTATCCCTAGACCCTTTGCTTGAACAGTGGCTGTCAAGTCCGAGTTAGTGTCATGTCAGATTCAGATCAACTGCCATCTCGTTTGACGGCTCTCACCTGACAGCCCTTGAGCTGGGCGGCCCGCACCACCGCTCGCACGTCCTCCTCCGACGCCACCATGAACACCCGCTCCACCTCACACTCGTTCATCTGAGTGACGTCATCCACCAAGACCCCGTCCCCTCCCCCTCCCTTCGACGCCTTCCGCCGAAGTCTTTTTGCCGTCAAGGTAACTAAAGTGATTGTAGCCAGCCCTAGCGTCGGTTTCGAGTAGAATATTGCTTTCAAGGGAGGGAGGTGTGTGATCAAGTGCCCGGTAGAGTACCCCAGGCGCAGAATCCAGTGAAGCCCGATGCCCAGAACCACAAACCGGGGGATCAGAATCTTTGCCCCAAGCGCCCAGCGAAAGAAGCGCCCAACAGGCCTGGCAACTAGGTTGAGGGATAGAGACCCCAGCTTAGAGATGGATTTCCGGATAGTGGGCTGTTGCGTTCCTAGGAACGTGCACAAAACGAGTCCTGAGGAGAGGATTGGCTGAGCAGCCCACAATTGAGATGCGTCCAAAAGGAGGCTATTCGCACTGCTAAGGAATGGCGTCAAGGGGTTGAAGGCGGATAGTACATTCGGTGCGATGCCAATTGCCTTTGGAAGGAAGGGAGAGATTTGGCGGAACAGGTGGGAACCGATTGGGGCAGCTGCCAAAAGCAAAGGGATCGCTGGCAATTGCACCGGCGGGCGCCTCTTTCTAAACAACCGCACAAACAGCTGGCGGCCAATGTGGAAAAGCTGGAGAAACAGTCCGCTGATGCTGCGCCAGGCAGGGGGAAGGATCCTCGTCGCCACAAAGCGCCCCAGTCTAGTTAGCCCGATGAGAGCGAGTGCCAGCGCTAAGGCGGCAATCACTGGGTGGTATGAACAAAACCGCTGCGGTGCGCCAGTGAGAATGCGCTCCATTGTGGCAGAGGTGACTTGGCGGTAGCGGGAGAGAGGGGCTCCAATGATGCCAGCTGGCAGTCTTTCCAGAGCTGAACAAATACGCAGCGGTTGTGCTTTTGAGCTGTGGCGAGCTGGGATTGCAGGAGACAGAGGCTGATTGACTGTTCTTCCGAATGAACGTCTGGAGCGAGAGAAGGGGTGCGAGAGTGAAGAGCTATAAGAAACAAAATGCACGCCCCTTCTTGGGTCTGACGTTTTGCCTGGTGCATTGGCTGATGTTCTCTGCAGGGCAGATCTGGGTGGGGTGCGAGGAGTTGGCCTGCGCTTGAGCTTGGCCCACACGCTTTTCAAGTCCCTCTCGCATTCTGAGACGTTGCTTCTCCGCAGCGCTTGTTCTGAACAAGACAAGAACCCGGCCATCGTCTGGTTCCCAGTAAGACTCAGAGGCAGGAGCAGGCTGAGGTCCTCCATGCTGATGTCGCTTGAGGGAGTTCTCTTGCAGGATACGCTCCTCCTCACCAGCTAAAGATGACGGTGAGCGCGAACTGGCAAGAAAATCTCCTTCAAGTTCAAATGATGACGTCCACTGTAGTCGCTTCGTTGAAAGTGACAGCCGCGGTGGCTTCTCATTGGCAGCTAGGGAACTGGGGGCGTCATCGAAGCACTCCCTCTCCGGCCCGCGCGAGGTGGCAGGCAGGGTTACGACCGTCGCGCGTTTTCTGTCCTGCAGTGGAGTCAGGCGGATCGAGTCCTGCCGTCCGAGCGCCGTCTTCTGCGCGAGCTTACGTCACCAAATTTGGACCGCGCGTATTCAAACCTCAAACCGCAAACCAAGGCGCGACACCTCGGTATCGGCCGGCCGGGCGGGCGCGGGCTACGTGTACGGCCCGCGGGCGGGCGCGCGTCCAAAGGGTCGAGTCCGAGGCAGACGTCAGTAACAAATCCGCCGTTTGAACGATACAACTGACCATCAAGCGTCAGTGAGAATCGGCCCGATTAGTGGGAAACGTTTTTGGAAGCAACAAAGCAACCTTGAGAAGCTCGCCTTGGCCGTGATTTCGTCGCGGGCGCTTCTTTGAACCGTGAAAGATGGCGCGCTTCAAACACAGCAGCATTCAGATGGGACTATACCCAACTCGTTCGAACGTCGGGCGCACAAAGATGTTCAGATGATCGGATTCCCCGACGTTTCATGTACGTTTTAAATCTGTTCTGCAATGAGTTCTGTGATTTATGTAATCGTGGTTCAGCTCCTTTTCTATCATTTCATTCAAGACTCCATTTAACGAAGACATCGGCGCAGGACAGCGATAAAGGTACTCTGATCTTTACCCTGGCAAAGCCTTCCAGTTGTGTAGTACTCGGAGACCAGTGGACATCTACATAGGTTGAACTCATCGAATGAATATGGATTTCTGAAGACTTCGAACCGCTATCTGCGGACTTGAAATGCAAAATGCTGCCCATATGCCGCCGAACGTTTTGTAACAGAAGACGGATCGCAGCACATTGAACGTAATAGCAAGGGCTGTGCAGCAATTGCATCCGTTTCTGCCTATTCGGCAACCCCCACAACGCTTAAGCGAATATTGTTCGGGAGAAAAATCCTGCAGTGACTTTGAACACTGTCAACGTTACGAACGTCTCGAAATTCCGCTAGATATGATAGTTACATTACAGAATTTGTCCGTAACTACTGGCCGCGTGCCTTCGCTTGATTGAACCATTCAGGGTACCTCCAGAGCACTAAATGTACATCCCGCGCAAGCAAGAGTCTGTATTGTACACTTCACGGTAAAGATTGTACACTACGGTAAAGATTCGTCATGTCTTCCAAAAATCGCAAGCAGCGTGCTGTATCTAACAACGGCGCAAAGCAGTACGCCGTTTCCTTGTACCGTCCTCCCACTTCGCATGCAAGAAGCTACTGACTGCGCGGAAAGAACGACGTGCTGATCTATTAGAGGTGAATTTCAGCTTGCCAAATCCTTGTACCGTCCCTCAATACTCAAATTGCATGCAAGAAGTAATACGTATTAGTAATAACTGTCCAAAAAGAATGTCCATAAACTCGATCCCCGCCCACCCACCAAATCGGCTTTCCCAGCGATCCGTTTTCGCCGAACCAAAGTCAACCTTCCCACGCCCACTTTCCTCAATCCGTTCACACTTCCGGCGTCACACCCTTGTGCGCCTTCTCCGGAACGTGAACGAGCGGAACCTTGGGCACCTTCTCCTCACCGGCCACTCCCAGATTCCGCATCCGTTTACACTTCCGGCGTCACTCCCCTGTGCACCTTCCCCGGAACGTGGGCGAGCGAAACCTTTGACACCTTCTCCTCACCAGCCACTCCCAGATTTCGGTTCCGTTACACTTCCGGCGTCACGCCCTTGTGCACCTTCTCCGGAACGTGGGCGAGCGTAACTTTGGGCGCCTTCTCGTTGTATTGGCGCGCATAGCCCACCAGCCATTCCCAGACGGAAAGGTTCCGCCACTGAACGGCGGGGCCCTGGTACTCACGGCCCTTTCCTTCCAGGAGCATCACCCAGCGCGCGTCGGCCTCGCGCAGATCCAGACCGGTAATGTCGGGAACAAAAAGAATGGTCAGCGCCAGGCCTGTAAAAGACGGTTAGAAGATAGTGTGAAGATATCTGGTTCAGCGCGCGCCGGCTCGCGCAGAATCAGCAAATGAATGTCGGGCACGGAAAGAATGGTCAACATAAGACCTGTGGGGAGAGGAGTATGTACATCAAAGGATCGTGGGATCCAGCGCGCTTTGGCTAGCGCAAATCCACCGCTGTAATGTCGCGCACGAAGACAAGGTGAGCGTCAGGCTTGCGCACGACTAAGTGACGGTGACCGATGATTGCAGGTCACGGTTCAAGGTCCGCTCAGATGGTTTGTAAGGGACCCGGAAAATTGATTGGAGAATGCTAGGAACGAGTGCACCATAAGATGACGTTCGACCGCGCGAATCTCCTAGAAAGCTCCCGTACATTTGCCGCCAGAAGTCCGCCCGCCTTTGACCCTTGAATCTCACGCGCTCGGTCGTCCCTTCAAACAAAAGGGACGAACAGTCTCCAATCACGACTTGGCTGGAATATGCACGAGACCGCTCGTGGTTGAGAGAGAGAACAGACGAACAGTCTTGTTTATCTTTCAAAACCACGGCCGCAACCTTTCTCGGCAGACATCGTGACTTGATTGCGCAGAGGATTCGTAAGTGCGTCCCCTCACCAATTCCGGCGCAGACTGTGGTAATGGTGAACTTGCTCTGGTTGTCCACGTGTTGGAACCAGATGCCGGCCGTCAGTGCGCCGGCCTTGCCGGTCGCCGCCGCGATGCCGTGCGCAGATGCCCTGGGCAAAAGAACGCAGGTAAGGTCACAAACAATCCTAAGTAGCGAAATATGTATCGAATTTGCGGGCATCAGGCAACGTGAGAGAAGCGCCAGTCGAATTCGTCAAGCCTCTCGACATTTGACAGGCAGACCGCTGACGTTGGCACGCCTTGCAAGCTTTCTGCGCGCGTGTACATGAGGGGAAGCCTCAAAAGAAGCAGAAGGCGATGGTCAGAGGCTACAGAACCTACAGATTTGTCGGCGTTTCGAACCAACAAGAAGCGGCCGCAGTGAAAATAAGTGCACCTTGGCCGAAATCATAGTCCAGTTTGCGTTCATATTCATCTGATAAGAGCCTTCTGACCAATGTAGCTCTCCGGATCCCCCACAAATGTGAACATATCAGATAAACGCCTGTGGCACCCCGGGGGCTATAAACCGACCACATGCGCCTAACGTGCGCTCACCTGGTCTCGGTCGGGAAGACCTCCCCGGGCAGTAGTCAGGTGGTCGAGTTGGGCCCCCACTGTCCCCAGAAGGAGCTGAAGAAGTAGAGGAACTCGAAGACGCCGATGTACTTCTTTGACGTCAGCGAATCGTAGTAGATGGAGCACAGCAGAAAGAGGACGAAGATGAACGCGAAGCCCATGATCTGCGCAGGACGGAACGGAATGAGACTCGGTGATTCAATGAGAGGAATTTTGACGAAGTTCAGTTGCCGTAGAGACTATGTTTCAAGTGCGTCTCGAAGAGGCCATAGGCCATGCCGTGCTCTGTAGTGGTCTCGAGCGAGTTCTGACGTACGTAATCCAGTGAGAGTTCCTTTGTTGAAAGGCCCTCAGTAGAATCTCTCGAAACGGCTCGTCGATCAATCGGGTCTCTTCCAGTAAAGCAACCTGGATTTCTACGTGCCCAAGCAACTGCACAGCTTTAATCTTTCATCACGAAATGCCTCCCGCCACTGCTACGACTCCATCTTTTGACCCTGCCAATAACATCTCGAAACCTCCCGACGAACCCTTATTTCATTGCGGCTGTCAGCCGCATACGAAAGAGATAAATGTTCCTGTAACATTCAAAAGCTCCAAGATTCCAAGACCCAGTCCTTAACCCTCCAGGTAACCTTGAACCTTGAAATTTAAAGTAAATAAACCTCTGAAGCTCCCCGGAAGTAACCCTGTTTTGGTCGCCCTCTTACCTGCATCCTGGTTCTGCCCATCCACCGGCGGTCAATGGTGAAGGCGGCGAAAAAGTAGCCCACGTAAGCGATGACGGAGTTCAGCAGCGTGTACTCCAATGTCTGGATGAGCGAGGGCGAGCCGCCGATGATGATGTTGATGAACGTGCTCTGCGTAGGGAAAAAACTTTTGTGGGCTGGCGATAGCATAAATTAGCAGCCTACAGATCGTATCTTAGCATACCGTATGTGGGCTGATCATAGGCAGGGAGTCAAGTTCGGAACTGTTGATGCAATGATACAACGTATCCGGCCATCGCTTGTCATGTCGAGGCCGGCCGCTTCTTCGATCAAGCCCGCAAAGGTTTGGCAACCCATTCCAAGGAGAACAAATTTTCCTAACAAATCATCCGGCTTGACCGTGTAGCTTGAAGAACGGCGGACAGGTTTCAAAGCGGACGCCCAACTCATTAGCACTTTGGTTCGAAATCAGAGGGTTGTAGAAACACAACACCGTGCCTTTTCTGTATTTATTTACCAACTTGGTTTGCATAACCCACCTTGAAAAGCTTGTTGCCGTAGAAGACCACGTCCCAGACGAACCACGAGAGCGCCATCTCGGCCAGGCAGTATTGACTTCAAAAATCGTGTTTTCAAAAAACTGGGTTGTCAGGTTGGTTTACTTACCCCACCTGGAAGAGTCTGTTGCCGTGGAAGGGGGCATCCCAGACGAACCAGGAAAGGGCCGTTCAGGCCAGGCAGTATCGATTTCAAAACCCGTGTTTTTTTCAAAATAAATGGTTACCAGTTTGGTTTAGCTAAGCGACCTGGAACAGCTTTTTGCCGTAGAAGGCCACCGCCCAGACGAACCAGGAAGGCGCAGTCCCGGCTAGGCAGTACTGATGTCAAAAACTGTGTTTCAATAAATAGGTTCCCAGGTAGGTTTATCTAACCCACCTGGAACAGCTTGTTGCCGTAGAAGGCCACGTCCCAAACGAACCAGGAAAGGGCCGTTCCAGCCAGGCGGTGCCAATAATGGTACACCAGGACAAGGAATTTGCGCCCGCCAAAGGAGACGCGGAGGCCCTCCTTCTTGAGGTTGTTCCGCTTCGCTGCAGTGGGGAAGTCTCCACTTGTCAAAGTCAAATAGCATGGATCCTGGTTGCTGATTTCACTAGGAAAGGTGTACTTGAAATCAAGAGAGAGGAACGATCACAATCGCTGGACTTCGGCATTTTCATGGTGATTCACGCGCTTGCATCGAGCCCAAAAAATATACTCAACAAAATAGATAGGCTTCGGTGGCCAGCTGATCGACCTGGCCCATCGAAGAGGACATTCCAATTCAACAAGTAAAGAACCTTGATGCCATCCCGCCACCGCTGAAGAGAAGTGACGGAGGTAACAGTCGATCGGCATACTCATTTGGAAATGTCTATTTATCATGCTGGGTCTGTTACAACTCATGTGTGAATTGAGAGCTTAGGACTTCGACGCTGTCCTGCCAACAACCGCGAAGCTAAACCTTGCACATGCGTCGGCAAACGGAACGGCAGCGCTGCTGTCTCGAGCAGCACAGCGTTCTGAGGTGAGGTGCTCGCCTGTCCAGATAGACGACTCCTGAAGCTTGAAGATCCTGATGTAGAGCATGATCATAACGGGGATGAGGCCGAAGGCGAAGGAGAGCCGCCACACCCAGTCTAGTTTCTGCAGCAGTCACGAATGCGTCAGCTGGATTCACGCAACAAACGGCGCTGGCCTTTCGGAATAGATAAAATTTCGCGGAGGATTCTCATGTCGCAAACACGAAATGGAATCATATGATTGCTAAACAAGGCGCTCGGGTCAGGTAGGTCTCCTTCACATCTGCAGCTATATAATTTGCATCCAAGCATCTTTGAAAAATGAATCTCCAATCTTAGATCTGAAACCTGGATACGGAGATTCAATGTCAGTAGAAACTTTAGAAGTGAGAGCAGAATCCAAACGACGAGTCCTGATTATCAGAGCGCTGCTGAAAATAAGAGCAACTCAAAATGCGTCCGAATCAGAGAAGCGTCCGGCTTACCGTGGGGTCGTACGTGGGTCCCCACTGTCCGAAGCACGCGAGCAGAAATAGGAGCACGCACACGTTAACCACGTTTCCCAAACCCTGGTTAGAGAACACCAAGATCACGGTCTCGCCGCGCTTGTTGATCAGGTTCTTGTCCGCTTCCGCCCGTTCGCCGCGGAAGAAGAGGCGATGGGGTATTCGCCACCGACTCCCACACCGAACACAAGCTGCGTGAGAGAGGAGAATAATTTGCAACGGGATTTTTGTGGAAGCTCTGCGGACGTCAGATGGACAAGAAATCTCAAAATGAAAGCTTTTACGAAGTGGGCCTGGCATCGAACACATGGGACGTTCTGGAGATCAATAAAATCTGAACTGATTTTGATCCCCCAGAGACTTGTATCCTATTTGGGATACAAACCAACCCTTGAGCGGCCAGTAATGTGCATTCACCACCGAGGATTCGGTCGGACGTTTGCAACGTGGAGGCGTCAGCACACGGCCCACGAGAGGTTCGAAACGTACAGACAGGGCCCTGTGAGTGGCCCCACAATGCGCAAAATAGGTCTTGCTCTCACAAACTTATCCGCAAAAGCAACAGGCCCCGCTGAAAGCAGACGATTTCGCATCGTCAAACGACCGGGGCTTTTTCTAAGTGGAGGAAAGATGTTCTAAGCGGAGAAAGATGGGTCTGAAGAGAAAAGTCTCACCTGGGAGATTGTGTACATAAGCACGATCCCAGACTGGGTGGGCCCGTCGGAGGCGGTGAGCATGATTCCGCCCACGAGCATGATCGACGCTGTAATGATGGAGCCAAGCTTGCGCCCGAGTCGGTCCGCAAAGAAACCCAGGAAGACCATTCCAGCCATGATGCCCGCAATCTGCAAGGCAAGTTTCGATGTGATTCTTAACATAGAGCATTAAGTTTTGGTAAATGGGAGAGTATATAGGCCGAGGAGGCACTTGCACTGAGATGCATTTGGAATCCTCCGATTTCAAGAGCATGTAAGGGGTCCAGAGCATTGAAAGAGAGTATGTTGACACGCGAAGACGGTACTGCAGTTCAGAGATGACGGCGCGGATCAACACGGGTCGTATCTGCAACGAACTCAAACGAGGAGCAAAAGCCAGAAACTGGACCTTGTACTTGTCCGAGCAAAGCTGATACCGATCCCATTCGTCAAGGGGTTGGCTTTAGATGGGCCGACGTAGCCAGACATCGTTGACCATTGGCTCGAAGCTGCCAAACATGCATGCTTCAGATCCTACTCACTGCCCATCGTGTTTCGAGCAGCTACACATGCATGGATAAGACTTGCTGCCATTTAGCGCATTCAAATTGATCGAGATCGACAGTCAGGTCACCCCATCAGGACGTCGTCCATCGAAAACAAACGACTGCGAACTGATCAAAGCTGTCGACCTGACTTGCTGAGATTTGCAAACTGCACAGAAGTCTCTCAACCCCACCTGGGTGTAAGTCGTCGAGTTCGTGAGGCGGTAGCTACAGTTGGGGTGGGTTTTCCCAAAGCACTTGGGGTACTCCTTTGCAAAGATCGCCGACAGGTTGCCGATGGAGAAGTGAAGTACGCCTCTGAAAACATGCCCAGCCCTGGGATCTTGAAGGAGAGTACCCATTGGCCGAACCTGCATGAAGAACAGCAGCTTATTGTAAGGGGCTGGTGAGTGAGACTAAGAGAGCTGGAAGTACTACACCACTGTGCCCTGACAAATCGACTTCCAGAAAGCCCAGAGGGTTGAAAGTCATGCACATCTGTCTTTAAGAAGATGGTAATATAAGAAGCCTTTGTACGAGATTTCTCGTCAGTCTATCCTTCGGAAAGCTGACTCGAAATTGGCCTGTCGATGACAGTCAGAGACGCACCTTCTATGCCAACAGTACACTTTCTCACCAATCATTGTTCAGTTTACAATCAGTGAGCAATCCAAACATCTTTCTTGAACAAAACCCGCACTCTCCAGATGTACATACGGTGCAGATCCGGGTCTCAGCTATAAGCTTTTTGAGTCAGAGTTGGCAGTGCCCAGAAACATGCCCAAACAATCTTGACAGCAGAAGCAGCTTGCACCTCAACAAGGTCGTCAGCGTTTTACTGCTCCCCATCCACAGGCTACCAAAGTACTGAACTAGCAGCTGTAAGGGGAAAACAAAATTCTAGAATTCTGCTGTCTGCAATGTGAACCAAACACGCTGTCTGCGGTATGGACCAAACAGGTTCTTTCGAATTCAGGAGCTTCCAAGTTGCTGGCGATCTGGTCAAGAACGGGCAGGGAATCAACTCTACATGGTGCACCATCAAAGTTGAGCTGAACAAACTAAGAATTCAACCATTCTGCATGCACATACATTGTGGCTGAATGCAAAGTGAACTCTCAATCTCAGATGCGACTACAAGCTCAGCTCACTAAGTAAGTGATCACTTCAACAGGAGGTCTAAACTCTGCATTTTCCACTCTAGTTTTGTTGAAAGGACCCCAAGTCAGGCTCAACATGGCGGCACTTTCTGAACAAAGCCAGGATGATATTGCGACCACCATTGCTGGATCATGCAACAACGACAGTCCATTCGCTTCAAAAGGGAAAGTTCAGCTCCAGAGAGAACAGTAATCAGTACTCACGCGATCACTGGGTTGGAACTGTACACCTTCGATGGCCTGTCCCCGTAGTCGTACTCTTCCGCGGCCACCGCGGAAGCGCTCGCAGGCGCAGCGGTGACTCCCGTCGGGCCATGGAAGTCCTTCTCGGAGAAGTCGCCATTGCGCGCCGCCATGACGTCAGTAGCACAGGGCTGTGCCGCTTGGGATCGCTGAAATGCTCAGTGTGACAATGTGAGCGTTGATCGGTAGTGGTACGTCTAGTGTTGTTTCGATCAGCAGCTACTGGTGGAGTTGCCAACCCTCGGGATCTTCAGCGCCGCAAGGGAGTAACACCCGCCCAGGCCCAAGGACTGCTTGGAACATAAGTAAGTTCTCCATATGCATATCTATCTACCCTTTCAGATGCTCGGACGCTTCCGTTGCGTTGTGATACTTACTGTGCTAGGAAGAAGCGAGCCTTAATTGTACTTTTCTAAGGCGTTTTAAACAACAGGCTGTCGTGAAAGCCCCTGCTGAGCGAACTGTGAGCTCACTCATCAGAGGGAATCTCGCTTTCCCTGGAAGGAGTTCCCTGCTGACAAGCACAAGATTCCCTCTCGCCAGCCCTGAGGCTGCCACCGCACCATTATGTCAATTATGACTATGATTGCCTAGCTACTTGCAAGATTCCTTTTAGGTAATTGCTTCAAAGTTCAGAGAGCGGCACTTCAATGTTGCGCCCGTGCATATGCTTCGTGTAGGTCCTAGAGCTGCATGATGCAGATCATATGATTGCGGTCCTCGCGGGGGTCGCTCCGAGGCTGACACGAGGGTGAAATATTGGCACTTGTCGCCTAGGCGACAAGCCACCGCAGTATTCCGTACGAAGCGACAATTTGGAACCGGCCTCGGGAGTTCCCCCGGGACGCCTAGACTCTAGAGCAAACCGGGGGTTACCGGGCATGGCTGGCCGCTGCAATGTGCAGCCTGCGCGTGTGAACTGTGACTGTGCACTTTGCACAGTGGCTCCGCGGGCCCAGTCGGCCGGGCATCTATGTGAGGAGTCGACTCCTCACACCGATCGGAGAGGAGTGGACCCCGGGGGCCGGAAATTCAAAGTTCAGAGCCACGTGCCAGACTTCGACAGCCAATCATTGGGTCACGCGCGCGGCCGGGCGCGGCCAGCTGCAACGCGCGCCCCGCGACTCGCGAGCTAGTCGCGACCAGAGTCCAGTAGCTAGGGGTGGGCCGGGACTCGCACACACCGACTTTGTTCTGCCTAAAGCTGCGCATGTTTTTGCGCCACTTCAAGGATTGAGCGGGCCCCCGCCTTCGCCGGTCCCCTATTGAACCCATTCGAGTAACCTAGAACACCCCCGGCTGCAATCAGCTCCCATGCAAGCCCAAACCGCTATATCTCAGCACCGGGGATGCGCCGATAAGGTTTTCTCGTACCTCGATCGATCAAATCAAGAGACAAGATTCCTCACGAATAATTGGATGAATTGATTAGGTGCATTGAATTTCGATCCTAGCTTGTCGATTCTGTCAATTATTAATCTTTCAAGCGCACCTACGCTGTCAAAAACGCCGGAACTACAAGCTCGATCGCGGCGCGTGGCAAGATTTTTGCCCCAGTTTTGACCGAAACAGAAACGAGCGCCCCAGCCGCTTCGATCTCCCAGGACGTATAAGCTTGCGCGCAGGGTACGTCTGGCGAATTCCGTCCAGCCGCGGAAAAAACCCTGGAACTGCCTGGTAATCCGGCTGTCGACTGCAGCGCACGAAGTGACTACTAATGGACGGTGTCATGTGTATAGAGTTGGCGGCCATCTTCTATACTGAAGTTTTGTAATGAAGGCATCCAAAATTATCCGGATGACACAGCAGAGATTGCAGCTGCGGCACGCAAATCCTCCTGAACCGGTGCTTGCGAGTTCCACTGCAGTCTGGGCAATGAAGCAGTCCGACGCTAAGAAGATCGACCAGATGGCCAAGCAATACAAGTCACCTTGATCCCGGCCGTGCCCATGTTAAGAGATATGCTGCTGCAGCTTTTTCCGTACAACCAAATTTTCCGTTCATAAATCGTCACTTTCGAAAGCAGTTGGATGTTGACGGACGACGGACCATTGGACAACTACAGTAAGACGGCCGGAATGTGTTCCCACGAAAATTCCCTTGCTTGCACAGTATACGGTCAGATCTCGGATGATCTTTCATCCGGCAACAGTAATGAATCTCTAGATTGCCCGGTCTGCCTCCCCAAGCAAACACACAGATTGCTGGAGTCACAACGCGCTGCGTCGTCAGGCGTGGGCCTTCGCGGGCGTCCCGTGCGGTTGTTGGCCCTTAACCACGGTCTGGACGGCCGCCAGAACGACCGGCATCAAGCGAGCGTTGGTGGCGATGATGCCCCGGTCCAAGTCGAGGAACCGGCCCTTCGAGAAGTCGAGCTTGTTGCCGCCCGCGTCACGCACAACGCCGCCCGCCTCTGCAAAGCGGAAGCGATGGGTAAGTTGGGCTTGAAAAGGTGGGTTTGGAAGGTTAATATCGGGGCTTATAGTGGAAGCCCAAGGATGTCTCGTTCTTACGTGACCGGCCCCTGGACAAGTCGAGCTTGTTGCCGCTGGCGTCACGCACAATGCCGCCCACCTCTGCAGTGATTCGAAAAGATGACTTAGCTGGCATTTTGTGGTAGGTATTAGAAGGCAGGTTTGGCAAGCTGATGCGAGCCTTGCATCAGAAGCCCAGGGATGGTAGAAATCTAGCCAACCGCCAATTCAGTCGTGCCCACCGAAACACTTCCTATCGACGCTGTGATTTTAAATAGTAAGACTCTTCCTCATTCCCTATCTCCGCCACTCGATGAGAATGTCCAGCATCGACAAAACGGAAAGGACAGAGCTAGAAAAGTTCGTCATATTTTCGAAGAGCGAGTGCTGTAGACCGGCAATGGATCGTCCCACAAGCTTCGCATGTATTGCCAGTCTGCAGTCATTGCGGAGCCGCAAAGCGTAAGCAGTCGTTGCTGCCAACGCGAAAGGCAACCTCGGGGGGAGAATGTTGTCAAGGTCCTTCACTAACCGCAGCCACCATGCGTTTGGCTTGAGGGCCTGGCCTACTGCAGGAGACGAAGGAAACAAAGGAAAGACAGGCGCTTCCAAGAATAATCGAGGAGGACGGCGGTTTTCAACGCAGGCGCATCCTTACATTACACGAGAACGGGAAATGCCAAGCCAATTTTTGAGTAGCGACGCGACCAGAAACTCTAACGAAACTATGCCTTGGTGAAGAGGGTAACACAACCTATCAGCACACATTGCAAAAGATAACAGTCTGCAGAAAGGACAAACTCTCGCCCTGCGAAGATTATCTTGTACTTCAAGTGCGACCAGAAAGTGCTACCACAGTAAGTGCCTGTTCTAAACAGAGTGAAGGAACGAACGGAAACAACATTTATGACCCGAAAATAAGGTAACGGAAAATAAGGTACAAGTTCACCTTCAATGACGCAGCACCCTGCGACGTGGTCCCAAATCTTCTCGCGGTAGCCCGCGTGCGGGAAGCGCAGGTAGATCGCGGCGTCCCCTCGGGCCATGGCGCCGTACTTGGCCTGGCTGTCGATGCGGCACGGCGGCGCAGTCACTCCCAAAACCTGCATCAGAGCGGAGTTCTTGCTGACGTCAGCTGGACGTGGATGAGTCGATGCACGGGGCGACGAGGGAGGAGGTTCACTTGGCCTCGCTGCCAATGCGCACGGCAGCGCAGTGACTCCCAAAACCTGCATCATTGTGCTGACGTCAACGAACGGCGGGAGTGCAGCGTGACGGCACGGCAGCCACTTCACTCCTGGGACGTGTGAAGAGATGAAGAAGCTTGTGCTGACGTCAGGAGCACGGAAGTGGAGTGTGCTGAGCAGGAAGGGCGCGGCCCAAGCGTGCGTGTTCGAAACCAGGAGACAGGCCGCTCGAGGCTGATGCCAGCAAGCTCTTGAACAAAGGCCTGGCAAACCCATTGCTTTCGACACCCAAAATACCCTGTCAGATTGCAGCCCGCCCTCTATGCTCCCTCAGGTGTCTTCATCAGGTATCTTCAGTGCTGGCTTCTCATCCAGGACTCTTGTCATCCTGGCAACTTAGACATGGAAGTGGGGTCGGAATCATTTGTTCACCTGCGCAATGCCCCCCGTCAGTTCCTGGTCCGAGTGCTTCTTCTCAAATGACTCGCAGAAGCTAGCCCACGCAGGGTCCTCCACGGAGCTCACGCGGACCTGCGGAGAAAGAAGGGAGCAACTCGGAACGGCTGTTCGGTTTGATTGGGATAATTTGTGCGGTTCGATCAGAAGGCAGAGGTCAAAAGACAGTCAGAGAAACGCAGAGAGCGGCAGGGCATCGGGGTTCGAACGAAGCAACTAACCGCGACTGTAATCCAGGCGCAATCGACGGAGAGCAGTAACGGCGAAAAAATGATGTAGTGTTCTCTGGAGCAGTCCGCCTCTTTGGACGACCAACCAAACACCCTTAAGATCGAGTAACGATAGCTGCGCAGTCTCCGAACCAAAAGAGTACCGCTGACGCATCCAGCACACCAAAACTGGCACACCCCTCTGAAGGGGCTCTTCTTTTCAATAACCTGCCCCGTAATCCTTGACTAGTCCTTGATCATCCCTTAATCTTAGTGCTTGATCATCCCTTAATCTTAGTCCTTGATCATCCCTTAATCTTAATCCTTGATCTCAAAACCTTCTCGAATCCTGGAAAGCTCAGCTCACCTTTGTTGGCGGTGACGACCCATCGATCGGCTCAACGGTGGTCCCCGCGCCCTTGTAGGCCGCAAAAAGGCTCCCCACTGGCTCCCCCTTCTTCCGTGCCGCTTCAACGTCCATGGAAGCGAGCGGCAGGTTTGGACACCCCAGGACGCCCAACACGACCTCCCCGCCGTCCAACAGTCCGAGGGCAACCGCGTATTGGTCGCCACGAACGAACCTGCGGCCGAGGAGAGGTGTGATTCGCAAAAAGAGTAACCGACTCTTGAGTTACTTGGGTCCAAATCGTTGACTTCAGAGAACCCGACTTTAAGCAGAATCAGCACGACTTTGGTCTGCTCGAGAAATTGAGTACGGGTTGGAGTTTCTCCACTAATTTTACAGCAACAGCCTACTGGTTGCTTTGAGTGAACCTGCGGCCAAGAAAAACAATCGTTCGAGCAAGGCGAGTCTAAACAGGATCCATGTGTGAGGGGGTCTCAGATTGTTTACTGCAAGGGCGTACTGGTTGCCATGAAGACACCTGCAAGTAGGAACCTTGGAAAACTGGAGGGGCGAGTGAGTGAAAGTAAAGGTAGGGTGCAGGATGGGGTTTTTTCGAGGGCGGATGCCATATGAGAGTCCTCCAATCAACAGTCCTGCAAGCAGGTGAAGAACTCGCACTGCCAGCATCACTGCAGTTCCAAGAGCGCGTCGCAAATTTCAGCTGACCGTACTCACAAACGAGTTTTCAAGGAGCTCCTCCTGCACACACACTCGCTTTCCTCGTGCTCTACTCAAAAGGCCTCCATTTTCTCGCTCTTTCAAAGGTCAGGACCCTCTTTCGTCCTTTCAAAGGTCACGACCCTCTTTCGTCTTGCTTTCATAACTTGACCACCAACTTCTCTCTTCGTAAGAAGGCTCGTTCCTTCCTTGTTCCTTCCTCTTGCTCATTCACAATCCCATCTTTCCACATCTTTCCAATCTGTCAAAAGTCTTACCCTTTGGTTCCGTCAATGGGATCGAGCACCCAGTGGCGTCCCTCCGGGCCGCCTGGCGATCGGCCCCTGTCAATTGCAATGACTATTTCCTCCTGACTGAGTGGCTCAGCATCGGTGATAGATCCGTCCGCCTTGATGGTCTCGTTCACCAACTCAGTAATCCGCGCTAGCATGGGGCCGGCGCTCTCTGCCTGGAGATCGTCTGAGTCCTGCGCAAATACAAAGGCTTCTGACGTCAATAAATCCATCCTGTATCTGAGTATGTAATGAGAGGCGTTGGCGTCTCAACAATGACGGTGAAGTTGCAAAGCAGGCTTTAGCAACGGAGGTGAAAGGTGTCCCCGTTTGTGTGAACACTGCCCCCTTTGAAAAGCTAGCGACAGGAATTTGAAACATTTCAAATCTCACAATAACCAGCGGTACCTTGTATCAATCCTGAAAAGAATGAAAGTCCAGACACAGAGTACACTAGAAGCCTGGAAGAGGAAGTGCGACTGATCAGAAGTTCGCGGATCACTGTTGTTTATAGCACGTTGCTGGGATAGCTGGTATGATAGAAGATGCATCATGTGAGATCGGATCCTGGCTTGAGATCTAAACGAGGAATTTACCTCCTCAGCGACCATGGAGAAAGTCCCCTTCGGCAAGGCCCTCTCAAGGGCCCAACTGATCAGCGCTTGCGAGCCTGCAGGAAAATAGGTGGAAACTGTTGCGAGTGCGGAGGTTCGATGCCTATTCTCATAAAGGATAGGAAAGCCATGAAGGAAGGTGGAGAATTCTTCATAGTGCAGTAGTCCTTGTGAGTATTGCAGCTCGATGTGACTGTTCTGCCTTTAGTGGATAGAATCTCTGCAGTTGATACAGAGTTTCACACAAGTACAAAGAATGGCCATCAGAGCCCCACAAGGATAGAGCGAATGCGCAGGAGGCACATGGCCAATGCAGATGTGCAAGTCAACCAAAACGCATTCGGCCAAGAGGGCGCCCTGTAGATTGTGTTGGAGTAGTCGAACTCACCATAATCAGCAACAGTAACCGGAGACTCGTCCGACTTTGACTGAGTCTCTTTGGCGAGAAGACGGGATTGCACGGTCTGCATTTGCAAAGCATTGTTCATTTAATTGCCCCTCTAGGCGACTATGATCTCCTGTAACCTGTGGCAGGTTGCTCTTAGTGCGTTATACGAGCATCAAAACATCACTTGACGAGGCTCCACGAGTCTGGCACGGGGCACAATGTGCCAAAAGTTCCTCCTTGAAGATCCAATTTAAAAGGATCTTCGATGAGCGATCCCTGATGCTTGTCAATTGACCTATTCATTGCAGGTTTCAGATCCAGATAATGTATAATGTAGGGGACCGCAGGGAGATGGCATAAACTTGAATTGTAGACCTTATGCAGCTAGAGACACGTTGTGTGTGTGCAATGACCAGATCACTCTGAATGGAGATGTACGAAGATCAATGGCTTCCTGAAAATGGGAGTCCCTGAGGAAGTTTACACGCAGCACCACGACCTGTCCCTCCAGCCACTCAGCACAATGGTGTCCCTAAAGACCAAGGAAATTCAAAAAGTCAAGGTTTCAAGGAGGACCGCGCCTGCTCACCGTGCAAAGGCGACAGGCCAGCCGGACAGCCGTCACGGCAACCTCCAGATCTTTTGCATACTTGGTCATGATGGTGCCTGGGTTTAGTCACCCAGAAAACCACTCAACGATGCAAGAATGCAACAATGCAGGAACCAGATCAAGATGCGTTTCTGCCTGTTCACCCCTCCAAATTCCACCTCTGCGTCTCCTGCGTCTTGCGCTTTTCAGAAGTTTTCTCCTCCGAGTCCAACGAGTCGATCACAGCTAGAGGTGAAGCGATGAAGTGCTGACGTGGTCCAAAAGCGGCACCAACCAGAGGGCGCAAACGCCCAGGCAAGTTTTGTACCGGTTGTTCGCTAGCAGAGATTGAGAGCACCGCCGGGCGCCGCAAAACCAAAATTGGCATATGCTTTCTGTACCATAAGAGCCATCTAAAACCGCTTTGAAACTTTTGCCGCGACCGGCGGTGCCCTTCGTATAGTGGCATGTATGACCGTATGTCCCATTTCACCAGCTAAATCGTCATTTTTGGGGCGCTCAGTAGGGGGGTCAAAAGCTCAGAATTTTTGGCGGAAACTTGTCGAGACCTTATTGGTGCCTATTCAAGCCATTTTGAAGTTGTGGGCACTTCAAACTCATCCAGAATCTCAACATACAGTTTTGCTATCTGGCGACTTTTACCCGGCGTTTGCGCCCTCTGGCACCAACCTCAAGAGGTACCGTACCGTTCGCAGACGAACAAGGCGGCGGTGCCTACTTTGCTACCCACGTGATGGATCCGATCAATTGATTGGTAGATCAGGCCTTGAACAAACACATGATTCTCTTGCAAGGCTGCCAGTGCAAGTTTCAACTCGCTGTTCAGTTTGCAATTGCTGTGAATCGTGTTTAGCATGGCGCCAAGCCCTAGCTGGGATCTGGAACGGCTTCATTCAGCAAGGGAGATGGCACTCATATCAGAAGGGAAAATGGAGCTAATGAATACAACAATGCTACAAACAACCGGGAGCAATGCTGACGTTTTTGCCACCAGATGATCCAGTGGAAGCTCAACAAGCTGCATGCAGAACCATTTGGAGGGTGTGCAAAGATAGGTGTTCGCTGGATGCTCTCAAAGACTCATCTGAAGCACTCTGAATTGAAACAATTTGCAAGTCAGCTGCAATTCCTTAACGGAGACCCTTGCCTTTAGTGGTGGCTGGGGGAATGGGACAAGCACAGTCACACAGCGACAGCTTTTTGAAGGCATCAAAGTAATTCGGTCAAAGCCTTGGTCAAGCTCTTCGTACTGCTACTCTACTCGGGGGGATCCCTCTGCAAAAAGCTTCTGATTTTGGTTCGCTTCATGTGATGAGTATAGCCCATGCCAATGGCACGGGCGTTTCAAATGGCAGCTTCGTCTTCATGCAATATCAATCAAGCATTGAGGATGAGAGCTGGAGTGCTCTGGATTGGAAGGAGGAACGGGTAGGCATCAAGGAGAATGCGACTCTACTTCAAAAATCAGTCTCTGTTTTGCAAAGACTGTCTTCGTCAAATGCAGGCAGTTCACGCCTCAAGAGCTTGACAACCTCAGAAGCAAGTTCAGATCCATAGCACACAAGTCAAGATCGTCAGAGGACCTATGCATATTCGCCTCTGCTTTTCAGGTGAGGAAATTCTGCTTTGATGTGAGAAAGACCTGCAATTGAAGTTCTAGAGTTGGCGCGAAGGAACATACCTTTAAATTCAACCCGGTGCCATGTTATACAAGTTGAGCGAACGTAATTTGACTGACGTCCAAGATCAGACTGTGAAAACTGGATTGCACCGCCATTGAAAGTCCCTTCGCTTCTTTGTTCAATGCCCCTCACATTGACGTCACCAGCACTTTGCAGCGAGAAATCCTTCTCTTATTATTATGACGTCATTGAAAAGTTGGAAATTGGTGGCACTTGTGTGCAGGCGCACTATGAGATCCACGGGGTGCTGGGTGCTCGACTATACCACCTTCTGAGCAAGAAGAGAGGCGACGGATGCGTGTCCTTTGAGGACTTTGTTGAAGCTAAGGTAACTTTGCTTAGACACTTGTCTTCATACGATCTCCCTGCGCTCAGACATACCTCTCAGGCGGGCTTTTGAGGGATTGGCTGTGCAGGTCAAAGTGAGCAACCACCCACGAGAATGGATGATTGCACAGAGACCAAAAGTGTGGCCTTCTACAAACAATGTTCCAGTCTGAAGGAAATACATTTGGAGGTTATGATGATCAGGCAAAAGCTAATTCGACATATTCAAAACCTCAAAGGAATAGGACCATGAAAGGCTTTGTTGAATATCAGGTAATATTCTGAGAGAAGCCCTGATTGTTGACCTTTTCTCACAAACTTTTCTGAACCAACGAACTTTTCTGAACCAGGCAATTGCAAGGAAGGGATCGCCAGAGGAGAAGGAGGCCCTGGCTTACAGCTTACTAGACGTTGAAGACGATGGTTGCGTCAGAAAGTAAGCGGCACGCTTCTCTTTTCATTTGCAAGAGAATGCCCGCTTTCTTCCATCTCGCCCTCAACTCTGTTTGATTTGCGAAGACTCGTCAAAAATAACAAGTCGGTTTGCAATTTACACTGGTCAAACCAGCTTTCATAACTTCTACGAGCTTTGAAACCTTCAATCTGGTGGTTTTGAGGAAACGACCTGGTACCACGGGCAGACCTGCTCCCTCTCAAGTAGTTCTTTGGAAAAAGATCTTCTGGTTAGCCGTCATGGCTTCAAACCTGTATTTTCACAGCTTCACGACCGGTGGCCTCTTAACGCTCCAAGAGAAAGACGACGTCAACAATTTTTGGGGTGTACAACAGGATGTCTTGCACACGCGTTCGACTAACCGATACACCCGAGATTCCTTGATCAGACGACTCGTTGTTTTTCCGCCACTAACAGCATCTACTCCGATGGCCCATTTGCTCTCGACACCCGTTCTGTTCCCCCAAGGTAAGCCCAAATTCCACCAGCTTTCGGATTTTTCGAAGTCCCAAGATGCTACCCCTTCAACTGACACAAGCGTTGCTGTGCAGGTCTGATCTTGAGGCGGTCGTCACGTCCTGTGTCAAGACCGTCCTCGGGCAGGGTCCAGACCAAGCGGCTGACGAGGCCACAGTCGCAGCGATTGTGCGCAGCGCTGAGTTCTCCGAGAGAAAGCAGGAGCCGTGCATGAGCTTGGAGGACTTTCGAAGATGGAGCAGGGGGGTGCCGGCAGTACGCAGGGTCCTTGAGAGTTTAATGGCCGACCCTGAAGCAGGTAAGAGAGGCACCACGTCTGCTAAAGGTTGGACATATCCAAGTTCAAATGTCGGATCCTACACCGGCCCCTTTTGGACATCGCTCTAGTTTTCAGGCGGACTGCAGAAATTTGAAGTGGCTTTGGCCGAGTTTGACCAAACTAGGTTCGGAACCCTGTCCTGATGCGATAGGACTGCTCCGGGCTGAATGTTGCAGACTGGGAGTGATATGTGAGGATTGGACGGCTGTGATACGATCTCGGCCGTTGTGAACCTCTGCGACCCGCCTGTTTGAAACTGTTCCTAGCTGGATGGTCAACAGGTCGGTTTCTACGTGTCCAACAATCAGAATCTAGGCCCTCCCATTCCAAACCGAGTCGAAACCCCCTTGATACCACCCCACCCAGGGCAACAAAGTAGTCGTCCGTCAATCGTTGGCCAATCGTTGGCACGAACCGCCTATATACCCTGCTGCAGGCGGCCAAAAATGGGCGGTGCCCGATCTAGTTGTTCCGGGTGACGCCACGTGTCCCGTTCTGCTGACGCGCGAGCACGCCTGGCTCCTGGGCGGGGCGCTGACGCCCGAGGAGCTGGTGACGTGGCGGCTCGCGTACAGCAGCAAGGCCCACGGGCTGAGCTTCAGCACGTTCGTCGGGAAGATGGCGAGGTGAGCCGGTGGAGCTCTTTCCCCTTTCAGAGTTCTGAAGACGTTTCGCCATGACCAAAAAAGGCACGGCAGTGCCTTTACAATTGACGAGGAAAAACCTGGGAAGTGATAAGAGCGTTATTGGATGGGATTGCAACATTCAGCAAAGGGTTCGAAGCTTTGACTGAGGGTTAGATACAGACTGCGACCCACTGATATGCTCTTCAAAAACCCCTCCGAATTTCTCTAGACCGGCCCAAGCCGTTGTCCGACTTTGATTGTATGCAACCTGCAAAGCCCCCGTCCAAACCGGCTTTCTCACAAGCACCGCCTCGCATCTTCTAGAGCAAGTCTCAAGCTTACTAATTATGAGGCCCCTCGTTTCACGGGGGGACCCCAAGCTTCTCTATGTTATTGACCAGCAAACGCCTCGTGCGCCACTTCTTATACTTTGCGCCTCACATCATCAGTTTAAATTCTCCTCTGTGCTGGGCCGCTCGGCTCGCTGGTGGATACTCTTTACTTCAACTCGTTGAGGCCCTGTTCACACCGGCTCTCCCTCTTCCTCCGCGCTAACCAGTCTTGACCTTCCAGTGTACAGGGCCCCTCGGTCCTTGTAGTGAGGGACGCGAGTGGCGCACTTTTCGGCGGATTCGCTTCTCAACCGTGGGAGCGCCGCAGCGATTACTACGGCGATATGCACAGCTTCCTCTTCACGCTGCTGCCGCAGGCGGCCATCTTCAGGCCTTCGGGAGCCAACCGCAACCTACAGTGGGTGAGTCGAAACGTTCAACAAAAAGCTGTTTGCCAAGCCCTTGAGTAATGCTTGAGCAGGCACGCTATTTGGTCCCTACTCGTACATCCCCTGAGCAATGAGCATCGAACCGTCTTATGCCAAAGTCGAGGTTGTTACCTTGGCTTGCATCGTGTCGCACACCCTCCTCTTAGCTGTTGCCATGTGTCGTGCAGTGCGCGATTAACTACCAGTCCGATTCCCTTCCCAACGGCTGCGGCTTCGGCGGACAGGTGCACCACTTCGGACTATTTCTGGACGCTAGCTTCGACAGCGGCGAGTCACGCCCGTGCGTCACGTTCAACAGGTGCGAACAACCTTGACTTTTACAAAGCTTCTTTGGCTGTTTTGCTAGATTCGCGATGAGCACTGCATATTTCAGAGGGGACTTGGTGACCATGTTTGGACCCGAACCTAAGGTGCGCAAGCGGCGCAAGTCTCGAGTTCAGACGATGCTTATCAATAAAAAGTTGTGCTTGGTATCTCAAGCGGATGCGTCCCCGTGCGCGAATCGCTTGCTGGAGGTCCTAATTGGTTACATTCATCTTTTCCGCGCCTATTCTTTACGGCGCCCAGTCCGGGTCCGCCTTATGGAGTGGCGGCGAGCCAACGCCAAAACATTTTACGCTCTGAGGATCACGGCTTCATCTTGCCTGATTTCGCTTGAGCTGCCTTGACCACACCGCGACGATTCGCAATGGTTCTTGAGAAACGAGCAAGCTGGTGCATCTAACATGCTTTCCCGTTCGGTTTTGCAGCCCTTCTTTGTCATCCAGCCCGCGTTTCACCCCCGACCACATTGAGTGCTGGGCTGTAGAGATCTTGAGATCGACCAACGCTGGCGATCAAGTTGCTTTAAAAGGAACAGTCTTGGAAAGGTTCAAGGAAGATCGGGCTGTGCTTAACATGATGGGCATCGCCGATCACGCCTCTGCAACTGGTGAAGGATGATAGAGCTGGATCATGCGAGACTTATCCGGCCCTAAAGAACATGTTGATAATCTGTTTTTTGTCAAACGAGATTGTCCACCCATGTGCTAGGAACAAGATCTCAGTCGTACACTAGCATGGTCCGTTCGTGGAAAGTAATGAGATGCATGGTTACAATGCTGTGCAGTGTCTACTTTTCTATGGTTCAAATAAAGGTTCATGCGATCTTGATCGACAATTCATACGTCCGCCTGCAATCAATCAGGGTCGAGAATGATCACGGAACTGTCGTACTCCACTGTCGCGATCCTAACCGAGGATCTCTTGCTAAACCCAGCTACGCCAGGCACCCAGATGCATGTCAACGCAATACAGCCACCGACGCCGCGTATCCTTGCTCCTCCGGCGTCAGCTGGCTCCCCACCAGCCATCCCCGACACTTGTCTGCTACGGGCCCTCCCGTCTCTTTCGCCCTGGCCGGTTGGCTCTGCCCCACCGGTCTCCCGACCCCATTCTGTCCCGGCCGGATTTGCTCCGGCACCCCATCTACTCCTTTCCCGTCCTCGGCCGCCCGCAGCCCTTCTCCCTTT